TTAGATGTGTAAAAAATAGAATGAAAAAGTCACATTAGTTCAGCATGACTTTATCTGGTTGAGTTTAATAGCTTACAATCAGCAGAATATTCGTTAACTCGTAACATTTCCGGCCGTAACTTCCGTTTTACAAGACCACAGTATTTCCGTGTCAGTCCCGGCTGAGCCTACGAGTCAATTTTACGTGATTCCGTATTTATGTTACGCAGTATTTGCATTTTCACTCACTTGCCTAGAAAAGGCTAACATTAGTTACTGTTAAAATCTCGTATTATCTATACTTGTACAACTACGTTCAAGTTATTCCATTACCATACTATTAATAATAAGAAAATAAAAACACGTTGTTAAAATGAATAATTCATCAAAAAGCATTTTCATTTTGATCAGTTGTGAGTGATATGATGTATAATAAAACTATTTAAAAAATAATAAGGTTGAAAAAAAAAAACAGTCTTAAGACATATAACATCTGTTGATCAAAGTTTTAATGTCGATTGAACATGGTCCAAGATTCGTGTTTACTATTTCATGCGGAATATACGACCGGATCAAGGGAATGCTTCCACTGTGAAATACAATCGGTGACACGACTGACGGTCATTGCGTGCGCGTAAATCGATCGAATAGGTGTGCCCTAGTTTCCGTGATATATATGAGTACTTGCAAGGAATACACTCGTCTACATGATATAAAGCCACAGTGCATAGTATTGATATGAATATACAATATAAATATTTATGCGCTTTATCCATAATTTATTTATTACGTACAACGAATACGCCCTACACATGATACTTTGAAATTTGGCTAAAATATCCTCGTAAATTAACCGAAAATTTTACATCGAAATTTATGACTATATTTTTATTACTGCTTATTTTTTTACATTCATTTCCTTGAGTAAATTATCATTTTTTCTTCATTAGTATTTTTTTTTAAATATTCTATTTTATTTAGTGAATAATTGAATATTTTTTTTATTGCAATGGATAATGGACACTTGGAAAAAAAAATTTGAAAAGTTGAGTAGAATTTCTGAGATGTCAATTGAAAGTGAATTAATCTGAAAGGATGGCATCGTTGGACAAGTGCAGATTAAAAATGTACAACAAAGAAAAGTTCTATGGAACTTATCTTATCTATGATGTAGCGAATTCCTGCATGGCTTTGTTGCATACTAAAGGATCTGAGGCAGTTAAGCTGTCATCGTCTCGATCAATTCAAAATCCTCGTAAGTGGTTGAATCCAAGTTCTTTATTATTCTTTAACTGTCTCATTTAGCGAAATTGATGTTCGCAATACACATACGTGGATAATTAGTTCGATTCATATATACCGTTGAGAGCTTTTTGCAATCAACTTCAAATTATTTTTCACCATTTCACGTATTTAGGTCATATCTGTCTTATCTTTTGATTTTCTTTTCACGAGTTTTAAAATAAAAAAGACTTTATCTTTGGTCATCTCAGACATTCTTATCGATTTTTTAATTATTTTCGAATAAGATTTTATAATACTCTGTTAAATAAATAAATCTTTTTTTTTTTTAAACAATTGTTAAATAAAATAGTTTTTTCATAATTTTGTTGTAATAATAAAGTAAACTGTAGTTTAAACAATTTACGATTGTGAATAGAATTGATTTTATCATAAAGTAATTTTTTATACTAAATAAACAGCAAGTAGATTCTAAATTACACTCCGACAGCTGGAAAAGTTTTGTTGACTTAATTTTTAAAACATTTCAATCAAACTATTCGTTTCATAGAAAAATAAAATAACTGAAGAATAGACTAATTTTTCGAACAATAAACAAAATATTTTTTGGTAAAGTTAAACAATTGTTGATGAAACTTTTTCCTCACTGCATATCAACTTCCGTTCAAACATAACAGTTATCATATCATACAATATAAAATATTCATATGTTTTAAAAAAATTCATGTTAGCTTTTGCTTATTATTATTCTCACTCTATTCATGCTTTTTAAGTGTTTAAAATACTTCAAATAATTGTTAGGAATTATTGAATTATAAAGAATAAAAGTGATGTATCGAAAATATATTTTTCAAAGTTCTCTGAATATTAAAGTCTACTTTTAAGTTAAAATAATCCTTGGGTGAATCATATAATCAAATACATTTTGTTTGTCTAGAGATTATTCGTCTTTGCATCGATTTCAGTATCTCATTTATTGCAACTCATTAATCAGACGAATGCTAACATCGTGGCAAAAGTGTTTCATATTGTTGCCACTCTAAAAGTTTGTGAAGTTTATAAGTTATAAGTATTTTCTATTTGATTTATTATTTTATTATGCTTGAATAATTTTAGTCTATTATTATCATCGTACCTCTTAGTAATATTTATGAGAAAAGATACATAGCTGTATACTTTTATTTCAATGTCAGTAACTATTTTTGACACTTTTTCTATTCAGTTCTTCCTTATATTTGGCTACTAAATTCGTCTTAACTTTAGCATCTATCATTTAATTCAAATTAATTCCGAAAAAGCGTTTCACCAGAGTCATTTATTGTTTAATTTGGAAAAAAAGAGATTTTTATTTTAATAATTAATAATAATGGAAATAAATATTCTTGGACAAAGCAATGTTGACTAATAATAAATCAAAATCATTGTTTATTTAAGAAGAAATAGCGATCTCAACCGAACAAAATGACCACAGACTAAATTTTCCCAAGACCAAATCGTTTTAATTATCGATAACAAAAAAATGATCATAATTAAAATTTTGACACATAATGCCAACTGAGTTTATCAATAAAAAAGAAAATGTAACAACTGAAACATTTATTCAATTTCCAAACTAAAACAATAAATGACGACAGGAATAAAAAATATAAATGTGAAGAGAGTCAAAGAATCTCAGAATCTCTTTGTATTTTCTTCATTTAAAAATTGAAATACGCTTTTAGAAATTTTCATCATGAGAATTTACAAAGAAGGTAAATAAAAGAAATATCCAATAAAGTCTAACCCCGGGATATGGATAGCGACTTAAAGTTGTTGAAAGAAGAAAATAAATATTTTTATTGAGAGAAAAGCGAATACTCATATTTACCAACTTAATGTAATGAATAAAATGTAGTTAAAATTAAGATACCAAATAATGTAAATATGATATTTTCATTTTCACGCTCAATACACACATTTATTAAACACGAACCATGTCTACATTAAATGTTCTTCTTGAGATAATTAGAGCAGTAAATATTGCAGCTAATTTAATTACCTTATAATTAATTCCATTGAAGCAAATAATTTATTAGTGAAAGTCTCTCGATTTCCTACATGCTATATATGAGATATGTTTGAAGTAGTTAAGGTGTTAATTATTATCAACTGATATTAATTAGCAATATCGTAAAGAATTTATTGAAAAATTACGCATGAATGTATTTCTGAAGATATAAGGATAATTCGAAAATTTAATAATTGCCAGTTTTATTAATACTAAAATGAAAAAAATGAGCTCTCTGGCAGTTATTAACTTCCTAAGCTAATAAAAAAATATTAAATGGAATATTAAATCTTTAGTTGAACTGTTCCGGTATGAATATTAAAAGCTTGTGCAAGTATTTTTTCGTAAAGTAGGGAATTAGGTCCAAATACAAGGGGCCAATGTGAGAAAATAAATAAGTAAAGATGGAAAATAGGGTAGCGTGTCTGTTTTGATTTATAAGAATTCATCACGAAGCCGTCGTATTAGGACTGCAAGATCGCGTTGATTGTTGTGTCGGTTATATATGTATATGTGTATGAATATGGGTGTGTAAGTTGAATCTGAACTTAATGCGACCTGCGCTGTAATCGAAGCTTCCCTTGAATTAAGTCTCGACCCTCGCGTGAATAATAGTCGCCTCCACGTCAATGTTGATGTTTGATTCGTTGCTATTTCCCACCTAGAGCAATCACGTTTGGTCGTTAGCTATATATAATCACTTGTCCACGATCAATCACCTTCTCTTTAGAAATAAATAAGTAAATATACTTGGATAAATAAGTATAAATTACTTCGTACTTTCAATAAATAAACAAATTTCTAAAGAATTTAATCAATTTTTTTTCGCCAGTAAAAATTTTCTGTTTACCTCACCAACAAAACAAATAAAAACTTGCAGCATTTTAAATTCATCGGTTTCGCCAGAGTTTAATTCAGTATTGGATGGTCAATTTAGTCAAGATTGTACTTTTTTGGTTTCGAGATAGATAGAAATGTGGGGGAATTTTTATTGCTGTTGATAAGCAGGCAGATAGATTGTTTATAGGGATGATCTAATAAATTTTGATTTAACTAAAAATACGGCCATTTATAGCCCTAGGGTCTTTTAAGGCTAGATTAAAATCTTTTCCGTTATTTATTATTATGATAATAGAAATTTTAAGAAAAATATTTATTTTATTACCTTTTAATTAAATATTATGATTTGTATAATGTTAGAAAAAATGGGTTGTTTAAGAAGTTTATTGAAAATTTTTCAGTAAAATCCAAAACATAAGTACCATCCATTTGGTATAAAATGACAAAACAAAAAATCCAACAATGTACTCTCTTGACCTACTTAACTTTATTCTTAGTACGATCATGGAATTTTTATTTTGTTTTATTATGATTAATCCTGAATTGGTTTCAATGACCCTAGATAATAAAATAAATATTTTTTTGTTTATTAATACAACTACTCGTTTCACGATTTCTCCATTTTTGTATTCAAAACATACAAGTAAATGATTAAAATAGATGTCTTCCTTTAACAATACTCAATTTCTCATAAAATAATTGGAATACATCAGACAGTATGATCAAAATTTCATTTGAATATTGACTTTATTATAATGTCATATAATTCAAGAAAAATATTACCATCTTTTGCAAAAAGAGTCAAGATGTCTTATTAAGTATACAAAAAAAATATAGACGAGATTATAATTAGAATATATGTTTATATATAATATTTTTCATTTACACTCACCCGAAAATTGTAGACTGCAATTATGGTGTTTCTTATCCACTTGCATTCAGTTAATTCAGCATCGTGTTTTGCTCCATGTTGGAATGTAGTTCTGTAAAGAATAAATTCCTTTTAAAGTTTAGCACAGGATTCTTGAAAAATATTCAAATAGAGGAATCAATACTCCAAGTTCGACTTCAATTAGCATTGTTTCTAAAAAAAAAAAAAAAAGAAAACAATTTACAATTAGAATTCTATTTTCTTCCAAAGATTGATTGATTGAAATTCAAATTAACTACCCAATTTTTCCCTAACAGCAATAATTTTTGTGGCATTTCCCCTAGTAAAATAATTCTCTTAAATAGCCACATTTAACTCTGCAGTCTATAAGGGTGGAGAACAATTCAACATATGGATATATAAATGATTATTTATTGTTCTATATTATTATAAAAATGACATTAGCAGTTATAGAAACACAAGACGCAATATTTTAAATAAACACAATCTCCCTTACCTATCCCCTATGTGGGGGAGATTGAGGCAGAGCAGGATACTATATCATTTAACGTAAAGAACTTTTTATTTTATGAGCTTTTTTGATTCGACACCGGTAATAAAGAAAAAAGACAATAAATTATAAAAAAAAAAAAAGATTATATCCTTAAGTACTTCAGTCTTTCTTATTTTATATTCGTGCCATTTTTATTATTATCATTATTATTATTATGAAAATTTATTACTTATTTTATTGTAATCATCACGAATAGTGCGAAAAAAATTCTATGCAATAAATATTATTTTTTATCAATAAAAATGATTTATAAAACTTTTCTTATATTAAACGTACTACCTTTTTCTTGGATCATTCGTGTCCATGCGAAATTAAATGCTTCTGCGTGTCCATCACTTGTTTTCAATTGGACAAAAACATGAAGTGTGAAAACAATTTTTCCTATTTCTCTTCAAACACCTATTCCATGTGATTTAATATTTAATCAATATCTAACGTTATGAAATCTTTAATCAATTATTTATTAAAACATTTCATAAAAAGTTGAATAATTCTTTTAAATTGTTAATAAATTTATGTTAAAAAAAGTGATAAAAAATAATGAAATCTTCATTTCAATAATAATGATTTAAATAATATCGTAAAACTGTATTTGATACACATTTCCTATACTTCAATTTCAACTGAAATCCAAAATCTTTTCAATCTCCATAAATGCTATCTCTACTCTAGTTATTATGAATACCAATTTCGAAAACAATGACACGAGTAGATAATGAGATTCATAAACTGAAAGAATAGTAATATTTTCAAGCATTCCAAAAAAAACAATAAAATTTTTTAGGTCTTCGAAATACTACCGATATTTTGTGCACTAAAAAAAAATACTGCTTACTAAAGTTTGTCAAAATAATTGAATGCCCGTATTTAACCTTTTTATACTACCTCTGTCTGAAAATCGTATATCATCCGAAATACGTAACGAGATGAGGCTTTCGGGGTTGATGTTACCTATGAATGTACAATTCCTATTCTTGTTTGAAAGTATAATTCAGTTATGGTATTCTACGTTTGTTTTTGACAGGGTAGGCCTTGTTACATCCACTAAGCTTATTCCTTCTCTCTAGCTACCTTATGATAAATCTGTGTTTTCATTGGAATACATCATAAAGAAAAAGACTTTCTCTAAAAAAATCTAAATACATCATTTCTATTTCTTTTTTATGATGCAGTATACTGTTTGATGAATTTTCAATTGAATTGTGTCAGTAGAAATGCACTAACAGGATTAAAATTCTAAAATCCAACAAAATTTTCTGCAGTTTCTACTCTTTACTTTTTTCGGGGATTTTTTATTTTATTAAAATAGCGATTATTGGATCATTTTAATGTGAACCAGGCAAATGTTTTTACCATTCTTCAATAATAAGTTTAAATAACAGCTTTTTGTAGCCATGATTTTTAGCCAATTTTTTTTATATCGTTCGTATTCACGTTTCGATGGTACTCGTGTATTCCTATCAGGAGAAGGACAAAAACACAGCAGAGTCGTAGTTACGTGCCGAGGAATTTAAATGTCCGCTTATAGTATGTGTTCCGGTAGTAAAAAGGAGATGAGGACGATTGCATGTACAACGATAGTATGGGTTGAATTTGTACTCTGCGGCAATATTTATCATGAGTATATATATAAGTCTCATTTATATTTTTTTACCGTGTCAGTCAATGATACTTCTCTTTCCCTTTTAATATTCAAAATAGACTAAGAAATTCATACTAGTGAAATTACATGCAAAAAAATTCTCTTTAAACGTATAAAACATTGTGAAATAAAATTCATGCTAATTCAACACCTTTTTATATATAAATATAATTTTAAAAGTGCATGTGTTAAATTTAAGTTAATGTTTATTCAAAATATACTCGAAAATACATTAAAAAATATTATCATACGAAATACACTTTAGCATAAATTTTAAATTAATTTACACTGACTGATATGCTTTGCATAAAAGAGTGCTGCACTTCAAAGATATATTGCAAAATATAAAAGAATTATATATAGATATGTGTGTGTGTGTGTGCATATATATATATTAGCCAAGACTGCAGTAAATTTACTATCTTTGACCACTTTACAAATTTTCGCGATACAAATTCAACTATAAGTTAGAGTAATAAATTTTTCTTATGCAATTCTCAACGAAAAGACAATTAGTTAATTAATAATGAAATTGAACTGATAGCAATGAAATCAGAATTTATTAGGACGTGGTCATAAAAGAGCATATCTATTCCATACATATATATAGCACATAAATATACTAACGAATTAAAATATTTTATGCATTCATCAACTATTTTCAGTGAATATATTGTACAATTTCTACAAAAAGATTTATTAATATTATTTCATCAGTGAAATTGAATTAAAATGATCTCAAATCTCATGCTGTTAAATTATTTAACTGTTATAAACAATTTTACAACTAATATCCTTTGTGCAAAAATTAATATTCATAGTAACAATAGAAGCAGAATGTTACATTCGAAAAGCAGTTTCCCTGGCCAATGATGAACAACCGAAATTTTGACTAGAGGAACTCATTTGAATGAATAAACTCGAGTTATGGATGTTCTAGTTCCAAACAATCCATGGTTAAATATGTACTTAATAATGGAGTACAGCTCAATATTGGTACTAGTGTCAGAGATTAAATATTTAGTTTGTCTTTAAATCTAATTTTTGATTTACCTTGATGCTACTAAATCAAATATCATTTTCACAAAGACTAGATAGATCTTAGCAGATCTGATTAAATTTAAACTTATTATCAAATTAGATCTGATGCTATAATTCATGAAAAGGATTTAGATTTATAGGATCTAATTTGATCTGATATAACATTTCATGATAATTATCAAGATCTAACTGGATCTGATGCCATTGTATCAATGATACACTAATGCACTGTGATACACTGATGCACTAAAACATACTAGATCCAATTGGATCTCATTGAATACAACTTGATCAAGCTATTATATTTTTAATATTTGATAAATATTGATAGAAGATCTAGTATTGCTAGATCAGATATTAAAATGCTTTCTCACATAGTTGTTGGAAATAAAAAAATATGTCATAGATCAAAGATGAGTTATTTACATATCATCCTACTCTGTGTTATCACTGACTTTTAAACTATGCAATATAAGTTAACTGCTTGTTATGGTATCACATCTCACAACGTGAATACTTCAGTATTGTATTGTGACAATTGGAACTGTTATTTTGCAACTACATCAAGAAATTGTGTTGACTCAGCACTAAAGCTGTCAACTGTTTAGCTGAAACGTAGAGAAGGAAAGCTTTAGCTACAACAGTTCTAGATGTTTAGAACAAAAGAGAAGCTAGTTGTCTTATGTAGAAATATTTTGAATATATTGTGGTCTCCAGAAGTCAGGGGAAATGAGTTTGTACACAATTTCTATAGTAAATCAAATAAATAGACAATGATTTAGATAAATATTTTTTATAAGGTATATTCTATTTTAGTTCTTAAAATAAATCTTGCCTGAAGAAATTTTATTTGTAATTTATTAATTATCACCAACTACTTTAAGTTCTTTTGCTATCAGAGAATGAAGATAATTTATCAGTTTTTAAATCATCAAAGCCAACAAAATAAAAAACACCAGCTTTATGTAAATTAATGCGTAATTTATTAACTAACATTTATCAACTAGTTTGCTTATTTTGACAACTCAAATGTGCAACTCATTATCAACGTAAATTGCAACATTATAACAAAATATCATTAATTTACAAATAACTGATGCATCAAAAACATTTCAAAGTTGAAACTTTCCAGCTTCAAAACTTTCTAGACTCAACAAAAAATACATTGCCATCTAATTTACGTGAGTTATGTATACCACGTCTCTGGAAAAAAGAGCCAATTGGCATAAATGAATGCAATTTTGGGGATTAACAACCCCATTATACTCAGTAATAAGTCTTTTTAAACACCAACTAGCAGGCAATAGTGGATTCCAATCAACAACTTTGCAAATGAGTTTTAATCTACAAACTGTACAATTTTCATATTTGAAATTTATTAGTATCATAAACCATTAATATAATAATAGTGATAATTAACTCAATAATATATCTCATATGCATATTGTCAATGTAGAGACACAGACATACACATGTGGAGATATAGAAATATATTGAGCTAAAAATATTTCTGTATTTTATAACAGTATAACCCAAGCTATTCGTATATTTATTAAATCGTATCGATAAGCCGTTAGAATAATCAAGTAGGATAGACTATCGGTTTGTAAAAGCGAAGCCCTAGATGATAATAATAAGGCTTACTTCAATTACTCTCAATACATTATATCGAATCAAGAGTATTATATAGGGCATGTTTTTACACAGTCCCTCCAACGATTGCTGGTATACCTATACCTAATAGTAGGAATAGTATAGCGATTGTGATCAGAATTGTGGTAAAAGGAAGAGTCCTAGGCCAGATATGTAGAGAGATAGAGAAAGAGAAACTTTTGGTTACATAGCATAGGATGCTTTATGAAAGCAAATACGAGGGTGTATGTAGGATTATGCATTACATATGTATTATGTTTGCGATTCGCTTGCTCGTTCAAAACCAAAACCCTATGATTATTTGTGGTTAAACACTCCTGCTTTTTATTGATGTATTCGGTCTGATGTGTGATCAACCCTTGACATTTAAATTTTCTGTAATAAAATTTATTTTTGATGCTTTCACCTCTGATTATATTTCACAGAGTTTAACTCGAAAATTTAGAGCATGAATTCATCATTCGACCAACAAATTTACTCTTTGCACGAAATTTTTTCAGTTTTAGTATAAATGGAGAAATTTAATTGTTACTTTTTAGTTATTACATTGATATTTGTTCCATTCTCAACTTTAACGCTGATCATTCACCATCAAATATATCTATATATACGTTTGGAGTAATTGATATAATTTAGAAAGCGGATTTTCTTGCAAGAAATATAAAATAAACTTGTTCAAAGTTTAAGCTACCGTATAATAGATTATTATAGAACATGAAATGAAGGGTTTGAAATTATTTTCCTCTCAGCATATACAGTTATTGACTGTCTGGGAGTTTAAAGCCAAACGTAAATCAACTATTATGAGATAGCCAATCACTATTGCATGTCTAGCAACTGTGCAGTTTAACTTAACATGTTCTTCAGCTCATATCAACAATGTAATACGTCTAAATAAAATTTTTGTTCTGCTCAATGTCAGCTTTTCCGTATAAATTGAAAAATTTATGTTTATTTGCCTTTTCAATTTATTTATTTACTTCCTTGTAGACATTTTATTTACTATGAAAATCTAAACTTCAATCTCTAAAATTTTCACACCTGTTTTCAATCAACATAACGTGCTTTAATTCAAGGAAGATAAATTTTTCATCAATTTTTCTGTAGATAGAAAGACATTTTTATCACATACAATTTTGTGATAAAGAAAAGATTGGTCAAAAATTAGTGATGAGTGTTGAGTGAAGATTAAAAAAAAGAATATGTGTTAAAAATTGAGAGTATGAAAAATTAACAATGTGGAGATCTAGAGCAGAAAATAAATTGGGTAAAGGAAGTCAGCCAAGGTGAAGAAGTGACTCGCTGAATACGATAGTTTCTTTCAAAAATAGCAAAAATGCTTGAATTTCTAGCAATGCTGCAAAAATTCTGATCCATTGGTCGATGATATTTATCAGAAGTCAGAATTGTTTCAATTATGTCAAAAAATCTTATCTTCTACCTATCATAAAAATCTATAAAAGACGTCTCACTCTTGAATTTCTTGTAGAAAAAAAAATTCAATGTCATTCTACTTAACATCTTGATCCTTGATACTTCAAAAGTACAAATATAGGTCATCATATAAATAGTCACTCAATTCATAAATTACGATTAAATTTTAGAGGTTTGATTGTATCAGTTCCACTACTTATTGTTCCAGCAAAAGACGTTGGCATACAAGTACAGAACATCTTTATTGAACTGTTAAAGCTAAAAAAAAATCACGATTACAGATAAATAAGCAAAAATAAATCCAACTCAGCGACATGACAGTAAATATAGATAAATCTGAGGTCAGGAATGTATTTTTTAATGCATTCTTATCAAAATCATGATTATTATTATATTTTAATAAAGAAAACTAAATGAATAATAATAATAATAATAAGGAAGATAAAATTTCTCAGAAAAAGAATAAAAAAATTTGGATAAAAATGTGAACTGATTATGAGATCAGTTCGTTACACTTTTCCTTCTTCATAAAGTTTGACTTTCCATTTTGTTAGTTTTAAATTTATTAAAAAGTGAGCAAAAATAAATATCTTACCACCGTTCACTTTTTCAACGTACTCATTGAAAGCAAATAATTAATCACGAGAGTAAGGAGTAATCTACAACATAAATTTTTCGCAATTTTATTACAAATTACCAAAAAAAAAGAAAAAAAAACAATCTCATTTTCTCAGTAGTTCATAATTTATTTCTTTTGGTTAAATAAATTCATTAAATTGAAACGTACGAAAAATGAGCAACTGCAGCATAACCTCAGGACGTATCGAAATCGCATATTGTGTAAGTGAAGGTGCAGTCGTTCAACAACGTTGGCATTTTATTTGCAGTGCTAAAGTAGTAGAAGAGAAATAGGGAGGAAAAAAGAGCAAAAGAGGAAGAGCAAGCGAAAGAGAGAGAGAGAAAGAGAATGAACGAGCGTAGGTGGGATGACGTCGGGAGGTAGACCAAACAGAGTTTTATCCCGCTCACAGTATACTATAGAATTCATTGAATCGCACCAAAATAAAAACAGTCCTTTTGAATGTTTTATATACGTAGGCCACGTTTTATGCTTTGCAAGGGAGAGCATCGAAGCACGCGCTAGTCACCCCTCTTTGGAACTCAACTTTTCCACAAACGAAACCACTATCGCTGCTTTTCCTTGGTTGTTTATCTCGTCGCTTCTTTTTTTTACCTTTTTCACTTTATTTTCACTGAATTCGACGTTTCTTTACGATACACCATACATGTTGCAGAACACTGCACGAAAATTAACATCAAATAGTTACAAGAAACAGTTACAACAAAAGCTTTGCAAATGAATAAGATTTACTAATCGAAAGTGCAATCGATAGATAAACTATCCAAGTTTCGAAGTTTACTTCTATCGAAACAAACAGTTACCTAACTTTTGACTCGATTTGTTACACCCAAAACGAATCATTTTAAATATACTTTTTTTCAGAGAAAAAGTTTCATTTTGTAACAATTGTTACCTGCATTTGAACTCTCATTTATTTATTTATTTTTTTTTATTTAAACAAATAATTATATTCAAACTCAATTGATTGTTTTTCGCTTTGATTCGTATGTATTTATGATGTTTTTTATTTATTGAGTAAATATTTTTATAAAACTTGAAAATGTGTTCACTTTGAAATCGATGACATAAATAATAATGAACATTAATATACATTTGTGTATATATATATATGGATATATTCAATAAAGTAATTTCTCTGATCAATGTTTTTTATTTTATATATTTTCAAATTCGATATTTGTATGTTCAACAAAATATTCCGATTTAGTTAATTGATTATTCTGAATGCAACGAATATAAATATGTTCATTGAATAAAATATGGTTAAATGAAGCTTATAAAGTTTGAATAATTAAACAATCATTTATTATTTAACTGAAAATAATAGCTCTGCTATGGAAATATAGACATTATTGATTATAGTGCACATGAGGTTAAAGATTGGTTATTAAAATTTTTTATTTATATTTTGGCAAATTGTAAAAAAAGTCATTAGTTTTATTTTCATTACACTCATAAAGTTTACTTAAAAATTAATAATAAAATTTTATTAAAATCTTTTAACAGTTATTAGTATTTCAAAGTTATAGTTAATGTTTGAATACAAATTTTTTCGGCAGAAAATGGGAAATTATCTGACAACAAAGAGATAGATTAAATGAGAAAATAACTCTTTTACATTAAGTAAGAAATCTCTCCGAATTTAGAACGAAGTAATGAGATTAAAAAGATTGGATATTAATTGCGATGATGAAGTAATCACACTTAATTATTATTTCTAATGTGAAATAATTTGATTAAACGGGAAATGATGATGCTATAAGTTTGTATAAATTTTCATTAAAATCTGAGGATATGAATTAATATTGGTTTTTGATTATTTTTGCTTTAAGAGAAATAAAAAATTCCGTAAAGATCACTTGGGTCTTCTTTACTTACTACTCTTGCTTTAATCAAAGTAAACGAAAGAATTAGTACAGAATAATTATCACTTTCTTAATAAAAGTTTTAGCAAAATTATTCTACTGTGTTTTACTTTAATTTTTTAATGATAAAATATTAATAATATTCTACTGGCGAAATTATATTTGAATATTATCTAACAAATATTTTGCTTCAATTCTCAAAGCAACTATTTTCATGATCATCTAGATTTTCAGCAAAATTATTTTATTAGGGAATTAATGGAATTTTCACGTTATATTTTTTCCTCTAAATTGTTATTATTAATATTTTATTGTATCAGTATTTAAAACTATTTATTTTTTATTTGATAACTATTGAAAATTTTAAAACAATTAAATTGAGATAATTTTTTTATCAACCTTTCAATCAATTAATCCGAGTACTGGCATTGTGCTTGCAATTAATATGTAATTGAAAATTGATATGCTTATAATATTGATTCATCATTAGAAGAGTTCTGTAATAAAGAACTCGAGTAAAAAAATCCTGAGCTTCTTTTATTCTTGAGAGAAGCACCAAGATTAAGTTAATGTGTTTAAGAAGAAGATCCTTTTATCGAGAATAATTACATAACAATGACTATTTTTTATTAATATTATTTAATTTAAAGTATTCATAGATTATTATTAAATAATTCCAGGTCTTTTAAATCTCATTTTTTAGAAATTTCAAATTCATTTCATCATTTAAACCTTATTCTTTACTTCAAATGGAATCAATTTTTTCGAAATATCCACAAATTATTGGAAAATAAAATTCCAACTATTCTTGAATATTTCGTAAATAATAAATCAATAGAAAACTCGTCAATAATCAAGAACACTCAGCACAATTTTTGCGTGCAAATTATTCCCTTCTATTCATTTATATTTATAAGGAATGAAAAAAAAAGTTAATTTTTCAAACTTATAATGCAACCCAGATGAAAATATTTCATTAAACTTTTTTAATCGAAAATGATTAAAATCATCATTATTATCATTATGATTAATAGATATTATTTTGAAATAATATTAAAAAATGATATAAAATGTAAGCAATAACTAATGTAGAGTATTTTTTTGTTACAGAACACTATCACATATTCGTAGGTGACCTGAGTCCTGAGATTGAGACGCAGACGTTGAGAGACGCCTTCGCCCCATTTGGTGAAATCTCGTAAGTTTTTGTTGGATTATTTAACACATAATTCCAACCGTCTGTCCAAAATGTGTACGAAGATTGAGTACATGTATTTATGCGCGATGCTTGATGCTGTAGTGGAACATTATCGAGAGTGCTTTATTGACTTTTTAATAATATTATTATACTTTTTGAAAAGTGATAATAAGTGCGAAAAATGGATTGATCAACAAGGTCGTATCGTATATCTTCGCCGCGTTGAACTCTACTCTATAACACAGGAGAAAAGTGGTATTGAAAAATACAAGGGAAGCTCGAGTGTATCTCCCTTCACACGGAAAACTCAAGGGTCTGTAAAGAGAATCGATTTTAATTTAAACGGTGAGTTGTCCGTGGCACAATCGCTACTAGTAGCTCATACAAAATATTGTCCGCTGATTTTCACATCTAATATCTTTTTAATATTTATCTCTTCGCACATACATTTTTACAATTTTAACATTTTTTCAGTAAATATTTCCCAATGACCTGATGCAATCAGTTGAAAATAAAATTATCTATAAAATAAAATATTTTATGCTTTAAAAACACTCTTTTCTCTTGTATCGAATTCAAAAAATATTCTCCTTCAAGTAGTTTGGTATTCAAACAATCCCCTCATTTGTTACTTATTTCAATATGTCTGCCAGATTTTTATTCATTTATTTATTAACACTCTACTACTACTACTACTACTACTATTACTACTATTAGTTTATCTAAATTTTTCTTGCAACAAATTTTCAAAAATATTTTCTCAAAATTCAGTAATTTAGCATTTTTTATGATATTTTTTTTTATTATTATAAACTATTTACATTTGAATAAAAAAAAGTATTTTATAAAGTTAATACATACTTATCATTCTATCTCTCTACTTAAGAATTCCTAAAATGTGCGGAATCCTTTTGATAAAATTTTCCTATTTTCACTTTACTTTAATACTAGAGAGAAATAATTTATCTTCTAGATGCTTAAAAATTACTGAAAAATCTTTTTAGATTTTTCTCAGTGAGTAACTGTATCTGATGGAATCTAGCTCTCTTTAAATGTAACTCAATGTTGAAAGAGCACATATAAAATCCTGCTGGTGCATGAATCTTTTACCACATGGGTTTTTGGACGTTGAGTTACATTTGAAAGTTTAAGATTAAGGGATATATACTGACATTTATACCCGTTACCTTCGATACTTGTCAGTGAAGCAAACTCTTACGTGAGTTAAAAATTATCCCAACAAATCTCAGAGTCAGTTAAATTCATACCAATTTTCATACGATTCATAAATTTATAACAAAGACGTGAATCAGACAAATAACTCTCTAGTGTCCGAAAAATTCAGTAGATAAAAATAAAGCAATAAGTGTGGGAATAGTGTTAAGTAAAAATTGTTGGAATAGTTTGCCAATAAATAGGTGTAACTTTAACCCAGATATAGTTATTGGCTTCTTATTCCCTATGTGATGGCTTAGTTATCGATTACTTGGTAACCGCCAAGTTCGCAGCTCAGCTCTAACGTTTCCAATGCATCCTGCTAGCGCGTACTCATTTACTTTCATGAGCTTTCATCATAGTTTGGTTATACAAATTTCACGTTTAACATTCCACCAGGCGACAACTAAAGAAGAAAAAAATATTATCCTGATACTCGAATTCTCCGTAGACCACAAATGACTTTGAATAATGCGATTAAATGAGAAGAGAAAACCAAACAAAATTTACTTCTTTTTATTATTATTATTATCATTGTTATTATTATTATTGAATTGGAATTGATGATGTAAATCGGCGAAGATTAAAAAGCAATGAGTCTATATGAATACTTTCTCGCGTGTTAGTAAGAATTTTGAAGAGAAAAGAATGATGTCCTGTACAGTGAACTAAAAATTCACAAACTTATAAACTTACATTGCAAAACTTATGTTGCTCATAAAAATTCATTTTCTCTGTTATAGCGACTGCAGAGTTGTGAGAGATCCACAAACTCTCAAGTCAAAAGGATATGGATTCGTGTCATTCGTGAAGAAAGCGGTAAGTTAAGTTTTCAAATTGATTTTTTACTTTTTTTTTCTCTTTCTGTGATCATTCGAGCAAAGTTGTTATAGCATTTTAACACTGCTTATAAATAGAAGTAGTTTTGAGAGTAGTTTTATGTAAAATAGAATTTATTAAAATATTCATTAAACTATAATAATTATTTTTTTTTGAATACTGCATTTCAATTAAACTTTTTTTTAATAGTTACTTACTTATATTAATTATTCCATTTAATTATTGAAAACAAAAAAATAAATTTGAACTTTTACTCTAGTTATAGTTTGGTAATTATTAATAATAATGAATGAATGCATTTGTTAGTTAATATTATAGAAAATATTTTTCTCTATAAATAATTCTTTTCTCAGTCAGTGTATCAGTTTAATCAGAACAAATAGTGTTTGAAGGAGAACAAACTTTCTATACGTTAAATATTTGGAATAAAGTTAACGAAAACTTTTGACAATCATTGGAAACCTAAAAAAAATACTTTCACATACACTAAATAAAATTTTTTTATTCAATAAAAATATTACTCAAATATATTCTTATTTAAATCCAAAAATCTAATTCAATTGAGCTTTTCTAGATTTTTCTAGAAATGAGGTTATTTTCCGAATTTTCTATACATTCCCAGTTAAATCAAACTTTAATAATAGAATAAAAAGTCCAGAATGATGCAATTCAATAAAAATATTTTAATCCATAACTTACACAAACATTATTTTACTCTGATTTTCATCAATTGGAACAAATAACTTAACCATCTATCAGAGCAACCTCAAAAAGGTTTTTGATTAAAATGGAGAAACAAATGTTAAAATGATTCATTCCAACAAACAATTAGTTAAAACAATTCTTCGAAGCCATTTAAATGGAAAAAAAGTTCTCTAATAGAGCTAAATAGTGAACAGTAGTGGTGTAAGTAAAATGTGTGGTGTACTCAAGTATTTATACGAAAATTGGATTCAAATACACGACAAGCAACAATTCAAGCGATAATCCATGTGAAGAGGCTGTTTTGCGTGATTTATTTAGTCTTTAATCGTTTTAAGGAATACCTATTGTCTAAAGGAAGGTTTGCATATTTCACGTTTCAATCTCTATAAGTACTGTCTGTCGTTTGAATTGTCTTGGCTTTTCTCATACTGCATTATAGTCTGAGCATAGAGAAAAGCTAGGGCCACAAATTCGCAATGTTAAACTAGTGCAAAGATATATCGCATTACTGGAGGCGAGTAGAAGCTTTTCTCATAGTCGAGTGTAGCAGCTAAAGCACAAGGTGTAAGTGTGATTGTGTATATACGTGCAAGCGAACGAGGGGGGATCCACGAGCTTTTCCTAGGGACTGGCCAAAGGCAGCTGTTTTAATGCCGTATTGATCTGGGCTGCAGCTCGCGTCCGGCCAAGCCTCGGCGCATCCCCACGTGTCAAGATTAGGTTATACACCAAGAGAGTATAAGTTTTTTCAAATTCCACTTCAGCTCGGTATTTACACCACTTTGAGACTCAAAATATTTTTTATTCCAACTATTCACAATCTACTGTGCATTTAACTGTGCAAAGAACATTTCCAACTGAAATTGAAAAAAAAAGGAACTTTGATTTCTCTGTTTTAAAAAGTTACTTAAAAATAAAAGCTCTTTCTCTGGATAGGTTTTCTCTTGAAAAATATTCATAAAAAAGTTCATTTTATTTTTCGAATTTTTCTTTTGAAAAGATGAGATGAGAATAAATATAATAATAAATTTTTGTCACGAGTTTCAATTATTTTCTGGATAATTATCATCGTAAGAATTGTCACGATATAGTCTGAATACTTGAACAATATAGCTGTTTGTAATTTACCTAATATTTCCTTGGAATGTATAAAAAAAAAAAAATATTTACTTGACGAAATTGCGCTATTTATTATTCACGACATAACGAAATAATTTAGAATGAAAATAGGTCGAGGAAGTAATCTAATCAGAAATGTTGAGTAAACAAAAAAAATATCCGAAATTTCTAAAAGCTTTATGATTGTGGACAAAAAACCGTTGATACACTAAAACTAAATATCGTGAATTAGTAAACAGTAGAGAAAGTTTCATCAAATCGGGCCAACTAAGGAAAGGTTCATAATTAAATGCTTATACCCTACTTGAAATAATGTGTTGGCAAATAAAGTTGGAGTGAACGCCACGTAAGTCATTTCAACTGATTCTTATGTGCTTGTGTATGGCCATGACTTAGTAATTCGATTAAAATATAGTTTACTTGAGAAATATGCATTCCACACTGACACTCAAAAGTTAAAACTAGGGTGGAGCGTCTAGTTTATTTTATTGTTTTTTCTTTCTATTGTTTCCAGGAGGCGGAGAGTGCAATTGGCGCGATGAATGGCCAGTGGCTTGGAAGTAGAAGCATACGAACAAATTGGGCAACACGAAAACCACCGCCACCAAAATCGGAAGGTAGAAAATTTATTTTGCTTGAAAATGTGTGAAATAGTTAACTCAACTCAATATAAATGTCGTAATTTATGTCAACAGAATTTTTGTTAATTAAAAATTCAGCTTTATTTTACGTTTAAACTCATAAAAATTTTTTTTCGGTCAAGAATTGGATTATTTTTGCTTTATTTTACGAAAAAATATTCACAAGATGAATTATTTCACTTCAAAGTAGTTGGAAAAGTATGAAGTAGAAAAGGACTACTTTTTTTTTCAAAATCAGGCAAAAAGTTCAAAAGCTTTTTAATTTAATAAAAAGTTAATGTAAAAGTTGATGAAAAAATAAGACCTTTGCCATAATATTCTATTTTTAACTTCTAAAGAACAGAGGTAAAAAATCAAAAGGAAAAATGCTATTCAATTATAAAAGACAATTTTTCATTTATAATGAAAAACATAATTTAATGGAATTTAATGAACTATGCTATCTTTCATATTAATTATCTCACAAGAAAAACATCAGCTTACCATACACACATATAGAATGGTCCATTTTTTAAAAATAAACATTGTTAATAAAACTGTGGTGTAAAAATACTTTTTTTCTAATTTATTATTATTTGTATAACTCTAAGTAGAAAATTAATTTGACACGAAAATGTGTGAAATAGTGAATTTAACATAGATGTCATGTTCTTTTATAAGATAAAAAAAAAAAATTCATGCAATTTTAAAAATCCTTATTTTTTTTAATATGAACTTATAGGATTAGAGTTTACGACACTTTGAAGTAAAGTATCATGACAAAACAAAAGATCAAAAGAGAAAATATTATTTAGTTATAAATGTGGTTACCTAGATAAAGTTTTGTTCTTTCTTTTCTCTGTTATTCTTTGTTTCATTTTCTATTTCATCAGCCAAGTTATTTCATTTCGTGTACTCTTTATAATTAGTATTCGTTGAGAGAACTTTAAACTTTTTACATGAAGAAAGAAAGGAAAATGCACAGTCTGAAATACTACTAGATTATGCAACTTTGCGACACTATTGTAGTGAAAGCTCATAATTCAAAAAGACATTTGCATAAAATAACTTCTTAACGAGTTTTGATTAACATTGGATCTGTTTAGATCTATGTACATTTGATGGAATATTGATACATACAAGCACGTCAATGTACACACTAACTCAATAGAATATCGTAATGTTATTGTTATATGAAATTGTATACACCCAATCACCGCTAATGATTCTCACTAATATACTATCTTTTTAATATGATTATCATTAAGCTCAATTATTATGGAAACAAGAGTACTCATGATTTTGATACTCATAAATAATAACAGTCGCTTACACGATAAGTATTAACAATCATAAAATAGTAAATAATAAATAATAATAGAGAAAAAAATTTTTAAAATATAAATAAAAGTCATATAAAATATGATTATAGTTCTATTCATTCCAGTGATAATGAAAACACGACAAAAGTTTGTTGGTAATTTAACTGTGTTTTTACGTTGGGAAGAATTTAAGTTATTTTAGTAAAAATAGGGACAAGCATGCAAGTTAAGTAAAAAATTATCTCATTCTAGTTCTTCTTATGACAATTCTAGTATACTTCACTACAACTTAAGTAAATTTAAGTAAAATGTGTTTTTGTCTCTTAAAAAAACTTTCTGTGTACACTGACTCAGAAACATACTAACTCCTTAAGTAAATTAAGTCATTTTTTTATTAATTATTATTATTATTTTGACAAATATTATATTTTTATTCATAGAAAAAGAATTTTTCAAGCATGATGAGCATTGTTGAAATTTTTTTTAACTTATTTTTTTATGAGTGAATAATTTATTCGTCTCTAGAAATATTCTTTTATTTATTGTAAAGTAAAAGCATTTATTAAATTGGTTGTTTATTAAAAAAAATTTTAGATGTTATATTATCATGAAATGGAGGGTATTTGGTGATCGATTGTTAATTCTCAAAGCGTGAATGTTTAATTACTCTATCGAATAATGCTTCTTTATTCAAGAGAGATCTTTAATTATATTCAAAATAAAAGAATATTTTTTAAAAAAACAATTAATATATTTTCTATGATAAAAATACATATATTTCATAAACTTATTGATCAACATTATTCAATGCATTTTCCTCGAGATTTTCATTATAGTCTGACACTATATTACTTATAAGTGTCCAAAAATTTCTCATATTTCATGATAAAAATTTTCTGCATGCAAAATTATAACTCGATTTATTTTTCAATTACTAAAAAGAAAAAATTATAATTTATCCAATGTTTTCAATAAAATTTACTCAATTTTTCTTCTTTCTCTAAACTTTAACATAATTATTTTTATTATAAATATTTAAATCTGTATAAATAATTTCTCTCAAGTACCTTCATAAATAAATATAAAAAAAGTATTTTGCATAAATCACTGAGAAAAAAAAAGCTTTTCAAAATCGACATTAATTTCAAAAAATTACAAAATTTAATGACCACATATTACATGAAGTAGAAATGAAAATTTTTAATTAAAATCCAAATAGTACAAATGAAATTTCAAGAGTTAATGAACATAAATAAAATAAACTTTAAAGCCAACATTCAGGTACAATTAATGAGGATTGCAATAAATAGTAGAAATGCGGGTAATAATTGACTCATTATCTAGAACAATATGTAATAACTTTTAGATATAGAGCTCAAGCAGTAGAATTATGTATTGGAAACGCACATGCATCAGCTGAGGATACGTTGGTCGAATGTATAAAATTGCTAAAACACGACGAGAACCAAACTAAACGATCACGGTCGACTGGTCTGCGTTCCTGTTATAGGCTTGCAATCCCCCAGTGCAGACGAGCTGCAATCTCCCGGCTTTGCTTGTTGCACCCTCTCTGCCACCCCTTGGTCAGTAGGCTGCGAGTTTTCGATTGGCCGCTTGTACCACATAACACTACCGTTCGTGCACGTATAGACGCGTACATAACAAATTGGCTGGAACTGCATCGCCGCTTCGAGATAATTGATATTACCCTTAGGTATACCGTCCACAGAACGTTTAAAGCATTATTGAACACTTTGTAGTAAATCACGTCAGTTTATCTACATCTTTTTGTGCCTATAGTTTGATAATAATGTTCACCTCACCTCATCAATAAATTACTAACAAGAGAAACATTTTCTTGTCCTAAAAATACGTTGATTTATAGCTGATAAATTTTTATTTATATCCAAGATTCCTTTTATTGTTTTCAATCTATAACATCTCTTCATTTATTTATTGTCGTTTGTCTTTCAATGGACAATTTTAATTCCTCAATTACGACACAGTTTAGTTTATTTTTATTACCGAATTATTTCTTACTGATGAACTTGTTAAATGTTTAATATCTCATGTAATATCTCTGTAACTATCATTAAGTATGCATGAGAATTATCTTTAATTATATATGCATTTCTTATGACTTCGATTATTTTACACAAGACGATTCTTATTCACTTTGTGACCTTCGAATCAGAGGCGGACAACATTTATCTAACTTTGACGCAAAAAGAGATTTATTCAAGGTTCAAAAAAGGCCCAGAACCTCTACCACTTGTCCTGCTTTTATTGTCTCTTCCGGGCCTGAATTTACTTCTCCATGAGTGTTATTATTGCTTCATTACTACCTCAGTACTACTTCACTCATTACTACCCTTCAACTACTCTATTACTATCATAGAGCTACGTATTGCATAAATAATTACTTTCATTTTCTCTTCTGGGCCTAATTTGACTTCTCTTTTAATAAGTGCTATTTCATGTAAGTGCTATTTATCTGTGTATGAAGTATCTCCAAAATTAAGTGAACCATGTTTAGGACTCGAGAAAAGGACCACATTTAAATTGCTACCCGGACAATTAAGTTATTAAAAATAGTTTAAAACTTTAGACTGAGTTTGAATTCTAATTGACAAATTTCAAAGACACCTGAAAACCCTCAAAGCTGTTGCTAATAATTTCCCTAAATTCCCTGTCCAAACTTTGTTCCTATCCCTATATATTATCCTTTTTCTACACAATTGAAACTCAAAGTTCATTCAAGTGAAACTATCGAATTTACATGCTTAGAAAAAACCATTTCATGATAAAAAAAGAAGCTCACCATGCTTGTAATATTACATCCAACCCTGTGCTATGACATAGTAAACTTAAACCTATAAATAACTACCCTTTTCTCTTAAGTTTTGTTCTGAGTTGGAAATTGAAAATTGACACCTTGTATGAGTTTGACAGTATATTGGAAAATTGAGGTTGTCTCGTGGTTTGTTAGTGTTATTAATTTTTACTTGTTGATATATTGTAGACAAGCTTTTTCTGATATTCTGAGTCTGCTGATGCAAATATTTCAGTTTGCTTTTGAGCTCACATAAGTTAAATAGTATTTTGAAATACATCGGATTCCGTTTTATTTGTATTTCAAGGGATTAAGCTTATACGTTTTTGTATGAAGAATTTAATGCATGTATCTATTTATTACAGTAACTTTTATATCTACAAATATGAAGGAGAATAAATTGTTGAAATAATTCCATTTGAAAAAATTAGATAATATGAGATATGATTTTTTAAATAAGCTGGGTTAAAACATTTTATTCTAATTTTTTGTAACGATTAATTATTTACTTTATTGAAAAAAAATCGTTTCTAATTTTCTATGGGTATAATTTATTGAAAATTACTTTAATCAATAGAGCTATAGCTCTAATATAATAACTATAGCAATAATAATAATAATATTTGTGAGTAGATAAAAATATATTAAATAAAATCACGTAATTCTTCACAGATTTTATATAAGATAATAAAGTAAAATTTTAACACAAAATTAATTCATTACCTTTCAGTAAAAAACATTTAATCATGAATGATTAAAAACATTTTTTTATTCAGCAAAAGTTTGATTTTAATTGCATTTTTTTTTTAGTCAACTTTAAAAGTTTCTAGACTTTATGCTAAGGATAAAGTACTCGGCTGGTTGAAATAAAACGGATATCTCAAATACATTTAAATAACATAATTATTTATTCTGAATTTCATTTTAGAAAGAAATTTTTTTTGCTCTCTCCAAATCCTTTGATTGTTATAACTTAATAATAAATCAATTAAACAAAAGATAACAATAGTGAAATCCGAGAAAAAAAATATTATTATTCAACACTTTACAGTAAATCACATCATACTATCTACATCTTTCAGTGCTTATAGTTTAATAATATTGTTCACCTTAGCTCACGTGTGCTAGAGTTTGAGTCAAATATTACAAAGGACTTTCCTCTCTTTTTTATGCTTTCTCTATATTTCTTCTTATCATGCCATAACCCGATGAAAAAAATACTTGGTTCCATGCATTATGAAAATTACAAAACTTTGAAATTTTTATGTAGCAAACATTTAAAATGTTAAGTCATCACGAAAAAATCGCGGAGGTACGTGCAGTTGCGATAATTGCAGTTTGCGTGACACGGCATCCATCGGAGCTAAATAATTTCCGCATGGTAAGGGTCGCTGGAATGGATCATATGCTAGATATACTATACATATATATATATGTATATATATATGTACACTAGTATTTGTCAGTGTAGTACAATTTATTTGCATAAAATAGAGAGTATTATTTTATTTTGCTTGATGCATATTTAGTGAATATTTTATAAAAGATCATGAAATGTTATGTTTAATATATTTAATAAACTCTTTTGACAAGTAAAACATAGGCAAGAGTGTTGTTGGCTATAAAAACTCTACTAATGTCATTTCCACTCAGAAATTCAATTTACAAATGTCCAATCGTTATGTGGGTACTCGTGAAAACATGAAAAAATATGAGTTTTTTTTTTTTCAAATAATATGACACTTCTAGACCTCTTGTTGAAATTGACTCTCTATTGCAACCAACACTTTTTCCCTCAATTATTTCAAACCTCTTTGTGGTTGATATTTATTCATAATAAAAAGGCAAAGTTTGAATATAATTTAACAAGGTGTAAAGTAAACAAACAACAATGATAATAATGACAATTATTTTTCCTTAATCATTTCGTGTGATGAACAAAAGAAATAATCAATGAATAATTATTATTCCATCGTAATTATAGTTATTGAAGATGAATGAGGAATATAATTGATTAATAATAAGAAGAAAGCATTTGAATGTTTTTAGAGATAAAATCTATTGGATAATGATAAAAAGTAGGAAAGTTATGCATGTTTATGAGATAATACGAAGAATTGATAAAGTTTTACATGAATAAATAAAAGATCACGAAACATTGTTGGTCGAGAATCGTTATCGAACAACTCTTATCACTTATTACTGTTCCGAACAGTCAATTTACATACTAGAAAAAAAAACTATCAATATCAATAAACATTAATGGATACATGGTTAAAAATAAACAACAATAGGTACTAAGTATCTAGACTCTTCTATTAAATTATATCATTAATAACCTCGGACAAGGGATTAGACATAGCATGACTTTTTAATTGTGATAATATTATAAAAATTAATGAATAGTCGAGTCATTTTTTTCATGCTCTTTAGTCATAGTTAAAATAATTCATGCTGATGATTAATGTTGACATGATATTTTTTATTTTATTAGAAACTCAACAAAACTTTTTATGTTTAATGCTTGTTCTCATTTCATTTTATGCATTTTTTTTATTAAAATTTAATCTACAGAAATTATAGTATCAGGATTCTTTGAATATAATTTTTTATTGACTGTTTGCAAAAACTTAAAATTAGATGCATTTTTTGGAAAATTATGATTTAATAAATAACGAATGTTGAATAAAATTTATAGAAAGAATGAACGGAATTTTGTCATTTCAAATCGAAGAGATTTTTATAATTCTTTGAAAAAAATATTTCCAAAAGAATGTTCAGAATCGGTTTGGATTAGAAAGAAAATTAAATTTTATTGAAAGTTGATAGTTTTGTATCAAAGCTTTTAGTAAAGTTACTAGACCTATTATTTTAAACTTTGAAAAAATAATTTTAATTGTTTAGATAACTTACTTTCTTGTGAATAGAAATTCTTTTTTTCTTTAATGAAAAAAAAATCACTTCAGTTTAAAAATAAAATTCTTCTAAAATAAATAAAGATACAAAAAATTAATCAATTCAATTTGGCATAAAAATCATGACAATAAAAAAATTAATCTATTCCACTTTTTTTAATGATTCACACAATGAAAAAGGAACACCTATTAAAGATAAATTTGCATAGATTGAGTCAAACAATTGAATGACACAATAGAGCTAAAAAAGCCACAAATATAAGTTACTATTTTTATTTACTACTCCTATTGTCTGATTTCAGCAAATGCTAAACCACTAACTTTTGACGAGGTGTACAATCAGAGCAGTCCAACAAATTGTACAGTTTATTGTGGTGGTCTGACAAACGGTCTCACAGAAGAGCTGATGCAGAAAACTTTTTCGCCGTTTGGCTCCATTCAAGAGATCAGAGTTTTCAAGGACAAGGGCTACGCTTTTGTAAGGTGATTAAAAGCTTTACGAACGCTGTCAGGGATGAAATCCGATTATTTTTTTTCTTCTTTTATTGTTAATACTCTTTTGATAGAAACGGTTTATCTTAAACACTTCGACATTTATTCGATTAAAATCTTATCTCAGTAAATAAATAAATAAAAATATTTCTCATTATATTTCTATTTTATTTACTAACAACAATTTTATAAATTCATTTTATTTCGTTTGAGACAATTTCCATTGTAACTTAGAAAACAATAGTCCGAAGGTAACAAAAAAAAAAATCTATAAATATTTATATCTAAAAATATTTAATTGAATTTTTTCTTTATTCTAGATTTTCCACCAAAGAATCAGCAACACATGCTATTGTTGCGGTTCATAATACCGATATAAATGGTCAGACAGTCAAGTGCAGTTGGGGAAAAGAGAGTGGCGATCCAAATAACACTCAGCAGACTGGACAGGTAAATATTTATCGATTAAATTGATTTTCAATGTCTCTAATATTTTTTTTTTTTTTTCAATATTTCCACTTTTTTATTTCATTCCCATAGGCACTTTCTTCTACAACATATCCATATTACGCTGCAGCAGCGGCTGCAGCAGCTGCTGCGGCGGCGGGTGTTGGGGGTGTTGGAAACGTTGGAGGTGTAGGGAGTACTGGTCAACTAGGTTATTGGTATCCACCTCAATCATATCCCACAACGGCAGCAACTCCAATGCAAACGGGAGGCTTCCTTCAGGGCATGCAAGGATACACTTATGGACAATTTCCTGGATACCAACAAGCTCAATATATGGGGTGAGTTTTAAATGAAATGTCTCGCTGGTTGAAAATTTTTAACAAATATCCTCAGAGAATAAGTACGATAAAAAAAATTAAATAAACAGTACTTTTGACATGTGTATTAATTAAATTTTTTCCTTCAACAAATATTTACTTTTTGTTGACTATTAAATGTGATTTTAATTAATCAAAAAAATAACGAAAAATAAAATAAATAAATATTGCAAATAAATATAACTTGATAATAATTAAGATGATTAAATTTTTCTAAATAAAAAATACGAAATCTAAATGCTTTAGATTGAATTTAAATATGAAAGAACTTTCCTTTAACTCTGGGGAGCCTGCTAACAAAATCATATTTTTTCAAACATTTTTAACCTCCATATGTGAATTTAAATGACCAAAAGCCAACGAAAAGCTCGCAGCTGATTGTTAGAAAAATTGGAAATTTGTCTGCCAACTTTGACAGGCTGTGGCTATCAGATAAATTGCGATAGTGGTATGAATAAAAAAAAAGAAGAATTTTCTAAAAGCTGCTAACACTAAAAAACGTGAAAGAAATATAAATAGTTATTTTATTGAAAGTTATCTCTAAGCGGAAAAATTGACCTCTTTCACAACATTTAATTTTATATATCACCATCAGCTAGTCTGATAGATGCATAAAAAATAAAAATTACCGATTAAAATATTTTGATGAATTTTAAAATGATGGATTTGTATTCTCAAACTTCTCCAACTAATCACATGGTCACCTAAATGCATAAGTTAATACATAACTGATTGGAGATCAATCATAAGTCAAACTTTCTAATACCAAATATACTCCAGAGTCGAAAGGCAGGTCATTAAAGTTAACTTAAATAATAAATTTCCATGGTTTTGTGTTGATGCATAATTAAACGATCTATAGCAGTATCAACTTTATGCTTGGAAATATTGAAATATAGGGTAGTATAATATTTTGATATTAAAACAATAAAAGTCATTTCTGTCACCATTATAATCACATTGATTAATTTTAAACGACGATTGCCTGATTACATTGCGCAGAATGGGAATGGGCGTACATGCCGCAGGGACACCGCCTGCATGGGGCCAAGGTTTACCTGGTGCAGGTCCCCAATTACCACCCCATCACGCTACGACAGTGACGGCACCCCCAGGCGCAGTGCAAGCTGCACCTCCACCTCAACCTCCACCTGCGCAAATGATGGCCTATCCCATGCAACAATTCCAGGTAATAAAAAATTCCGCCTGATTGTTCGGATAGCAAATAGGGTCATAGCACCAGTCGTTGACCACATACCAGTAATTACCCACTTTTTAGGATTCATCTAGCTAATTTACATGGTTTATAAGATGTAGAATGTTCATGAAATGGAATAATTGAATAATTTTTATAAAGAAATGTAAAGTTTTATATTATAGCAATTTGAATGTAGAATTGAAGAGGTGGTATAAAAGAACAAATCAAGTTAAAGTTACTCAAACTGCAATAAACTTACAAACTCATTTCTGTGACAGTACTAGTACTTATTGATTGACCATAAATGTTAAATCGCTGTTATTTATAATAGATAAATGAGTTAAATTCAAAGTTTTTGGCAGCTGGAAGTGAAATTTTTGTTCTGATTTTAGTTTGACTACTTTACATTACATTATTGTTGCATAATATCCGTGACGAGTTTATTTTTGTTATAAATTGTTATCCAGAAGACTTCATCGACAAATTGATACGATTGCTCCTATATTTAATTGATTATTTCGTTATATAAAACTGAATTTTTAGACTTTTTTAACTGTCACGTTAATAAAAACAAAAAACACTAAAAAATTGAAAGAAATATTGCTGTCAATGGTACATATTTTATGAACAGTCATCTTAGTGTATTGATGATGAAGTTCCATGTTTACTGTTAAGAAACTTACATACATCAAGAATATCTATATCAACTATGAACAATCACATCTTATTCTCAATTTATCTGTTGAGTATTATGATGTATTTCAATGAAATATAAATTGAATAAAGTTCAAAAGTAGTTTACACTTACTTAGCAAAGTACTAAAAATGATTGAATACTCAGAAAGCTAATCTTCATCATTGATGACAAACACCTTTTGAAAATAGGAAAATATTATAATCATCTAGCTTTTAATTACTTAGAGTAGATGTTTCAGCAGCTAATCATCTTTTATGACTGACCAATATTAAATTTTTGCATGAATAATAAATCCTACTTGACAACTGAGCTATCATCGATTGCATAATTCAGTTATCAGTCTATGAACTTTAATGTTCTATTTTTTAAAATCTTATGATCAATTACCAGCATATACTTATTGCATTAATCAATGATTAAGTAGCTGATTAAGAGGTAAAGATTAGAGTTTGTCTTATTATACCAAAGTTATAAAATTATTTAATTGTCTTGAAAACTTTATCATTGTGGTTGAAGTATTCTAGCAGCAAAACTATTTTGAATCCTAAAAGTTACCTTATTTGATTATGTACTGAAACATCTACTCATTTATTTAAATTTAGGTTGTTAAACATCTATGGTCATCAACAACCTCCTGCTCATACAATCTTATTGCACAGATTGAAGGTTAAAGACACTAAAGATTAACAATTAGCCTTATCTAATATGAGTCAGTATCAAGAGGTTAGGTAAGACATTAACAATCCAAATTTTACTGTATAATTTGATAGCCTTAAAGTATTCTTATGTTTTAATTGAAACTGAGAATGTATTTAAATGAAAGTATTCAAGAAGTTGATATATTTATTTACTAATTTAAACAACCAGTATTATAAATTAGTTATTTGTAGAATGTTGATACAATAAAAATAATCTAAAAAAATTGCTTGTTTTTGTTTATTTAAGCTTAAACATTGAAAGAATGTTAGATTTGTAATAGTTTTAAACATAGAACAGCAACAATTTATTGCTGAATGTTTTCAACACTCTGCTAATTCTATTAGACCTATTGATTATCAGCTGAATTAAATCCTATTTAAAATCACTAAGCTGTGAAAATAGAAACTTTGGTTTTTTATTAGGAACAAAACTGCTACATAAAATACTTCAATGAATGGAACTACATATTTTGTTATAGAAACTTTAACACAAGTTAACATGAGACCAAGTGTTCTTTTAAACCACTTATGCAAATAATAAATTACCCCAAAGCAAGTATGTACTTTTCTGCCTGAAAAATATTGTTAAAGCTTTTATAAGTTCTATTACGTGTCATGATTATTACTTAATAATTTACATTTAAATTTCAAATGGAAAAATCTGCCAATAATTCTACAAAGATTACTTAATTACGAATATTGGAAAAAAAACTAAATTAAAGATATTTTTGATTAAGAAATATTTCCATGTCAATACATTTTTCATCCTTTCAGTATAAAAAGTGATTAATTACTGGTTTAAATTGTCAACGACACTGAGAAATAAAAAGAACAATTTGTAAAAAGAAAAGGTAATACTTCTCCAAGAATTCACTATATTTAAGATGTCGAAAAATTCAATGCTCACAAAAATTAAGAGATTACAAGAGATTGAATTTACAACCATTGTTCAATGACTCTATCTTCACAAAAAATTATTCAGTTCTCATTCCATAAACCAGGAAACATTTGAAAGATTAAACTTTCGACCCTCTGCTGCATGAGTTATTTTACAGATATTATGAAATGTAAAAATAACCAGAAAGGTTTTGATCATCAATACTCTATATGTACATACTAACGAGAGACAAATTTTATTTTTATTTTGAACTTTAGTTAAAATATCTTGAACTTTAAATGATATTTAATCATTTAAAAATCTTACGCATGAAGTGTAATAGGAAATTAATTAAATCAAGTTATTAAAAACTTATTTGGTATGGTGAAGTAGAAAAAAATATGATAACTAGACAAATCCATATTTGAGTCTACATGAGGCAGAGGATTAATTAAAAGATAGGAGAGGAAAGCAATTAAAATTATCCCTTAATTTTGTGTTAATTTTTTAAATCTCTGTGAAGCAGAAACTAGTATTCATTCTAAACTAAAAATAACTTTTTTTCAAGTTTATCATCAACTCTTTTTTTTTTTGAAATGTTGTGCAATTTGTATTGACCAGGTTATCAGTTGCCAAAGCAAAAAAGTAACTTTTGACTTTGGATTCTCATAACTCTTGAACAAATGATCGCACAACAATCGTTCTGGTATCATTAAAAAGCTGAAAAAGTCCTTTAGAAGTGCAATAATCATGCAGTTTTTGATAACCAAAGATGCAACGAATATCATTGATGATTTTTTTTTTAAATCAAAGAAAAATTCTAACAGATATAAGGCACAAAATTTTAATGAAAAAGTCTTCAACGACGATTTTTTTTTCATCAAACACATGATTCAACTGTTTTCAAGAGAACTTTTTCAGCTTTAATGACATCCCTACGATTGTTATACGGTTATTTATTCGGAAGTTACGAGCATCCGAAGTCAAAAGTGACTTCTTTACTTTGGCAACGGATAACTCGGTCAATAAAAATTGTACAATAATGCAAAAAAAAAAAAGAATTGAGGAAATAAGGATGAGATCAATATATCTGGTTCTCAATTTAATCGGAAATTTATTTTTACTGTATAAGATTTTAAAAAATTGAGGATTATTTTTTTTATCACTCTTTTATATGTTATTGGAAAAGAATTGTAACCATAAAATACTTGGTTTATGAGAATTTGAATTTTTTTTTCTCTCTCTCTCTCTCTCTCTCTCTCTAAACTAGTAAATATTTTTCTACACATTCTGATCTATCTTGGTGAATAATTTAATCAGGTCAACCAAATTGCTCATGTTCTTTCATTCTAATTTCTTAATTTTTGTGAGAAATGAATTAATTTAGCACCATAAATTTTTCTCCAGTTTTTCTCTCTCGTATTTTTTATTTGTACATTTTTAGAGTAATGATGATTCATTGTTTATTTACTTTAAATCGAAACAGTAAATTTTCATTAGAACATTCAATTAAAAACTCTAATAATTATAATAAAAAGTAAAAAGCAATAAAATATTTTAAACAAAAACTAAATGATTTATTAACAATTGAAAAAAAAAATCGATTGTAATGAATCAAATTTAATCTAAATAGTTGTGTACCACTTTACACTGATAAAACTAGAAATTAGTGCTGTTTTTGACTATTTTCTAATTATACAGAACTAATTCTTGTGCTCTATAGTAGCCATTTAGATATCAATCTTTCCGTGTGGAAATAAACTCAATTATTATTTATCAAAGTCTTGCAGTAAAGTCAATGAGCATTATTCTAAAAATAGCTTCTTTCACTTATATTGAAATATTTCAAACTTATTCGAAAAAAAAAATCAATAAAAATCGTCATAACTACCAAACTGGTTTCACTAGTAGATATTTTCTCATGCTAGAATTATAAGATTGTCACTGATCAAAATAGTCCTATCATTTTTGCTATATTGCAGAATACTTCAAGTCTTTCATTGCTATTTGATCAAAAATATAAACAAACAATAAACCAATATATTGACAAAATAATTGAAGTGTCAAGATGAAAAATGGATAAAAACACCTCTAGAAAAAATACAGGTGACTTTTTTATGAAACAAATTAATTGATAAAATATTTAATAGTACATCGAAAACTTGATTGTCACAAAAAATGAACTTTTACTGTTTTGATTGGATAGATTCTATGTCGCTATTATGCAGTAAGCAATGGACTTTTCTTTTTAAAAATTGTTCGTCAGTATTAAGTAGGTGCACAAGCCCTAATTTTCGAAAGTAAATCAATCACAAATAAGTTACGATTGGTAAACTTGAGTTTGAACAATAAGGAATAAAGAAATAATAATTTTTTTCAATAAAGTTTTAAAGAAACTCAATTATCGTTTGTGTGTTCAAATGGTAAAGTGTGTTCTTGGTTGCGGTCCAGCTAGCGGATGAGGATTGGCTGACGCCTAGTCTTCTAGTGTGATGGTAAGCAGCAAGTTATCTTCTGTACCAATTCAATCCTTACCCATTGTCACCAACTGCAACGTTGTTACTACCATCGTCTGCATGATTAATAAACGCAGCAAAGACGCAACAAGATTACCAAGAATCCATATATGAAAATTAAACCAAATAGAAATAAAAAAATAAAAAAAAAAATAATATATAAATAAAGAAAATTCGAAGTAAAAAAGAGTATTAATTTAGAGAACGAAAAAATAAAATAAATTTGAGATAAGCTGGATATTGTAAAGATTAAAAAAAAAGATATAAAGGGAACAACAACTAAAACCAATTATTTTCATTATTGACTTAAATTCCATGTCGTAAGTAAAAAAAAAAAACTTGGCACCACTTGTGATATGAATTTAGAAGATGATCCCGTCGTTGTATATCACCCTGGACATCTATTTCCGCAATGATTGAATATTAATATAATATAATACAAGCAATTGTTTAAATAAAAAGTATAGTGAAAAAAATACAATTGCCCAAAAAAAAATAGAGCATTTCAAATAATGCCTATAATTAGTAATGTATGGGGCTGTAAATTCGTTGAACTTTACCCATGATGAAGTGAAAGTGGATGTCTGCTAGGCGTAATTTCGTGCCAAGCATAGGTATCCATTATTTTTGTATTGGTAGTTAATTGTGTACGTGGGAAAAAGCCCTCCTACAAAACCCTAACTTAAACATGATTAATTTTTTGGAAAGTGGAGAATTTAAATGGTTTATAATACTGCTGAAAATCAAAAAATACCCTTATTAAACCGAGAAAAGAGAAAAACTTAAATTATTATACCTATCTAATAAACCAAAAAAAAAAAAATAATAAAATGTGTCATTTAGTAATAAATAAATTATATTTATATATCCCAGAGATTGCGGGGTATTTGGGATGAAAAACAAGCATAGCGCACAAAATCACAAATTTAAATTGAGGTGATATAAATTGAGTGTAATTTGTGTAAATGCGCACTAGAAAATGATTATATTATTATTAATAATAATAAATGAATAATATAAATATAATAATATAAAAAAAAAACAGTCCAATGATGATAGAAAAAAATCATAGATAATATCCACTAACAAATAAAGTTCCAAAATACATGTATCTGTATTGCGATAGGTATTTTTCCTATCGCTGAATCGAACGAAATAATTATATGAAATAAACCCTTAGGTACCATAAATGAATAGAATAAAATGAATAATGCTGCGATGACGTTCAATGATCTTGCTACGTACGCGCGTGTTAATGAAAATTACAAATACATCTGGTAGTTTTTTGCCAAAATATTATTTTTATTTTAAACAAAATAAAATTCAATGTTGCTTCCGGTCATGAAAAAAATGTTTAAGTTTATAAATTTTTTTACTTAATGAAAGAAAAGAAAATGTATACAAAATCAAAGGTATAAACAATAATAATCGTCAAAATGTACATCGAATATAACGTACAATTTTCATACTGTTAACATTTTTAATAATTTATTTATATAAAAAAAAAGACATAGCTACGTCAACAATTCATTTTATTTAACTTTGATTTTTTAAAAATTTTCTTTCATGGATCAAATAAATGAAAATAATTGAATTTATCAATTACTTTAATAATTTATCATAGTCAAAATACTCTTTAAAAGTATTGATTTTAATTACTGTTGAGTTTAATAACACGTTGATTAGAAATTAATAGTTCAATTATCACGGCTATATTGGAAATGCTATAATTATAGTCATTTCAGTGAAATCCATATTTATTGTTAACTTTTGGTCTTATGATATATTGACCAATATTGTTTGTTTTTCAAAATTTATAATGTTATGATTAATTTTAAAAATATCTTTCAACATAGAAAAAAAACAAAAATAAAAAATCAATCAACGAATTTTAATGCTATTAGATACATTTAAACTATTTCTCTATTTCGCTGCGCAAAGGAAATATACGCGCAGATTTAACCAAGTAGCCTTATAAGGTCATGCAACATACGCGGAACATAAATTCGCTGAAAAGGACACAATGGCAAAAATTTACATATACATCTTTAATTTAATGCATCTACAGAAAAATAAATAATTCCAAAAATTAAAGAATAAGCAAATTATCGTGATTAAATAAAGATATGCATAACATACAAACGCATTAATATTATAAGCATAACATATTATATTAAGTAATATAAGTGAACTATAGTTAGAATATAGAACTTAGTCTAGCTGATTAAAATTCAATTCGACGTCGCAATTAACAAGAGAACGAGTGAACGAACGAACGAAAGAGAGAGAGAGTGAGAATGAGGGTGCTGAGCACATGCTGTATTGTACGCGAAACAAAGTGCATCCAAAGAAAAATAAATATTATGGCATAAAAATTATGTAAATTGTTAGTTAGGAAATATTAGCATAAGAAATTTTATAAAGATGAGGTGATAGATGCAGGGAACAAGTTGCAATCACAGACGAGAGATTCCGTTAACACAAACGTATATATTGCAAATGAATTGATGATCCGTTCATCGCGTGAAAGAATGCATATACATAAGCGTCTCAAGCGCGAATTAAGTTTTAAACTCGAAAACAATCTTCAAATAGAAGAAATCCATTTTTAAAAATAAAACAATCAAATAGTCGAACCTAAAACTTTGTTTATACTCTAGTGTAATAACACAATACAAAATTGAATTGAATCATTATTATTTTTTTCTCTCCTCTAATAGATTTTTATTTGTTTTCAATCTTGTCTAATAAAAAAAAATAAAAAAACAAACTATGCAATATCATCGAAAAGCAATCGATCCTTTTTATCTCTAAATAAATTGTACATTTGATAATTATTATAATTTTTTTAATAATAATTTTATTTTAATTTAATAAATTTTTATTTGAAAAAAAGAAAAAAAATTATTTATTAATTTAGTTATAAAAAATATATGAAAATAAACAATTACCGATTGGTAACAATAAATTTAGAAATAAACTTTTTATGTAGGTAGGATCGAATTTTAAATTGAATAAGTACAGTGGAGGAAGAGCCGCATACGAAGTTTGATTTAAAAATGAATAGATAAGTAGATAACATAATTAAACTTAATAGGATTGGCAAGAAAGTGAGGCAAATTGTAATTATTCGTGAATTACGGATAACAAGTCAACTTGTAAGTAAGAAAAAATGATAGTTATGGTAATGATAATATTAATAATGATAATGGTATTAATAATAACAATAATAATAATGAGGATTGATCAAAATCAAATATAGAATCATGAGGGGAAAAGCCTTCATGTAAAAATTAGAAAAAAATAATTTTTAATTGTAAGATTCAATTATATCTTATTGAAATGCACCGTATCTATTATGTACGTCTGTAGAATATTGTGAAAATACAGCAATAGTACTTGAAAAAAAAAAATATCTTAGACATATAAATTCAATCTAGTGTTTAATAAGTCAATAGATAGCAAAAAAAAAATAATTATACTAATGGGATAAATACCAAATGCAAGAGCGAAAAAAAAACATAATATATATTTAAGAGAAGAGCATTTAAAGATTTATCCATTGTCCTCTATATATAAATCAAATTTTATTGCCACATAAGATAAATGACTGATAAGCGAGTAAAAATATTCTCATGCGCACATGATATATTATGTATTTCTTTATGGCTGCTATCTCGATTATAAGCATAAAATATAAATTTGTTCACTATTTTCATTTTGTTTTAAACAATCTTTTATTTAACATACTCGTCATATTTTAATTTATCAATATTCTTTTATTTATACTAAAAATTATAATATCTATTTTTTTAATTATCCGAAAGATCATAATCGTTTTAATAATTATACACATAAACATTATTTAAAGAAATTAAATTCAATAAATTTTTTAAGAATCAATTGTTGATCTTAAATAATTAGAAATTAGAGAATACTTGAATTTAAAAGAAAATTTGTTCATATTGAATTAGTAAAATTATGGAATCAATTATTTTTTTATCTTCTTTTATAAATTAATTGCTCAGAAACCATGGTAATAATTTATGATACTTGTTAAGTATAATACTTTAGATAATTTGTTAAAAACAGAAGGATAAAAATTTAAAATAGTTAAAAATAAAAGTTCATATATAACTTTAATAAACATTCAGAGAAGCAGCCAATTGCCGAAATAATGCACACACCATACAGTGCGTATGCAGCGCACTGCATTTAGAAAAAATATAAAGAAAATAAACCATGATACTTTATGCAAAAAATCAGATTAAAAAAAAAAACAGAAAAAAATATAAATTTCATAAAAATTAACCGTAAAAATTAAAATATACAATCCGTATACATGTATAAAATACTGATAATTGATAAATAATATACAAGAAATATTTATGTAACAATAAAATGTTGCATAAATATGCATATTACGGGTGAAATAAGTATATACATATATTTCGTACGCATATAGAAATACATGCGTTTTCAACCGCGTATTGTTGAATGACGGCAATTAATAATTATTATCATACCTCGTATTTCTGGCAATATCAATTCTTGCCGCTCAAAAGTTATGAATTACATATAGATAGATTACAATTTAGTAGTTGAAATTATCTAAGAAAAAATGTAGACTTTTTTCTACCGGGGAATTCAAGGATTTTATGATAATTTTAGTTGTAAAAGAGAAATAAAAGCAAATTAGACAAAGATATGGGATGCAAGTAGATAAAGAATATCTTGAAAAATTTTTTAAATTTAAACAATGGAAAAATGCTTAAATTTTAAACTTAATTTTAAAATTATCATCTGTCATCTATCAAATATCGATTATTATCGAATAAAAATTTAACATTTTATTTTCAGAGAATCTTTAAATAAGGAAAAAACGTAAATCCTCTGCCAAAATGTGTAAATGATTATTTCGATGAATTTGAAGAGTACCTCATCTTACCCCCCGGTTTTTTATATTTAGTAATTGCTATATGATTTGTGTTGTGAGGAATATTAAAAATAAAATAAAATAAATATACACTGTGTTGTACTATATAACAAACAATTGCGGTCGTTTCGCTGAAAATAAATATCATCGCTCCACAAAACTTTTTAATTAAGTTACACTATAATTCATTAATTTAATCGAAACCAGTATTAACTATTATCATTATCTTTTTTAAATGATCATACTTTGAATATTATTATCTGATGAGTATTGAATTAACTCAGTTAAAATTATATCATTAATGATTTTTCATTATTTTATGTTTCATTCTTTACATTTTCATAAAAAAATGTTCTATTTTTTTTTAGTTTTATTCACATGCACGCGATTCTCTAGAGTTATAACAAGAAAAGCAGTATACGGGTATATTTCAGGAACCCCGTTGTAGCGTGGCATATCGTTATCGTTGATGATCCAAATGAAAAAAAATTACTTAGCAAAAGAATTTGGTGCCTTTACCTGATTCAGTGGGATAAAATACTTCGAGACAGTTTCAAAAATTTTTTTCACCATTGCAATTCATAAAATAACCCAAAAAAAAAATGAAAATAATTGGAACCTTTCCTCGCTAGTAGAATGATCCATAACGTCCTAAATACTTACAAGTTTAAAAATTGTATTTACGGGGTTCCTTGATAACAAAGACGTATTATTGCTTAGCATTGAATCTATATAACATAAAAAAAAAGATGGACACAAGCACCCCAAAATAAATAAATAAATGATAAAAAATAATCAAATAATCAATCAGCTATCTAATTTGATACATAATCGCTCCATTACGTATATATAAAATAATCATACATAGTCATATGATATAAGATAGAATATGTATAGAAAAAATGTATAGAACAAATGGCATTCACAATTGCTATACCACGTACTCTTGTGATAAGGCAAATGGAATACCAAGATGTGTGATTTGAAACAAAAAAAATCCATGTATTATATTAAGTATGTACATCTATATAAATAATAACTATGTATAACATGGCACAAAAGATGCAATATACAAAGTAAAATAAAATATAAATATTAAGAAAAATATGTAAACAAGATAAAAAATAAAAAAAATTAAATAAAAATACTTATCAAAATCAAAATTTAAAATAACATATTAATGCTGTATGGTTGATTTTTAATGTAGAATACATTATAGGAAATGTAACATGTGATTTTGATATGAAACTATCCCTTGATTGCAACTTTAAGATCTCCAATAAAATTCAAACTCAATTATAACAATATATCCTTAAATATTTATTCTATAGTGTGTTACAAGTTGCTGATGTTCATTCGAAAGTTAATAATTGTTTGAACAAATATTTAAGGACTTACCCTTCAAGTTTTTCTCCATCTAGCCATTTTAAAAACCAATACCTTCTAGTATTTGCTTCAACTTTCCATATCAATCAGGAGCTGCAACGTTAGAGCCAATAAAAACAATATTTTTCCTGAAATAATGCAATAAATCAAATAATGAATGAAAATAAAATTTGACAAACGAAAATAAACAAATTAATTGCTCAATCATCATTATTTTATTCATATGGTTTTAATTAAAATAGACAATTGTTTTGTCAAATTGATTCAATGGCAAAACAATTTTTAACCTTTTTTTACCTTAGCATGTGCAGTCCTCGCCGAATATATTCAGTATTTTTATCGATATATTTCAAATTATTCTCGATTAAAAACGCTTTTACACAATCCGCTCACAGAAAAATGCAATACACTACACTCCGTTTTGTAAACTGAGAAATATTCGTATTAAAAACTATTCACAAACGTTCAACGGTATTGAAGCTTTAAAAAAAAAGTGAAGTATGTTATAAACTATTATTATAACCGAACGAAAAACGTTTTTTTGTTGAAAACATTACTATGCTTGACACACATCACATCAGAAAACAACGAATTGCGTAGTTACGAACATACCGGGAATTGTTTTCGTCAAATTTAGAACCGACACTTTAAAAAATTTCTTTCTTTGTGATTACACTTGACAAAATTATACATAAATGGTTAAGTCTATTTTTTCTCAGGAAATTCACTATCTATCAAGACATTATGGATATTTGCTTGTAACAAACACGTAATTAGCTCTATTGCTATTTCATAGATATTTGACCCTGCCGACATTTTTTGCTTTAACGGTTTTTGTTTGAAAAAAATTTGCAAGATTTATGCTACTTGTTGATTATACTTAATATTTTAAATAAAAGAGTATGATTGGTGTGATAAACACCCAATTTCATCTTCTAATTTTTATAAAAAAGAATAATCAAATAAAAATCAAGCAGTAAAAAAGACGCTGTCCAGATTAAATAAATTTTTTTTTCGCTCTGGAAAATTCTTTGTGGAGTTCAACGCATCGTCTCAGAAATAACAACTAGCGCCACTTTTATTTATTTGCCGGTAAGTAAAATCTCGATTTTATCTCTACTGTATTACCGACGTATATTTTTCAAATTTGAATATCATCTTGATTACTAGAAAATGTAAAATAAATATTGATTGTAAAAAAAGAATTACATCTTTCAATTTAATATGTTGATCCAAGGAAAATAATTACACTATTCTGATTACATGTATTATATAGAATTTATTACAATAAATTGCAAGCTCATTGTAATAGCTTGACAATAAAAATAATTTGTATAAACTTACAAAAAGTTTTATTTCATTGTGAATATTACAAACAAATCTTAAACTAGAGATATTTTTTGTAGTAATAATAATAATAATAATAAAAACAGAAAAAAACGCAACATTTAGAATGTTGATGATTCAATATTTTTAATCCTAAAATAATAATTTAGATAATAATTATATAGTCAATTCATATCAGATTGTGATAAAAATTAATTAATAAGAATTAGGAATGCAAATCCTTTATCATCTAACTGTAGTCAAGTCAAATTATTTGCAATCATAATGAGAATACAATATTACACTTTTAATTATAAAAACCTGATCACTGGGAAATATATCATCAATTATCGTTACATGGAAACATTTGTAGATAGCTATTATACCAATTGTTTGAGTACAAAGCCGCGTTATAATAGATCAATTTCTTTATCCCCTTTTTATACATGAGAGAAGTTTTTGTAATTAACTTAATTGTATTGACATATTTTGCTCAATTTATTATTCGAGATGATCATGATAATTATCAGTGTTTGTAAATGATGAAATTCTAATAAATATCAAAGATCACAGATAAGAATCATATTATGTAACGAATTTAACTAATCTATTATTTTTGATGTTGAATGGAGTAATTTAATAACTTTAAAATCGAAATTTTATCATAGAAATCATCAGAGAGACTCAAAATTTACAATAAAGATCATGATACTCTTGAACAATGTTTGCACATAAATTGTCATTCAACAAAATTTCGCTATATAATTTCTCTACAGATGGTATTCGATAAGTTGATGATTTAAAAATTTCTAACAAAATAGGAAAAAAGTTATTTTCATTTTCTGATATCCATAAACCCATTAATATTGATAATCAATAAATAATTTGGGTTTATCATAAATCAATTGTATCTTAGCTCTTTCAATTATTTCTCTTAGAAAGAAACAATTGAAAAAAAATTCCTCCTTTGTTAAGAAAAAAATCATTCCATAAATCTTTTATGATTAATAATCTACAATATTTTCTCTATAATAAAGAAAAGGATAGATAAATACTAATAATGCTATATTATTATATGCTATGAAAGATAAAAACATTTTAGAAACAGTATAAAATGGACATATTCCTCTATCAATTTCCAATCTTTATCTCTCTCTCTCTCTTTTTCTGTGCTGTTTCTCACTAGTAGCCTACATTTATCAAATTAAATCCTAACAAGTACAATGTCAAAATTTTGTTTACGAAATATATATACTGTCATTTAAGCAATATCTATATTACTAAATCAATTTTGTGAGCGACAGCGTAATATACACACTTCTGTTACACGCAAAAACCCATTATTATCTCAATATAGTTTTGTAATGCTTTTTTGATATTGTAATAGTTTTATATATAAAGATGGGTGTATATTTTTGTCTTGAAATAGTTTGTTGCAAGTGCGCAAAGTTATTTAGGCTCTGTTTTACAATCTTATATTTCAGCCATCAGTCTTTCTTCTATCTCATCTTCTTTTCATTCCATTTATAATCATTAAATGTAATCTTCTTAATTAATTACCATGACTTATTCTTTATCATCACCACTAATTCGTGGACTAGTAATTCATTCAATTGCCATGCGTGACATTATAAGCCCTCGCCTGGTTAGCCAAACTCTATTTTCATGAAAAAAAAAAAAATATGTATATTAATCAGATATTTATAATTATTATGCAACTAAGAAATGTTTTATAAATTTAACCAAGTAAAATTACAAATTTACTCACCCGACACCTGTGCCAATGAGCAAAGAAAGTAAATTAGAGAGAAATAATGAGTAAAGAACCTCCTTGGAAAAAAGCCCATTTTTGCCAACCTTAGTAGTTCGGATGCTGTAAGTTTTTTTCTTCATTACTCCAAGTGGATGTTTGAATTTCCAGTCCCTGAAGGAAAATAAGTTTCTAAAAATTGCTCGACATTCTTTATATCATTGAAATAAATTCATACTTTGGTGGCACTTGGTCTGGGCGTGAACACCACTCATCATACGTCCAATCTGTTCCCTTTTCCAGCAGCTCGCCAGCATCCTGTTTAGAAGAGAAATATGATATTAATTCAAGTACTCTTCTATAACATTAAATAAATGGAAAATATAAAAAACTAAAAATTCTAGGAAATATTTCATTTTTAAAATCAATCGTTATCAGAAATGACAGATAAAGGAATTAGATGATAGTAAAAAATGTGATAGTTCATTTTGCAATTTAGAATATGATAGTATTCCAAATACGTCAGAAAGAATGTAAAAAAAAAAAATAATGCCAAGAACATATATTCAATGAGGTTTTGACCTAAAAAGAAGCTTTTATAATCATTGTGAATAATCTTCAGAATCTTAAAATTACTCAGAATTTTTTCTAAACTTATGGACAATGTAGTATAGTAGTATATACATGAGTCAACTAGTAGATATACTATATCGATATCAGCTAACTGATACAAAGAACTCGGCAAGTGACCTCACAAGTACAGAATTAATACGGCGCAAAAAGAAACGTCAAGTTGAATGTACAAGCTCACAAAATCTCCTTTTAGTCACTACTCCAAACTTACTATGTATCTATTTTGAGTGTTTGCAAAAGCGCAATTAATATGACTCGTGGCAAATCTCCTTCTATTGCGTGGGAATTATCTTGTTGGCATCTAAATAACATCTAAAAATTCAACTGTAAATAAATGCAAGAAGATGCAACTTCATGTCAATTTTCAAATACTATATATCAACAAGGTCTTCTTTCAATGCAGTCAACAAAACAATCCATCAACAGATTCCATTGTTATGAATATTTTAAAAAACAATAAATTTTTCCACAATACTATAATTAATAGAACTTTTAGTATTTATTCTAGTGTTGGTAAATAATTTCAAACACCGAGAATATTCATTAGAATAATGTTAATCAATTGAATTAATTAAATGTAAATTTGATGTTCAACAGAAAAATGGAGTAACAGTTGTTTTTACCTAATACATATACTATAATTCTTGGCCTTGTTCTCTACACAATGTCCGGAAATCGATTAATTCTGGTCGATTGACGACATTATTCTACAGTATCATCAAACATCATTTAAATTATTACTGTATCATGTCAATCAAGAGTATTTTTATTCCAGCATCACCCTACACCAGTTGCTTTATAAACACGTGTATATACATTCTCGATCTAATAAAAACCAAAGTGTAACAAAGAAGGTAAGAAAACAATACAAATCATACCATCTACTCATACTCATATCATATTTCTGACCTACATTTAGAGACGCTTCTCAAGTATCGGTAATTAAAAACTGTACTTCCACAATGTCTTTATAAGTCTACATCTGACAGTTATAGAAGATTTTTCTCTACACATTTATAATTTTTAATCCACGAAGATATGTTATAAGAATTGAAAGTTTGTCTTAAAAAATTCTTTCCCTCTAATGTTGGTAGAGAACCGGTCCTCCAACAAGAGGATAAATTCTTGATAATTCTATAAACGGATTCCCTTGAGATTTCTGTAGTGAGGCCTTAAGAAGACAATTTAGATCGTGAGAGTTACGTGAACAGATCAACGAGTAACTCTATTCATCCAACGCACAACCAAAACATGCTTTCCATCTGTAGTTGTGTAATTTACATAAACGTAAGCAAGGAGTCAAGGGAGGTCGTCCATGCACAGCGTTTACGTCTGTGTTTGAGTGAAATATACTCCTCCAATCCTGCGACTGATCGTGCTCACACCATCTCTTGATTCCAACAGACTTGGCATGTACTTAGCGTAGGAGAAGAAGAGAAAATAACTTCCTACACACTGATTGATAAATCGTATATACTCCAGATTCAAAAGTAATACTTGGATTTCAAGTATAAGAACTCAAAACAACTTGACGTTTTGAAGGTAAAAACTTTGTTAGTTGTTTTCTTTCCTGAATGCAAATTATTTTTAATGTTCATAAATATAAATATAATTTTATTTTCAAATTTTATTGTTGCTAATAATCATGAATTCTGATGATAAATATTTATTCTTTTACAGAATATAATTATTATTCTTTTTTATACTAACATCAATGACGTATGATTTTCTTTATTTCTTTTTTGCAACTGTTCATTATTGAAACAAAAAGTATCCTACTCACGTGAATGCGTCATTCAATCATGTTTATAAAGTATTTTGAACTTAAATCAACTGCTTTTTTTATCAGACAGCCATAAACTTGTTTTTTTATTACCCACAGAGAAAAAAAATTAATCAATTTTTTAAAATAAATTTATGCTAGAAAACAAAATCTCTATTCAATATTATATTAGCTTATTTTGTTGATAAAAAACTGTATGTAAATAAATATTTAAAGCTGTGCAAAGAATTTAGCTTAGGTCATTCACTTCCTTCAAGCATTTAAGTCGGTCAGATAAATTTGGCCAGAAGTATATTCCAACATTTAATGATATATACATAGCAAAACGTGCTAAATGCTATGTATTTAATGCGAATATTTGTACATATGCTATGAAAGTTGATAAATAAATAAATAAGAATAATTTTTAATAGTATTTCGTTAACTTGTATGTTTTTATAGAACTATAATAGTTGCTCGCTCATCGATTTCCGACAACAAACCACTACTATACACGCCAATGAAGCAGTCGCGTGTCATTCAAGGCCAAACGCGTGTGTAGAAGCGCGATTATCAAATGAGTTAAAAGCTTCGTAGAGAGTGCGTTATAATGTAACACGTGGCAAAAAAATAGTCCATGTTATCAACAAAAAATAGCACTCAATATGGTAATAAAAAAAATTATTCACTAACGTATTTATAAGTAAAAGAGTTTCAGTGTACTGCAATCTTGAAGTAAATCAATGTAGAGCTGTGCGTGTATGGAACCTTCACTTTAAAAGGAACAACGAAGGTTTTTAGCAGTGAAAGTTGAACATATTTCTTGTTCATTTTATCTCTCTCTAATCTTTCAAGTTAACTAACAATTTCAAATCATATAATAGCTGAATTGTAGTTTCTTTTCGAAAATTCTGTTAAGTCATTTGGGTTTTCAACTCCATTAATAATACCTCTAACTAACCTTGGCACAACTGTAATTTATATAAACTCCTTTGAGATCGTCTTCATTCGATAATTCAGTATTTGGGCTGTTCGGTGGACTCTTTGGGCTGAAAAAAAAACAAAAAAATATGTATATATTAGTATGATTTGTTATGGAGCTCATAGGATTAACAAAAAGCAATATTTGAACTAAAAAAATGCGTTATCATACTGGTCAATAAAATAATGGATTTGAATTGTCATTGTTACTTTGAGAAATTCAAAATTATTCTAAGCATGTAAAAAAAATATTTATTTAAGGAAAATGAACAGTCTAAAATAACTCGAGACGATGGAATTAAAGGTATCATGAATGATGTTAAACAAGAAGCATATAAAGTTACCACAAGAATTATTAAAATACTATTCATACATGAAACTTAAAATTTTTGCCTTCTGGTTTTAACTCCTTACGTGATAAAAAAAATTTTATTGCGCCCAGAGAATGTGTAAGCACATAAGTTGCGTGCATATACATGAACATAAATTTACATGAAATAGTTAAAGCCCTAGAAAAAAAGCTGTACTTTTATTGACCAGTATAATTGGCTATATTATAATTTTCAACACTCCCTCCTCAAAAGGTGGTCATTCGTACTGGTATTTTTAACGATTAGAATTTAAATGGAGATTTAAAACTCGAACATTTGTTTAGAAATAAAATAAACATTTATTTCTTCATAGTGTAACTCATTCATTTTTGAAAGTTCGTTCATTTAATCATAATTTATGGATTCTCTATTGAAAATACTCATGCATTGCATTGTTTAACATATATTAAACTAAAAGAATGTTGAAACTAATAAATTCTTTTTTATTGAATTATAAAAAAAAAATGTAAGAATGATATATGCATCCAGATAAAATTTTCCTGGATGCATGTAGCTAATAAATATTACATTGGATATAAATGACCCCTTTTGAGGCTAGAAAGTGGGAAAAAATGTTTGAGTGGGAAGTGCTAATTTTCTTCAATTCTAATACATTGTCTATTGGTCTGTTTACGCTTCAGTAATTTAAAAAATTCAATTAACAAAAAAAAATATTTTTCAAATGAAGTGTTTAAATAAATAAGAGATAAAAATTTAGCAAATTACGTTAAAGTTACTTAATCATTAAATAGAATTTACTATCGGACGATAGATAAACCTAATTAAATGGAACATGATTATCTGTTTCTAATGGCAATTTTTTTTATATTTATCCCAATAAAAGTAATTAAGTAAACGATAAATATTTAAACCACAATTACTACAGCATTTATAACACAATAGAATGAAATAATCAACAATTGTTGGCATATATAAAATAAATGTAACAACAGTAACTCTTTAACATGTGAACAATAAAAAAAAAGAGTAAATAAAAGTAAAAAGTAAGAATAAAGACTTGAAAAAGTCAACGTGAAAGAATAAACAGACTATTTTCTATCTCTCAATTGCCTTGTACGTTAAAACGTATGAATCATTAATTAAAGCATTCCCTTGTCATCTTGAACTTTACCTGTCCCCAGGAGTATCTCTCCGCGAAGAGGCCAGAGAATGTCTTGCTGACGAATGAGTAGAATCCCTCTGGGCTTCTCTCAATAGACGTAAGTATTCCTCTCCTCCACTTCCAAATGGCAAAGGCGTAACTCTATCAGCGATAGGAGCAGGATTTAATTCCACCCACGATTCTGTAAAAATATTGAATCAATTTCCAAGTTTCTGTTCTATTTATGTTCAATTAAAATAGTACTTAGATAATAATAAGATTTTTAATGAAAACTTATTAATCTAGATATTAATCTATTTTAAACAAACCTTTATTGGCTTAATTAAACGATATAATAATTGGATGATTATTGATGACAATAAGATTAATTTATAAAGATATTTTTATATGATCTTTCGACAGTCAAGTTTACTCCAAAAAATTAATTGACTAAAAAAATTAAAATTCAAAGTAATAATAATAAGAGAAATTATTTTTAAAAATTATTATGACCATCAATTATTTTTTTATGCATTTCGATGCAGTGATTACTCAAGAAATTTGTTAATTTATTTTTACAAAAATAATTTCATCATCTCATATGTTCTCATTTGCTCTGAAAAACAAATCCTTGAATAAATTACTCCAATCAAAAATTAGATGTCAACATCAATCGTCCAGCAATGATATCTTTTAATAATAATTAGATTTAAAAATATAACATTTATTAAAGGTGAAAAATTTTCTTGTTTATTATTACATGAGTAAATTGTCCATAAAAATCCTTGTAAGGACTAAATGATCAAACTAATAAAAAATACGGTGAACTGGTAAGTTGACTGACCTAACATGAAAGACGTTATTTCACGAGAGAGACAGATGAAGGTTTAAATGTTTAGTCATTCTCTTTTTATTTAATAATGAGTGAAGTAATGATTACTTAACAATATAAACCAACTACCTTTTATGCTACTGTTGAAACAATAAAATAGTTATTTGAACTGACGTAATTTTTATTTTTTATAAAATGAAACATGTAAAATATTTTTAAATTAATAACAATGTAAATCAATATTGAGAAAAAAATACAATTAAAAAAGAAATAAAACAATACTTCAATTTCTATTAATAATCAGCAGAAAATGGGTGCAATGAAATTATCTGAGCTCGTAATAAAATAAATTATGAAGAGCAGTAAAAAAACCATTATAATTAAAATAAATCCATAAAGTATGTAATAAATAGCACGAAAATCATCTAACTGGAAAACAGATGTTATTTACAGACAAAAAAATGACTTTACCATGTTTATATATTGATTATCCGTTTAACGAATTAAAGCAAACACAGCCACAAAGACCTTGAATCTATAGTTTGAGATGAGGGTTTGACGATAAGGATAAATATAAAAGAATTGATGAAAATATAATTGAAGAAGAGAAGAGCATATAGACAAGAGAAGATAAGAACAAAGAACTGTCAAAGATAAAGGAAAAAAACCGCTTTACAGTCATTACAAACAGATTAATATAAAAAAAAATGAAGGCAAAAAATAGCTGAGAGGATTTAATTTACTTATAGGAGAGAATGCTCTGATTAAAAGATTCATTTATAAGTTTTATTATATTTTATACGTGTACGTGACAATTTACACGGAAGCAGAGATAGACTAGGTCTCCTGACGTTGATCACGTATACTATCGTATGCTTACAGCTTACTTATTTCAACTTCCGTACATCTCTATTCTTTATATATTTAATATCCTCGAAGTGGTTTTATTTTTATTTGTGATTGTATCAGGAATTTCTGTTGTTTAGAATTGAAATAACAAATCCAAAATACTTTTTAGCATTTTCCCTTGATGTCTTCGACATTCTTATGATTTTTATAAATAAACGAATGACTTTAAACAAATAATGCATATATAAAAATAACAATTTTATAAATGTACTTATTTATAAATTCTTTTATTTTTCTTATATTCCTTTGTTCGTAAAGTTACTGAAAAAATGATTGAAGTCTTTCCTTTTAAAACTCGACAGTTTTAGATTTATTTTCTAGTCCTGATATAAAAAAGAAAAAAGCTCTTCTTCCGGGATTTCATGATAAGATAAATTATGATTACGTGATTTGTAATTTATCGTTTATTTATTAATTCATTATTGGATAATAAGTATCATGACTTGATATAGATTTACTTATTTATTTTCAAATAAATAATTAGAGCATTAGATTAAATCATTCACATTCTATTAATTAATTACACAAATAAAACTTTTTTATCTTTTATTTATTAAGAAAGTGAGAAAATGAATGTTTTCATTGACTTCAAGCATTAGAATTAAAAAAAATTTATCAATTATCATTTTTCTAGAAAGAGTTCACTTTTATCATGTCTTTAATGTATTCAGGAATTTTTTATTTTCAATGAGATGACTCATAAGAGCATAGAAAAAGATCATCGTTACTTGACGTATTAAGTAAATACACAATTTAAAGTAATAGTACTAATGTAACATGAAAATACATAATTTTTTTCAATAGAGAATTTATTTACAAAGATTAAAATAAATGAATTTTCTAAACATTACTTTAATACGACGTTAGATTTAATTGCAATCACATATAAAAATGTCAATTGCGGCGCAAAAGCGGTTTGTGTTTGTTTACATATCATAGACGATTACAAAGCCACGCGAAATGGCGGTTAATCTGACAGCTGTTAAGTCATTTCAACACGTATGGATGAAAAAAAAATTAATTAGTATAAACACCATATAAACTCACCACCAAGACTCTCGTCCGATGTATATTTGGATGCAGAAGACATTTCTTCCCTCCTCACTTTCACTCCAAAAGGTTATGGATTTTATGGAGTTATTTTATCACAACTTTACTGAAAGTACACTAGAAAAAAATCTAGAAAATAGAACGATAGTCTCATGTGAGACAGAAAAAAACAGACATAAAATGAAGAATAGAAGGACGATGCATTTACCACGAATTGTTGCGATAAAATGTTACTGAGTTACCGACCCGCGCGACAGTACTTTGTTTTGACCAAACGTCAACAGACTCTCGCGTCAGATGAAACTCAGCCAATGAAAGCACACTCACTAGACGTAAATACAACTACGTGAGTCAAACTCATGTCTCTGTTTTGTTTATTATTTTACGGAAATGACGTATTGCCAACATTGCAAACAGGAAATGATCAACCCTTCAAACCGGTTTATTTTTCTTCCAAAAAGAGAAAAAAAAATCTATTTTATGTGTTTTTGGAGTGATGGAGCTCTCAAAAACTTGTTTCACCTTCAATATTTATTTTTTAACATAAGAATCTTTTATATTTTTCAGTGTACAATGACTGTTTTTTCTTATAACAGCGAAAAAAACCCTATTTAAACAATTAGGTTAGATGATTAGAAAAATCAGCTCTGTATTATTTAAAGAAACAATAGAGAATGAAACAAAAATTTTGTAGTTTTAATTTACAATTAAACACTTGAGTAAACTTCCACAAGTAATAAAATGGATGGATAAAAAGTAAAATATTTTAACTGTGATCAAAAAATTTAAATTTTCCCACGTCAAGTAATACACTTCTGAATCAAACTAATTTTTATTTTTATAAAACTCATAAATTTTGTAATGTTGGTAATACTGATTCAAAGCAAGGAATCATTCACATATACAGTAGTAGTGGCTACGAAGCTTGATATTTCTCTGATACCTCATTACGGTTTTATAACAATCAATTTTATACATTCAGCGATATTAACATCGTATACAACATAAATTTATCATACTCTTTATAAGGTATGTATATGACTTTTGTAAAATATATCATTTTCATTATACTACCTACATATTTTATTTGCTTCTACAAAAGAAGACGCGTCGCGTATTTGTATGTGGGAGTGAGTTAGGACGTTGCCAAAAAAAAAAAAAACAAAAACGAAGAGTTAAAAAAATGAAAAAATGTAACAAACTGTTCTGATAAAAGTTGTTTTTGAGCTGAATATGTCAACATAAAGTTATTTTTCCATTTTTATAAGTATTTGTAAGTGAAATCCTTTGTTAATATTCTAAATTCGTCGTCTGCTCCAAAATTTCGAGGTCTAAATTCAAGGTAAGAGAAGAATCAAGTGAGAAAGAAAGTGAGAGATAAGTAATAAGACAAAACTCAATCATGGCCTCATATATATGCTTTAGAGGGCATTGAATGCTCAATGATTATTTATTTTTTGTCACCTCAAGGTGACTCGTACAATGACATCAAAATTGCGGTCTCTAAATAACATTTTTTTCTAGGCAAACATAAAAAGACATGAATCCTTTCACAACTACTCCATTCCATCTAACTTCTATCTAATGTTTCACTTCAATATACACTTACTTGAAGTAAACAAACATGAAATATTTTGTTTAGTATCAAAAGTGTAACTGGCATGAAGATGAAGATTCCAAACAGTGGTTCCGGTAACGGATATTACGGTCATGAGAGTGGGGTCATATCGTATTTGGATAATGTTGAGCCTGAGGTCGACACCCCTGCTGGAGAAAATGGAGATTTTGCAGAGTATATGTGGATGGAGAACGAAGAAGAGTTTGACAAACAGGTTAAAAAAACATCTCCATATAAATGTCAGTTTTATAAAACTTTCTCGTAGATTATTAGCTTCTTTATTCCACTAGGCAGGCACACCTTTTCGTGCATCTTTATCTAACACGCCAAAGTTTACTCGTAGCCCTCGACCTAGTTTTTTTTTAGTTAGAAATACATATATGATTAAAAGATCATTTTTAAAATAGTAGATTTTTATCTTGAAAATAATACAAATTTACTTCATTTTTAATTATTTTGCATTTATCAATAAGTTGATCTACAGTAATCTTCTTAAATTATTATGACTATTTATTTTATCACAATAAATCTAGATTTCATGACCAATGTGTGTTAAGATTCAAAATGATTTTTTCTAGACGATAAAAAAATGCATTAAATATTTATCAATTAATAATAAAATTTTAATTATTCCATAATTAAAATAAATTATTTTCACTAAATTACGGTATCAAACATTTTTAGAGTAAAATAAAGTTGAATCATTAAACTTAATTGATTATGAAATAATGAGTTATATAAATTATAAATCATCTTAGTTTTATTGTATGAGTCAAACCTTTTTTTTTAATAGGTCATGGAGCAACTAGAAGAAGAGGAATTAATGGAAGAATGTTTAGAGGCAATGCTTGAAGAAGAAAGACAGCATCAGAGAAATCAAGCAGCAGGTTGGTGTAATGCCGGTTCGGAAGCCATCAGTGGAAATGAGTTGTGTCAACAACTCAACAGTCTTCGAGTTCGTGGTGACCTTGTGAAAACGGTAAAAGTTTAATTCGAATTATTTCATTCAATCATGGTATTAATCGCTATATTGAAAAAAAATAATAATATTAATGATAATAATAGCCAGAGTAATTTTATAATAAACAAACTTATAATTGTTGTTATTATTCACAAGTATTAAGTATGATCTTAATCCTTTATAGAGTACATTAAATCCAAACGCTGCTGAGTTTATTCCATCATTTAAAACCGTAGCAGCAGTGAATACGCCGCCGGAAATCACATCTGAATCGTCATAGGGAGGTATAAGAACACTCAAAAACAGCGTGTAAAGAATAAACTAATAAGAGCCTAGAATACAGTGGGCATATTACCTCTATAAGCATCAATGAATTTCTGAATGAAAAAAACACTACAAATATTAGAAAAAAAAAATGATAAAAAAGTAAATCCTCGTTAAATGTTGCTAATACACGCGAAAATCGTGAAGTGAGTGTTAATATGTCATCAGCCCTTTAATGACGACGATAAACGCATTGGATTAATTCTGAATTTATTTACTAGGCATTGCACAATCGCCTTATTACGTAGAGGTTCGCAGTATATAGATCATTTGCTTCTGTATTAATTAACTCGTTATGTGAAGAAACAAAAAGACAAAAAAATTTTAAAGCTTTTGCAAAAACCAAAAAAAAATTATTAACTCTCAAAATAATCAATAGAATTTTAAATAATGTACTTAACGCTAAAAATATTAAATTAAGAACAAATAATGTATCCGATAATGCACATCTTATTAAAATTTTTGTCTGTTTACTTTCAACCTCAATTCAAGGGCATAAAAGCGACAAAACGAGATGCCGAGTAGCTAAAAAAAACTCGGAGAATTGTAATATTTATAGATTTTTCCAGAATTCAAAAGATCTTAATTTTGTATAATATACACAAACTGTGATGTTTAAAATATTTCCAGTAATTTTTTTCATATTGAAAGAAAAATTAAAAATATTTATTTATTTTCATTAAAGAAAAATCATGAATTCAAATTACGAGTATTTTAATTTGTTGTTATTTAAATGAGATTTTATTTTTTGTATCTCACTATATTTGTATAAACTTTGGTCTTCCATTTTTAATTTGTATCATACCGTTTATTCTAATTGTACAAAATGAAATCATGAATGAAAGGAAGAAGTAAACAAGCAAAAACAAGTAAATATAAAAATTTATAGATTTTTTAGTATCTAAAAACGTAGCATGTATGAATTTTCTTTCTCTATTAATTGTATAAAGTTTTTGTTTTTGTAATGATTGATTTCTTAAATTATAATGTTAAACTAATGTATTCTAAAAATAGCTTATTTTTAAATACATTAGTTAGTAATCTTTTTACGAAATCATAATCTTTTACTGCTATTATCATTGTATCAATGTTCTACTTAAGATTAAGCGAACATCAATGTCGAGGTAAAAAAAAAATATATACGTATATATATATTATGATAATGAACTCGTAAAATTATTGATAATCAATGGAAATTTAACACTCTTCTATTCTAATATCTTTTTTCGAAATCATGATACATTATATACAATTGCCCTACTTCTTTTTTAATGACTTTTCTTTCTTGCTTTTGCACGAGTATACATTACATATCTAATTTATATAATTGTAATCAATTGTACAAGACCTGACAATGATATTTGAACCAAGTAGTGTACGTAATGTGTACATAAAATCTTTTACTAAACATTTATTTTAAAAATTGTGTATCACGTTAAACTCAGATAGGATTTTTTGAAAAGCATTTGTGACTATAATTTTATATCAATCTTTTTGGTAGTAACTTGTAGTGTTTGTAATTTTATTTAAAGACCTAGTAAAAACGAGGATTTATCTGAATTTTTTGTACCTACTCTATCTACTCTTTCATATACTCAATTACTCCTCAATGCAATTATTTACAGCAATGGGAAATGGATCTTGTATCCCAAATCAATGATGACAAATATATGAATGCTTTTTTGCATGATTCTTCATGAAATCTTTATCCAATAAAACTTTTATATGCCATGAATACTATTGAATATTGATGGTTTTTATTAAGTACATTATTTTTTAATTTAACTATAAAGATATCTTAATTTATTGTCACATGAAAGCTTTTTGAATTTGAAATAATATTTGAAATAATCTAATACCTTAATTTTTCATGATACAAAAACCTTTCCAATATATTTAAAACAAATAATGTATTTATTAACAAAACTTCTGACTAGTTCAAAATCAAAAGTATTCATTATGACATGGGAAATATGGTAATAATACTCTTTTAAAATTTAATCATTAGTATTGCATTTATGTTGATGGAAAATCAGGAAATAAAAATAAGTATAATTAAATTTACACTCTATGGAGAAATTAACATTTCTCTGAATAAGTATACGTAATGCAGTATAATGCATCACGTAAAGCCTATTTTATTTACACTTAAATGAATTTTACTTTAAATAGATTTATATGATACAAGGAAATGAAACAAAAGTGTGATAATACGAACGGTTGACTATCATAAAAAAATAAGGAAAACTAACAATTTGTTAGAAATATTTAAATAAGAATGTAAAAATTATTACGTAGTTTTCATGTGACAAAAACTATGTAGATGAATAAAATTTAATTTTAATAAATTGTTAGAATAAAAATGTCTATTGAAATTATTTATAACTCATATTATAACATAAACCGATATAAAAAATAATTATTTAACAAAATTTACTTAGTATGTAAAACTTTATTTATTGACTTTACGTGAATACATAGTTTACACTTAACTTTATGTAGTATAACGAAAATTAATTAAAAATATATTATCAATTAGTTATTATGGTTTTTACCTGCTGACAAAACGTTAATCAATACAATGATAGTATCTGAAAAAATCTTGTAGCAAAAAATTTTTTATGAAAATCGAAATTTTCATTATAATTCTCATTATTCATTAATATCATAATATAATCAATTAATTATCATCAATAAACGTAGTAATACACTTGTTATAGCTTAGTGTATATTGCATAGCAGATGGAAATTACGTCTTTATCCAAGACGCATCACCTCATTCATATTTGGCAACAAACTTATAACTTGCGATGCTCTAAATTTATACTTAATGATAATTATAAATTATATCATTATGGATTAATTTTTTTCTACTTAATTACGTATGAATAAAAAATGTTGATTACTACACCGTGACGCATAATAAAATTTAGCATTTCAATTTTCATTCTATCTGGCCGAGTAAATAAATTTCACTTATTCAATAAAAAAAAATCATCTTCACAATAATATCTATCTATATAGATTTCTAAAATACATTCATAATATTATAGCTATATTTAAAATTAAATTATTATGGTATTAATTATCTATTCACATTTTAAAATATTTAGAAAATCTTAAGAATTTCATTGGAATTCAGATTTCAAAGAATCTGATTGTAATTATCACGAAAAAATCAATGATATGTAGGACGCAAATTTTTTCAAGTGAAAAATTGTATAAAACTGGTAGAAAATTGTATCGATCAATTAGGTCCGTTATAATTCGCCTTATTCACTGCAAGAATCTTTTTCTCTTTTAATCTAACATTTAGAATTTATCAGTCAATCTGCGGTATATTGTCAAAAATGAATAGTTTTAAAATTAAAAAATTTATTGATTGAAATAACTGAAAAATAATCGATTACTCATTTTTCAATTGCATCAGTTTAAAAAACTGAAAGGCATTGTTATTGTACAAGATTTTATACGTTATTATATTAAATAAAATACCCGAATTTAATAATGTTAATATTAAAGTAGTTGAGTTGTCCTAATATTGAAATGAGCAAACATTTTTAATATTATCTTTTATCGAACATAATATTTCCAATGAGTTTTAGTTATTTGTTTTCTCCCTGTATGTAAATACATTATTATAAAATTTTATAAACACTCTTTTCTTATTATTAGAGTACATAAAAAGGTCCTTTCACATACTCTATATTAATATTTGACTTAAATTTTTCTATGAAATACTGTCTTGCACTTGCACTTTGAATGTCAGTGCATTTAAATTTGTTTTTCTTGAATTTTAAAACCTTTTTAAAAATACTGAGACCAGTAAAAAATGCAATAGTTTGATACGCCAATTGTTTAATCAGTCAATGATTCACGGTTCTAATAAAATACTTATAAGGTACTATAAATACTTGGTTCATGGTCAGAAAAAATTGATTCATTAATAAAGTGCCATTCGAGGTGTATGAACCTTGGTTAAAGAGGAAAAGAATTCCTCAATAATATAAAAACTTTATCAAAGTATTTAATAATAAACAGTTTATGTCAATTTCTCGAACATACGGGAGTTCTAGGAACAAGAATTGGAGATTAAAGTGAATAGCTGAAGATAGATTGAGAGAAACTAGTGAAAATATATTATTTTCACTTGAAGCATAAATGCTCCCAACTTTTAAAAGATCATAAGTAACTCGGCATCATTTTGTATAATTGTAAAATCTATTAATTTAATTAATTCTTTACTTGTTTATTATTTACTAAATTTCTTTTCTTATACACTTTCTGTAGGACTTTGGAATTCTGACAAAGCGTGAATTGGATTTTGAACCTTTTTCTGTGAACCTTTCCTAACTTTTGCTCGAACTTCTTCCGGTCGCTCTGGACGCACGAGTGGTTTCTTCTCCGGTGCCTTCATTTTCCATACAACGATAGGAGACTGTTAAATAAATAATTATTATTAGTATAAATTTAAAAAAAAATGCAATGGTTTAAAAACTTCTAATGAAAAAACTTTTAATAGAAAAGTGACTAGCATACTCACTTGCTGATATTCCGGAAAAAGTATGAAAGCAAAGCAATTTTTAAGCGTTAGATAATTTTTAAATTAATTTACAAGTTACTTAATTATATTTATGAATATTTTTATTTATTAAACTTTAAAGTTAGAGAAAAAGAACAATAAAAGTTAATAATTAATCGTTCATTATTTATTTAAATTCAAAAATATTGCGTCATTATCATAATTATCATTTAAGCTACAACTAATATGAATATTTCTCTTTTATAATTGATCATGTCTCTAACTTTATTGTTTAAAATCTTTAAAATATTAATAACACTTACAGTCACCGTAGATTGCCTAGGATATTTAGTAGAAGCTACATAGGAAGCTTTAACAGTCAAAACTACTGCATTCATCAGATTCTTCGCGGCCTGAATAAGTGATGTTGCACTATCTAACCCCGAAACAATAAGCTCTCCACTGATATTCTGTACATCAGCCTTCACTTTGCTAGTGATATTCATTTGGTGACAATAAAGAGCGATTCTTTGCAAGTAAGCAAGAAGATCTTTCTTCGTAGAGCTTTCAGGACACTGATCAGCAATTTGTCTTGTTAATTTATCAAGTTTTGTTCCAGCTTCAGAAATTTTTTTAGCTGCAGTGATGACATCCATTGTCGTCTTTAAAGGCCCGCGCCCACGGGTAAAATCTGTCATCTCCATCATAATCATACACATGTGTTTCGCAAGAACAATGATATCGTTTCCTGCATCGTCCCATTTAGCTACTTCTTTGTCAAATTTCAATTTTTCACTTCTAAAGTACTCAACTTGTTGAAGAATCTTCTGTTTATCTTCTTCAGGCATTTTCCTCATAGCTTCTCGAGCTGTCGTAATGCCACTAATCTCTGGATACTCATCAACTCCATGTTCTCCGGTTTGTGCGCTTGATTTACTTCGAGTTTCCAGAGTATAATGTTCATCAAGTTCAACATCTTCAGGATCTAAATCTTCATCAGCACGATTCATCAAAACTGCCCGTCTAATCTCTCGTACTCCATCGTGAACAAGTCTTGAAGCATCAATAAAGTCGTTCTCATCAACATCTTTAGCAGGGTTACTGCTCAATGCATCTACAGCAACTTCAACTCTTTGAGCAAATTTGGGCATTACTTGGTCTCTAAGTACTTTAACTGCTTCTAAAACTCGCTTGGTATAGATACACGGCTCATAATTATCCATTTCTGCTTGTACTACATTACAAACCCTTGCAGAGCGTCCACGAATAGCTCCAGCAGTCCTATCTAGAGTATCTGCATCACCTTTTTGAAGAGCAAGGAGACATTTATTGACATCTTCGAGTATATGATTCTCAGAAACAGCCAGAAAATCATCAATTGTCGTGATATCATCGACAGCTTCAGTTAGAACACGAACTTGATTTTCCCAAGCTTGACGGAAAACTTCCATATTATCTAAAGCTACCTTGGATCTTGGTCGTGCTGCAAGAACTCTAGCAGCATTGATTACTTGTGGACAAAGATTTTCAATCTGTGCAGCAGCATATCGAACCATTTTGACTCCGTCTTCATTCGGGGACATACTGCAGACTAAATTAGCGACTTCTACAAGTTTATTAGCATGTTCTGTAAAAACTAAAGCGTACTCTTCGACTTCTTTATCTCTTCCATTGCGTGCAGCTTCAATGAGAACTAAAAGTGGTACGTTGGTTTCAAGGAAACTGTCTGAAACATGATCTACCACTGCTTTGCGGAGCTGACGACGAAGATCTCGAGTTTTCCTACACATGTGATCAATTGCACGTTCTAAGCCTTCAGATTGCTCTTTGACACCCATCTGTAGAATCAATCAAGTTAGTATTAGTAATTAATTTTATTATTCAAATATCAAAAATTGTGCTGGCCTACAAAGATATTACATTACTTTTTGTTTACTTCAAATAGAAGATAATTTTGAGAAATATATTTAAACTAAAAATTTACATCATATTTATGTTCGTTAATGATTTTCTAAAAAATTAAAGAAAAAACAATTATAAATTTTTTATCTAAGTAGGCCTGTAATACAGCATCAATATTAATACACAACTGTCTACATTGTATATGTAGTGTCTTGTCATCGTGGCTCACTCATCGACGACAAATTCGAGTGCACAATGTGTTAATTACAAAGCTCATAATCTTTTTGATGAGTAGTAGTTGAATTATCAAAGTGTATAATTTTAATGTTATATCCAGATACTAATATCAATGGTATTTCAATTAATGTGTTTAGTAATTAAATATATATGTAAAAGTGCTTTAGCTGTGGCAGTACTCAATAATAATAAGACTTCAATAAAAGCTGTTTTAGCAATTCAATTTTAGGTGGTTTTTTAATTGCAGAAAATCAACACAGTTAAAATTGATACAATATTTACCCGCTTCCGACTACGGGCTAGCTTTAACTGCCATCACCAGTGAAAGAAAGAAGAAATGAATAAATAAATAATTTGTAAATTATTAAGACGTATAATAATAGAGACAATAATTATAAAAAGAATAGTAGGAATGATATAAATAGAATCACGAGACCATAAAAATACTTACATTATTCATATATTCACTTAATAAATCTTGCAGAGCTTGTCTAACGGCATTGCATTCAGCGACGATTCGTTCACGATGCTCATCTCGAGTACATGAGGAGTCTGCCATAAGCGCAGCCCCACTAATGATACTTTCAAGACGTTCTTCTAAACTTGGTCTTGTACAGACTTCATTATAAGCAAGTGGAGACATAACCATGCGTTCATCAAAGTCATCTAAAGCAGCAGCCAATTCTCCAGGACCATCGTAAGGATGCTGACTATCAGAAGGAACTTTACCCTGTGCTACATCGTTAATTGTATTTACAGCTTCACACACTTGCTTTAAAACATAGTCACGATTAGCTTTAGCAGCTGCTAATTCTGGATGGCGAACGTAAACCTTTGACGCTGTCAATAACATTGTTGAGTGTTTTTTCAAGACAGCACGAGCTGCAGCGAGGTCATCGCGAAGTTGAGGATCTTTTAATTCTTGTTGACGCTTAGCTGCTTGATTCATCAATTCTGAAGCATTTCTACCAAACTGTTTAATATTCTCCAGTAGTTCGCCTTGAGATGATGCATTTTTAAGCTTCTTTAAATCGTCTTCAACGACGTGCAGTGATTTTAGAAGGAGGTGAACATCAACCATATCCGCTAAGATCAATAATCGAGTTACTGCTGATAAGAGATTTCTAGCTGCTCGGACCATATTTCCACGTTTAAGGGAAGAACAGGGATCTTCTGAGAATTCTCTTGCTGCAATACTCATAGCAGCCCCAGTTTTTTTGACTTCTTCAACAGCACAGAGCATTTCTGCTGTAATATCTGGATTTTCATAAGCTATTTGCTCACCTTTTTCAATAAAATTGGCTGTTGCTTTTTCAACAGTACCAACTAACGCACTAGCTCGTTTAGACTTTCCTTTCTTTTTCTTACTTGGTCCTTTAGTATTGACTAAAGTTGTCACTTGAAGTACTAAAGGTTCCAATGTCTTCTCTACAGACATTGTACGTATTTCCAAGTTTTTTGGATCCCATTTGAGGGTTATAGGACCAAAATCTGACATTTTGTTACGTTCAAAGATATACCTGGTAGAGTAATGAAGCTATTAGTATATACAGGTTATAATGTTGAGTCATAAATGACTCATCTACGTTATCAATATTTCTAGAAATATTTTTATAAATTTAAAATCGCCATTGATGAAAAGTATCGTGCGAGATATTATAATAAATAATAAATTTCAAAAAAATATTCGTTTTATCGAAAAAAATTAATACCAAACAAATTCTCGCAACGGCAAACAATGGCTTTACAAGATATTCTAATTAACTATTTTTTATCTTACCTTCATAAAATGACGAAAACGAAATAACTCAAATTTGAACCACTTTAATTGCTTGTTTTTATTTTACTTTTTAACTTCCATTCACTTTTCTGTGGAATATTTCTTGCAGTTTGTAATTTTCTTTTGGGACACAAATTTCAGAGTTGTCTACTACCTTTCATTCATGACGTCATTACTTCCGCTTGCTTGACGCTGAAAAGTGGGGCGTTTGAGGCCGACAAGCAATACGCCCAAGTGTTCGGATGATAAAAGATTTTCTTTTACCTGTTTTTCCAATAATTGATAAGTGTATTTTCTACAAGTTCTGACCCATAATGGATTTTCCTTGTTTATTGGGGAACGTGACTTTCGTCTCCAATTTCAGGGTATCCTGTTGGAGAAGATACTCAGGATAATCGATGTCAAAATTAAATTATTTCCCGCGTATTTTAATTTCCAATATCTGTCTAACTTTTAATTGTTATTTAAACTGCTCAGCCTAAATATTTAATGATGGAATACTAAAAAAATGTAGATATGAAACTTTATGAAAAAAAAACCTCCCCTCTGTCGGTAATTACTCGGAGGGTATTGGTCTGGCTCTTAAGGTATGCGTTTAGGTGTACCCTGTAATTGGGGACGAAAGTCACGTTCCCGTTTATTAAAACGTAACCTTTCAAAGTCTACTGTCTGTAGTGTACCACAATAACATTTTTTTTTATTAACAATTAACAGTAATTATACGAATAATACAGCTGTTACAACACATCATTTTGTTATCAGATCTAAAAATGGGAAACCTTAGTGCAAATGAAAATGATTAAATTTCTTACTAAATTATAAAAAATATAATAAGTTGGTTGAATAAATGAGGTAAGTAGTTGAAAATACTGCAGTGTGCATATCACATGATGTAATTAGTTAATGAATAATGCAAATTTTTGGTTAACTAGGCTACTGTGGAGGTTTACGTTTAACTTTATCATAAGAGTAATATAAACAAAAATCAGAGTTATTATAACACAACAAAATGCCACATCCTTGTGTAGTATGTGGTCGTTCTCGAATGAATCCAAACAATCGGGAAGAAGAATACATGTTTTTTGGATTCCCAGTCAACTATGAAACTCGTTGTAAAAAATGGCTAGAGTTTTGTGGTAGAGAAGATCTCTACAAACTTACAAAAAAACAGCTGCTCCAAAGAATGGTTTGTTCAAAACATTTTGAAGAGAAAGATTTTCTCAACGAGTATTTTGATAGATTAAACTGCACTGCTGTTCCATCTATTTATGATCCAAAACAAAGTCTGTATAATATAACATGTGTATTGTGTGGAAGATTTAGAAAAGATCCACCTGATCCAGATTATGATGGCACGACGTTTCATCACTTTCCTGGAGAAGAGTTTAGATGCCTGAAATGGTTAGAGTTTGTAGGAGTTGATTCTTATTACCGACTAACAAGAAAAGAAATTTTATATTGTTATATTTGTTCCCATCATTTTGATAAATCTCAATTTATGCCTGGATACCGTAATAGACTTATCGACAATGCAGTTCCAAATATTCGCTATCCCGATCAACTGAATGGTACAGAAGAATTCATTTCAGAAGCATTATGTGTTGATTCAAAACCATCACCAGAAAAATTAAAAAAATTGGATCCTTTACCTCCAGAAGTACTAGAGAGTCAAGCATGTGCTGCTTGTGGAAGATCTAGGTCAGATCCACGTAATAGAGTTGAGAAATATAAATTTCATCCGTTTCCTGCTTATGAGATAGGACGATGTTTGCGTTGGTGTCAATTTCTTGGGCGAGAAGATTTACTAAAAATGTCTCCTAATCAAATTAGAAAACTCGTGCTATGTTCAAAACATTTTCCATCTGGTCAACCTTTTCAGAAAACTGGTCCATGTGATGCAGTTCCTACAATTAAAGATATAACAGATACTACTTTTTCTGCATCTTCTCTTCTATCAACAGAAGAGTCTGATTCACCTCTTGTTGAAATAAATGACGCAACGAATGAAGAACAAGTGGAAATGCCAGAAAAGCGTAGGAAAAGAAAAAATCATTCAATATCATTTGTTTCAAGCAAGAAGCCTTTTGTTGCTAATAAACCTACACCTTTAGCAAAGAAAAGAGGCAAGTCCAGAAGACCAACGTTGATCAATATTCCTAAACCACAAACGATCAATATTGATAATAGAGTGTTGAGAAAATTACCTTTACCTCCAGCTTCAAGAAATTGTGATATATGGAAATTTCAGATACCTAATCAGATTCAACCAATAACCATTCAAAATCATGTAACTTCAATTCCTAATGTTAACACAGCAGACGTTAAAAAAGTTGTTTTACCTTTCACGGGAAATATTTCGAATCTAGGCAAACCAATTCCAGTTTCCAGTTTATCAAGTATTCCACCAGGCCTTTTAATAAAAATTGATTTACCGGAAGCGACCAACTCCCAACGAGGTAAAAAAAAACAGACAAGAAGAAAAAAACAAAATAATGTTAATTTACATACTCAGTTACCCGAAGATCGACCGAAAAGAGAACGTAAACATAATAGAAAATTATCACAAGCAATCACACAAAATACATTACATCATGAAGAAATAGAAGATCCTTCTCAGACAGATTTGACTGACTTATTGATGTATTCACCTGTATCGAAATTAAATATGGATAGGCCATCTGAGGGAATAGAGAATGAAGAAGTTGTGGTAGAATCTATAGTAGAAGATGAAGATTATCATGAAGCATTTAAAATAGATGGAGAAGAATCTGCTGATATGAACTTAATGTTAGAATCTTCCTGTAGTGAGATGAATTCGTGTGAAGATTTAGATATGAAGAGCCATATCTATAATTCAATTCCATCACCTGATGAATTTGAATTTGTGAAATGTGAAGTAGCTAAAACAAGAAAAATGATGAGTGCACGCGCTAAACGAACACTTTTACCAATTACAAATGAAGTGAGAAGATTTTTAAAAAAATTACAGCCCCAAATGCGGCGGCTACCTCGAAGAGCTCGTGCTCAATTAAAATTGTCGATTGTAACAATGGTTATTGATCGTTTGTAAATACTAATTAAAAACATAAATATTTATGTTAAGTGTAAATGGTGGGGAGAGGTTTAGGAAAAAAATTGTCGTTGATGAGGAAAATCAGAAAGGTTAAATAATAAATAAAAACTATTTTTATTACTTACTGTAAGAATGAAATCTTTTTTGATTTGATTCTTGAATTAAATATGAATATCTCTAAAGACTAATTAAAATTATATTTATATGGAGATCATTGTATATATTATTTTATTGTTTAACTAATTAGTAAATTAGTTAATTGATCAAGAAGAAGGATTAAAACCATATGGTCTTTTAAGATGACCATCAGCTTCTTTACTAGGTTGATATAAAAAGTAAGCTCGTTTGAAAGCCAAGTTGGGGAATTTTTCAAATTCCATTTGATTCCACATTTCTCGAGCCTTAAGAACTCGCGACTTTCGCACTTTACTGTAGAATAATTTCTTTTTAAGTTCAATCTGCCAAAAAATATTAAATAAGTCAAAAAATGTGCATTACTTAATATTAAATATTTACATTCAATAATTTACTATTTATTATTAAAATTATGTTAGTAATAATGGCCTTAAAATGTATAGCTACCTCTGCTTGTAATTTTTTTATGTTATCATAATTAAAAACTTCATGTCCTTGTTCTTTGATTGTAATCGTTGGCGCAACAATTTTATCTTGCAATTTCGATTCTATTAAATTCCACATTTTTTCATTTTTTTCTAAGAGGTCATCTGAAAAATACATGTCATATGATTATATATCATAATATTGATTGAAAATTTTTATTTCAATTAAGTATTAATTTTTGATTTAATTTTAATTAAACTGAATAAATTAAATATCAATAAACAAAATAATTTATAGAATTACGTTTTTGTTTCTCAGTTAAAAGAAAACCTTCTCGATACATGATCCACATTCTTAACGGTGGGATATTATAACAAACTGGTAATTTAGCTAGTAAAAATCCTTCTTTAGCCATCTTTTGCAAAGCAATCTATACAAATGAGATATTATTAAAAATTTGTTTAATTATAATAAATAAATCAGTTAACTAATCTATTTTAAATAAAAATGGAATAAATTTTTACTTTCATTAAATCAGTTAAACTCTTTTTACTGAAATCATAAAACATTTCTTCTTTTTCTATTCTACTTTCTTCTCTCGATGTTCTCAGTTGTTGTACTTCTTCATGATTTATCTCAGTGTTTGTCTCTTCGATTGGTTCAGCTACATTTCTTTTCTTGACCTTTCGAATGCGATGTCTCTGATACTTTTTTTTAACTTGAGAATCTTTAGTATTGACTATTTTATTCTTTCTTGAACTATCTTTTCCCTCTTGATCATTAAATGATTGATCTGATAAATTCAATTGTCGAACTTTTTCAAATAGCTCTTCAATATCTTTTCTAAATGGTTGATCTATTATTTCTCTCCATTTATTAACATCAAAGCGAAATCTTGGCTTAACAATTGGTTTAGTTTCAATTGGTTTAGGTTTCGGAATAAATTGTGTAACAGACCAATGATGATGAGGTCGATTAGGAGAAATTGAAATATCTGATAAATCTGATTCACTTGATTCTGGAGTTATTGTTTTCGGAGTTTGCATTGTTACTTCTGATAAAACATATTTTTCCATTAAACATTCATTATTAATTTCATCATCACTATTATTTTTATCATTGGGATTCTCAACAATAGCACTGATTGCAAATCTTATTTTATCTTTATATTCCTTAATTTGAGATTTTTTCGAAACTTTAGGTTTACCTAACATTTTTTCTCTATCAATATCATCCATAAGTTTTTTTAACGGATGAATTACTTCAGGAACTTGAACTTCTAGTTTTTCAACATCTTTTTTTTCTTCTACAAAAAATCTTTGAGTACAGGTTTGATGATCAATGGGTTTTAAAGTTCGCATTTCTCTATTTTCTCTATCTTTACAAGCTTTTTCAAAATCTCGAAAAATTTTATTCCCAGCAATATCATCAGAACATTTATTGCAGTGAGATAGTTTATTTTCTTTATATTTTTCTGCAATACAAACTCCGTTTTCTGAACAATGAAATTCATCTTTATCTTTTTCATTAGATTCTAATTCATGTTGACTACAGGAACACGATGGAACATTCTTTATCACAGGATCTATATTTAAATAATTATAATCATTCTTAGTTTGATTAAATCAAAAACTTAAAATTTTTAAAAAATCATCTTTCAAATACTTACCTAGATGTTTGATTTTTTTAGGAATATGCAGAGTCTCTTTGACGACACTAGATATCAAATAATTAATTTTCCCTTTCTCATCAACTGTTATTCCACTAATTATGTTCTTCTTTATTATTTTATCCTGAGATGGAATGATTTGTGGTAAATTTGTCCATGAATCTGGCAAACTTTCTGGTGGTGAGTTTAATACTAAAGAACCAACCATTTTTGTCTTATCATTTTCATCCATAACTACAGAATCAAGTAATAAATATGGAGTTTTTGATGTATGTTTTTCAATCAAAGCCTTTCGAACTTGTCTACAAGCACAGCAATCATCACACAAATCAGAGTTATAAATATTTCTAACTACTTCTCGGACATTTGTTAACATACAGTTTGCTTTTTTTTCTAGACTTCTATAATCATGGTCAATATCATTAAACCATTCTTGCCATTTTAATGATAAATTCTCTCGCCCATACAAATTCTTATTTGAAACACTTTTAGATTTATTTGAACCAATAATTACATTTTTGTCAATATTTTCATCCTCAATCATTACTTTTGATATGCTGATAATTTCTTCAAAATTATCAACTTCTTTTTCATGGTCTTTTTTATCATCTAAAAGGTCTTCTTTATTTTCTGACACTCTATTGTCTTCCAATCGTTCATCTATGGTCAGAGATTTTTCTAATTCTTCATTCTCTTCAAGCTTTTCTTCTTTATCTACAAGCTTATTTTCTGTAATTGGAACTGGAGCTAAAACATTGCTTTTAAAATTTTTTTTCGAATCGCGAGATGTTTTCCTTTGATAATCCCTCTTGAATTTTTTTTTAACATACGATTTAGCAAGATTATTTTCTAGTAAATCTTCTTGTTTTTCCAGTAAATAAGCAGGTGGTAAAATGATTTGAGGCTTAGCGATTGTACTACACTTTTCTCTCCATTTCTGCAATTCTTTTCTATATTGCCTCCAATCTGGGCGTTCAAATAAGGGTTCTAAATATGGAGATTTAGCAGGTTTTCGAACAGAAACTTTAGGATACAATGCTGTAATAACATGATTTATGTAATATGATTATTTGAGAATCTACTATTCAGAAAAAAGCCATCAATAAAAAGCAATGATGTATTCTATTGAATAACAAAAAAATGATAATTACGTTTAGGAGGAAACTTGGCATCTTTTCTAAATGGTAATCTTTTATGCAATTCATTTATCGTCTCAGGAAGTTTCAAGAATGATATCGCTGATAAAACAAGTCTCTCATTACAATCATAAACACTTTCTGGAATAATTTGTAGATCAACAAATGATGTCAACGTTATTTAAAAAATTCAAACTAACTATATCCTTCATCTTCAAAGTAATTTCCAGTAATATACCGATAAATTTCACTTAAAAAGAGCGCTGGATCAAGCTGAGCTGATTTATGTAAACTTTTGATTTTGCTTGATGGTATTCTGACGAATGTTGAAGTTATTCCTATATCACGTAATATTTTTTGAGTTCTTTCTGATACATGCTCTTGATAATCACATTTTATTACTTCTCTTAAAGCCAAGACTTGCTGCATCTAAAATACATACAATAAAAATTTAAAATAATCGTTCAGATTTTTTGATAAAAATGTTAAGAACTTTTTCATGTACATTTACCTGAGGAATTGACAATTCTTGATACCATCTAGGAACTTTAAAGCTTTGCATTTTTTTATTATTTCACTAAAATTTCATGTCTACATGATGTGTAAAAGGCTAAAAATTATGTTACTATTGAATAATATTCAACTGTTAATTTTAAAATAAAATAAAGTGCCAAAGAATTGTTATGAATCATCGTAACATTTCAAATGTGTTGCTTGAATTTTTCTGTCTAAGTCTGAATCACGATTTAAACTAGAAGCATTTTTTCTGTAAAAGCTATCTTGGATAATTAATTTTCTACCGAGTTTGGTCGGCGGGACTCTTGGGAAATCTTTTAAACGCCAACCATACTCCCAATTAGTACATTCAGTAGAGTAAAATCGATCTTCAGGTTTTAGTTCATGCCTAGAAGATTAATTAACACTTTAACTTACTTTTATTTTAACCATAATAAATATTAAAAATAACTTTTAATATAAAAATAAAACGAATTTTTTTTTACCTTCTTTTTAAATAATTTTTTCGTGCTTCATGATTGTCTGATCCTGTTTTATAAAGAATTTCGAGAACAGAAGGATCAACAGGATACATATAACTGGTATCAAACTTTTCTGTAGATGTACTTGGTTTTTTTTCTTCTTTTAGTGGCTGAAAAAAATTATATAATAAGATGTTTTAAAAAAATTATTACTTCTTAGTTCTATTTACATATCATTCAAATAAAAATATTTACTTTTCTTTCTGGTTCATCAATTTTCCACTGCTTATGATATTCTTTAAGCTGTTTAAGTTTATTTCTTACAACATCTCCAACATGATCTTTCTCTAAATTGTCCAATAATCGCTGCCGATTTTTTATAAACCATCTCATTCTAATTTTATTTTCATTTTCACAAATTTCTGTATTTATTCTCTGCCAACTGACATCATACATTCCAGAATTTTCAGTCATTATTAGTTTATATGAAGTTTTTGCACCAAAAATTTAGATTAGACTTCTAGAGTAATTTAAAAAATATATCTGAAGTTCTGCAAGATTGATAAGAAACAATGAAAGATTTTAATTTCATAATCTATACAATGATTTATTAATTATTTTATTTACACTATTGATACATTTGGAGGTTTATCAAATGCCCTCCGTGCCGTTTTCAATAAGATACTTAAATATATCTTATCCTGAAGCTACTGATGATGACTGGAGTAAAGATAAAAGCATGCACTATTTACATAATGTTACAATAAAACTTGACGCAATTTTTTATAGATCAGATGTATGACGTATTATTCAGTTGACGTTCTTCAACACTGGAGGACTATTTTAAATATAGTATTTATTAATAAATGATTAAAACAAAAAAATAAACACACTAAAGAGTAAAAATGAGAAAAAAATAAATAATTAAATGGCGTAATTGTTTGTGTAATCTTTTTTGTGATATTAATTGTTTCAGAGTTAATATCAAATAAAGATAACACTTAATTGTCACAGCCATAGGAAGAAGTATTATATTCATAGAGCATTGACAATTGATTTTTTATCTTTACAAATATTGACTTGATACAAAACTTTATACATTTGCTTTAAAAAGGTGTTTATATAAATACATTTTTTCTTTGTTTATAGTAATGTTAAGTTTATTAACACTGGAATCATTAAACTATTTCTAGCAAAAAATTTTTCAACCTCATCATTGAACAAATGTGTAGAAATTGTTGCATCAAACCATTTAACAAATTTTTATCTCTCTAATTAATTCATAATTGAATATTTATTTTTTGCATATAAAATTCATAATTTGTATCTAGCGTATTCTTATATGCTAATTAGCATTAATATATCACAAAATTGACATCATTGATGGAAGTATATTTTATTATTATAAATACTGGGTTCTTAATTTGTCCAATACTTTACTGAAGTATGGAAATATTGCATTTTAATGGTAATATCTCATTTGATTTTACAATTTTATTAGTGTATGAAATGTGCTTCAATAAGTAATAATACTACGGTATACGTATATGTTTAAAGATTAAATATGATGGTTTTTGTAGATTTGCCCTCCAGTGTCTTCACGTATTCAAATTTATGGTTTATATTCATTTCAATTTTTAAATGAAATTCAATTGAATCAGTCTTCAGATTTTAACAGAATGATAATATTTACCTCCAATTTTTTCTGATTTCATGAAATTAAATTTAATTTTTATGTAACTTTTTTACATAAATCAGTCTAGTACGAAAAGCTAATAAAAATATTATTTTATTAGTACTAAATTTTCTTTCATTATCTTAAACGAAATTCAATTGAATGTACTTTTAAATTTTATTAAACAAAAATAACACCTAAATATTTTATAGATTTATAGAAATAAATAACGCAATAAAGAAAAAAGGGGCTTGCTATGAAGCTCAAGTCACAATTTCTAATAAATATTTACACCTTTTCAAATTAAAGAATCGTAATTTAAATGTTCTTTTTTGCAAAGTAAGAAATCGAATCACTTTTATGTTAATGGCAAGTAATATTAACATACATATTTTGCACTCGCAATAACCTGAAATTCACTTTTAATTGAGTAGAGCAGTGAATATACCATTTTTGTCGAATTATTTATTACCGCTATTTCTATTATCACTGTGTTACTAATATCAAAGTGCGTTTTTTTCAATAAAATAAGATATTGAACAAATCAAAAAAATTGTCAGATATTTTTTTTCCAAATAATGAGGTAGTGCCTGCACTTGATTCCTCATCAAACTCTTCTATTATCACTCAATAAATATCCTTTTTTTCGTCCTTATTACCAAAAAATTGTTTGCATGTCATTTACAATCAATATCCGATAATTCTTAACAAAATATTTATCATTAATAAACTCTCGAAATATAAAAGTTAACTGAATTTAAAACTTCTACATGTCTAACTTTGTGTTACTTCAAGTAGCACAGATCCAGGTGATTTGTTATTGAATAATGTCGTTCCTCGAAAGCTGCTGCTATCACTGACAGCTCTCGATGTCGACAATTGCGATAGACTGGATGAGCTTATACTAGTGCTCCCTTCAACATCTGCATTGAAACACAAATCGTCTTGTCTGCGTGCCAGAATATATTTGAAGAATTCATACCTACAAGAAAAATACTATCAATCATGTCATAATGATGAGAAAAAAAAATTAAATCGTGACCTAAATAATTTCTTCATCAGCCATGACATATCTTTAGGTAATTGGACAATTTATTTTTCTGCTATTTTCGAAATGTTTTATAAGATTGATAAAGTTGATAGAAATATGATAAGAATAATGTTTAAACTTGAATTCTTATCAACTCTATCAATTTTTTTTTCTAGTTTCATATAATAGATAATTGAATTTATCTGTTATTTTTTATTGATTATAAAGTTTTTTTTAGAGCATAATAAAGTTGAGTTACCTAATTGAGCCAATATTTATAATGACATACGGTTATGAATGAAATTAATGTTTATTATTGTAAAAACGAAAAATTACTTTTATAATTTTTTCTTACTTTTATGCTTATTTTTTTTCGTGTCTAATGTTATTAATCATTTCTTCTACCGCAAACAAAGTTAGAAATAACTAATAAAGTTAAATTTATAATTACACTTACGTGGACCAGCAAATTGCGGTAGCAGGCATCTGATAAATGATTCGTGCATTGAGACCACGAAAGTATCCTTGAATACCAGCAAACCTATAAACGGTTTTAAAAGCATGAACCATCCCCTGAATCTGAACTCCGCCTTGTTGCGTGTTCAAGACGGTTTTACAAACATCTAGAGGCGTAGTTACAGCTGCTGCTACTGCTCCTGCCATTCCTCCTATTATTTAATAATTAATTAGACTGCGAATCAATTCATAACATTGATTTTAATCATTCCGCGGTGACATTGAATTCCGTCATGCTTTTTTATATTTTATTTAAACTGATTCACTCACCCGCAACCATATGAGCTGTTGGGTTATATTGGTGATCTGGGTTCAATACTGTTTGTCCAAATTCATAAGCGATAAAATGTATACTTTGAAATGGTACATTCATAGCTAATTGAGTTGTATAGCTACGATAAAATGCAAAAACTCCTTCTGTTTTATATATATGATGAATACAGTTCAGTACGTTTGTATATGGAGAATTATACATTTGTAATCGTTGTTTAACAACTGAAAAAATCAAAAAAATATTTGTTATATTCAGTTACAGATTTTATTTAAAATTGAATGATAATTGAAATAGATGGTTGAATAAAAGTGAAATGAATTTACCTTCTGCAGGGTTCATAACACCATCATGAAGTAATGTCGCCACGCAACCAGCTGCTCCATAGACTAGATGATTCACTTGTGAGGTTGTTTTTGCAATCATTCGATTTTTTAGAAACTCGTAACATGAAAAGTATAAAGCATGAGCTGGTCCAGCTCCAACAACCATTGCACCCATTCCTCTTATTGGTCTGAACACTCCTTCATCACGTATCATTTTTCGAAAAATGGTGAAAATTGATCTCTTTACTCCTGGTTCTGGATTCAACATTTGCAGCCTTGTCTATAAATTATACATTAATTATTGACAGAGAAAAAAACAATTATTTTGGTAAAAATAATCATGAATTAAATTTCTGTAAACCAGAAGACTAAAAATTATAGGAATAACTTTTACATACATTATGACGAAATATTTAAATCAAGAATGGAAATGAATTAAATTTTCCTAAGTAAAGATTGATTGAATAGAACTAACAAGAATTATGAAAAATAAATTAATGTGATATAATATCGTTCGTATTTCAGCAGTTTAATTTTATAAAATTATATGCTGTTATTGATTATTACAGTATTTTCTGCAATTTTTAATTTGCGTGACTTAGCAAAATGGTAATAAAAATTATCTGCTTGGATAATTTCTGTAGAAAAACTACTGTCAATTTAGTTGTAAAAATGGACATACTTTAATTATTTAAAACAAGTCAAAAATATAAATTGAATCATCCTTGTTATATGGAGAAGAATGAACATAAAAGCTTGAACTTTGCGGGGAAGTTTTAGATCACATGTATCATAAATAGAACCCGTAGCACCGGCTAGTTTAGACTGTGTTATGTAATCTGCATCGAAATACGTTCTTTTCAAGAAAATATAAGTTTTAAAAAATATTGCTTGTTATGTTGTTTATACGACTGGCTTTAAAAATTATTAAAAGACCATTCAGGAAGTTGGACATTTATGTCTATTCATCCACTCGTTCACTTATTATATACAATTGAACTCGCACACGTATAAAAGCTTCATCTACATTGATAAGTCCTCTCAATTTTCGACTACAATTATTGGTCCACTTTGGTCTCATTCAAGCTTTCACGTTCAATGATACTGCTAGTGAAATGATAATTATTAAGTTTTTCTAAGCATTATATAATCCATATGTGCACAAGAATTGGAAGTAAATAGCCCATTTCAAAAAGAAGGATTTATCAAGAATTACATCCAGTTGAATTGAACTTAAATGAGAACAAAAAACTTTCCAAATACTCAATTGACTGTTGATGTCGTTAGCTAATTGTGAAAGAGTTAAAAATAATAAAAAATGATAAAATTTACGACAAAAAAATGGACAAAAGTTGGAGAAAAACCAGCATTTGAAATAGTGTTACTATTTCTCGAAAGTCTGATGGAATATACTAACTATCAACATGATGTAAAGTTGAGGAAAATAAATTCTCGCAATTGAAAAACGTCAGTAAGTTATTTATAAGATTATTATCGACAACAATCAAATAGTTTTTGCTTCTCTCAATAGGATATTTTATAAAAAAAAGAATAAAAGATAATAACAACATCATTTATAATAGAAGATTATAGATGAATAGGTAACAGAAAACTCTATCAACATTTGTATGAACAACACTTGTAATATAATTCGTCACACGGTTGAACATATCAATGATTTCTGAGAAATAAAAAGCGTTCCATGAGGAAAAAACGTGAAGACTATTTCTTTCAAGACTTTGATAGTGATTAATTTAAATTAAGTCGGGGAATATTGGAGGAAAAAGAATCCTTTTACTCATGTTTATTAGAATCATCCACATGGTCTGTCAGCAACTTCCTAAAAGAAATGAACTTAAAGATTAAGCGAATAAATTATGGAGGTTATGTGAAAAAAATAAAAAGCGCTTGAGAAATATAAATAACTACCTTGACACTATCAACTGGATACATGATGCAGTGCTCCATAATTCCAGCAAAGGCACCGGCAGTCATGTTTACGCCAACAGACGTCGTTGGTAATGATTCGTAATCTTCAATGTCCATGTTCTCCCAAGGGTTAACTCAGGAAGACAGGTGGAATAAAAAAAACTTACCGGGATCACACCCTGATCATCAGAAAAGTTTTTTAGGTTGTTTAGCTTTTCGAAGCTTGAAAAATTAGCCCGCAAATTTAGAAACAATTTTTTTATTAAGTTATCGTAAAAGATTTGTCGGTTTTTTTTATTTCACGATTTTCGTAACACTTTTTAGAGTTGATTGCAATTATTACTTACGACAGACGATTATCTACAATTAAACACTTCTTTCATGCGGCACACATTTAACTGCAAAAGAAAGAGTTATCTCAACGTTTATGTATGATGATAACAACTAGTACTGAAGTAAGTAATGTTCGTAATCAAACATGTGATCGTACTGGTCACAGATACCACATTGAAATTGAACCGAAAGCAAATTTATTCGCTACTTTACATCGCGAAAGGTACCCCCGCAAAATAGCAGTTGTACAATATTCACACACATTGCATTTCCTCACCTTTTTTATCCCCTCCCATGCATTGCATGCGACAAATGAAAGTTGTAAGTTTTTTAAGTAATTAAACGATGACACTTCAAATGATTCAAGTGCATTGATAACCCAAAAAATTACTTTAGTCATATATTATCCCAAATTCAATAATGATGTCGCAAAATAAAAATTTTGCAAATTTAATTTAATTCGCAGTAATTAAAGGTTATAACCAATAAACAAGCAATACGCATGCGTTTTTCAGAAAACCACGTGGTTATTTTCTGATGCACTGAAGATAGAAAAATATATGTTGAAAAAATGGCGGGAGGTGTTGCGAGTATCGAGTTTGGAGTAATCGATTAAGTCAACTCATATGCATGATTGTTTACATGGATTTTTTTTTTATTTTCTCAATATTTCATTATTGATTGTAAAACCCATGAATTAAATATAAAGGCAATAACTATTATATTTATCAATTGGTAGGTACTTATCGATGTTCTATTGATAGTACAAAAAAAATCAATTGGCTAATGAAAAATGTATATTGTTGTGTATAGGTATAGTTAGTAATGGGATATCAAATGACCAAGCATTTGAAGCCTACTTCACACCGCTCACAAGTCTCAAGAATGTATACATATATAGGTTGTAACCAGTTATGGAGACTGTGGGAGACTCTTTGAGAGTAGTACTCTGTGCGTGCATACACATTTTCATTTTCACATTTTAAATACACAATTACACACATAAGCATCGAGGATGTCACGGTGATGTCACGGCTAAGCTGTTTGTTCGGAAGTAACGGTGTTCATCCGCAGATTTAACATCCATATTTGCACATCATGTGTTTATTGATGTTGAATTAATAACACATCAATAATGCTAGGGTAAGAGAACATCAGTTTCACCGAAGTTGTAGAGTGAAAACAATCTTCGGACTCGAGACTATTCGCGTTCCTGTAGCTCTACTGTTTTTAAACAAGTACATTGACACAGAGGACCTTTAAATTCTTTGTTGTGACGCAAGCAGTGCTTCATAAAATTTTATGGCAACACTTGTGATTGAATTAATCAATGGGTTATTCTGTTTATTATTTATAATTTATTGAACGTCACGTGAGTTTATTTCCGTTTATTTTCAAAAATTGGAATATTTTTTGTACAATAGTGATTTTTATTTTGGAGCCTTCATTTTGGAGTATTTCTTTAAAACTCATTGATTGTTTTGTCTAGATGTCAAACTACAGAAAGAACGATAGTACTCGGAGAGAAGCTGCCATTGACTATGACAGGCAGTTTCAAGAAGATTTGGAAAGAGCACAAGCTCTTAGCTTGGAGAGTTTGGCCTTGGAAAAATTTAAAATGCAAAAGCAATTAGAATGTTCTCGTTTTAAGCAAAGGACTTTTACTCCTACGTCACAACAGAATAGTAATTCTAGCTGTAGTAATACTTCTGAAGTTGATAGCTCAACTCAACCAGCTGAAAGGTAATTGATTCATTCATTAATCGAGTTTTTTATGATATTTGATAACATTTAACTTATATTTCATATATTCTATGAAATCAGTTTCAATATTTATAACATAAATTAGAATTCTACGAATGATTATTCATTTTTATTCAAGCTAAAATAAAAAACTATTTTTAACAAAATAATGTCATTTGTCTAATATTGACGTTTTAGATTTCAATTAAGAAGTAGACCAAGGCCTGGAGCAACTCATCCTAAAAATTCAATAATTGCTCCCCCTCCAATACCTTCAAGGCGAAATTCTACGACAACAGTAAATTCTACGTCCTCAAATACTGCAGATTTAATCAATTTTACAAGCCCAGTCAAACCAGAAACAAGAATCAATGAATACTGCAGCATTTCCAATGCAACAACTCCCCAACTTCCTATTGAACCCAGATGGGATACACATCCGGCATTACTTAAAAAATCATCAAAGGTAGCAAGAAGTAATAGCTCAGTATCTACGTATCAAAATCGTCATTTTCGATATCATTCACCAACACCGGGACAAGCTTCTACAGCACCTTGTACTCCTGGAACTCCAGGAATTAGTCCTGTTATGCCGCGAGCTGAAAGTGTGAATACACATGTTTCTGACGGAATTCCTCAGGTTTGTTTCAAGTTTTTTCTTCTATTCCGGAATTATTACTTTATACATTACGAATATTTATTAACTTTAATTTAAAAAACCTTTTTTTTTTCTTTAATCTTATATTCCAGCCAGTTTGGAATTTCTTAACTTTTAGAAACTGTTACTTCTCTCAGGTATTTTGGTTTAAAAGTTATAAGTGTAGCTCTATTTCCATCCACCAGTTTCCACTTACCGTTATTTCATCTTCTTGTTAGATCATTAACTCTTTTGTGTTTCCTACGTTTTCAACTACTTCATTCATGCTATTATGCAATTTTTTATCTCTCTAATCTCTTTGAGTAGATAATTCATGTTTATGTATATCACTAATTAAACCATAGAGCATTAACATATTTGATTTGATTTCAATAACATCATAACATTCAAATATTAATATTGATTGTTATTTATTTTTTTTAGATCCCACCGCTTCCACTTAATTATAGACCTCCATCATCAGGATCAACATCATCAATGCCATTATTTCTTACAGACGATAGGCAACTTAACGTATTGAAAATAATAGAAAAGAAGCCAAATAACAATTTAATTGATCTGAATACTTTTGAAAACAACGAAGATAAAACAAATGTTCGTGTGAGTGTATTAGAGGCCTTCGATCCTTTACTAATAAAGACTGAAGAATTTAACAAAGAAATTACAATTCCTGAGAATCGTGAAAAGGATCAAGAAAGTCAAATGGATGGATCTGTTTATGATCCGTTTGATCCTTTTGATTATATGTATAGTACGAATGAAAGTGTCAACTCTGATCCAGTTTACGCTGCAGTGGAAAAAACGGTCAAATCACCAGCCGTTTCTCCGGCAGCTCCTCCACCTCTTCCTCCAAGAAATTCTTCGGCTTGGAATACTATTGAACGACGAAGAACATCATTAGATCGACGACAAAAAAGACAAACACGTCTTTATGAGAATGTTACAGTAGTAAAAACAAGAGCATCGTTACACGATTGTGATTTAATAGCTTTCCACAAGATGGTTAAAGCGGTGAGAAGTGATTTTCCATTTAATAATCCTAATACTAATGTAGGTCTCATTATTAGTCCGATGATGGAAAATCTTTATCCAGAAGGAACAAGTATTAAGTTAGTCGTTCATCCTCAATTATCAGGTAGCGATGACTCCATTCCGTCCATATCTTTCACCTGTGTCGTGAACTGTAGTGTTGAACATGTGATTTTAAATGTTGCTTGTTCATTAGAAGAAGAAGATACAGTAGATGTTGAAAAATATTGCCTAAGAGTATGGGGATTAGCTGAATACCTTGCTCCAAATACTACGTTAGCACAGTATGAATACATTCATCAGTGTATAAAATTAGAAAAGGACATCGAATTAGCTATAATAACTAGAAATCAAATAAAAAGGTCTATAGCAAGAACTCTTCAAGATGACAATCGAGATCAGGATCTGAAGCTTGCAGATATATTACCTAATGAGCCTTTGCAACCAATTTCTTATGATGCCTTAGTTATTCTTTTAGAAACTGTTGAAAAAGAAATGGAGAGAATTGAGACAACTGCTATTCAGTTGGTCACGACTGATAGTTCTAGTCTTTTACCACAACTTCAACCTAGAGGAGTTGTTCAAGCAGTCAAGGCAGTATGTGCATTGATGGGAAGTATTGAAACATATGAAATTACCGAAGCTGTAGACAATTTTGTCAACGCCTGCTGCCAATTTTTACCCCAAGTTCATACAGCTAATATTGAATGTAAAAAACCAGAAGTACTCCATGAAGATGGAGATTATTCTGTAGTCGTTTTAAGGACCAAATTTCCAGAAGTTTTAGCATCTCACTGTAATAAAATTCGTGATGCAGTTCAAGATCTTGTAGAGACTTATTGTCACGCATTTCGAGTTGATTTTCAATTACAATCTAGAGGAGATTATCCAATAAATACTTTAGTTTCTTCAGAAGTTTTTGATACTGTTCTCGTAAGAGTTGGTGCTGTTCATAGACTTCCAAACTCATGGAAACATGATGATTACATTGTTGCTGCTCAGATATTTCATGGAACACGGCCTGTTGGGAATCCAGTACTCTCTGAACCGATGACTCTTAATGTTAATTTCTATTCAAGGATCCTTTTCAATACGTGGTTAGAGTTTCGAGGCATCAGCGTATGTCAGGTGCCTCGTGAAGCGAGACTGGTACTCGTCATTTATGGCCGGACGTTACAACCTACTGACCACGAAGCGAATTCCTCGAGCGAAGGATCAATGCAGAAGGAAGAGTTAGGCTGGGGTGCTATTCAATTATTTGATTATGATGGAGTTATGAGTCAAGGAAGTTTTTTCTTGTCACTTTGGCCAGCTGTTGCTGATAAAAGACTTGGTCCTGCACCAGCTCCTGGTATCCACCCATATGGTGATACAAATCCAATCATTGGATTGGAACTTCCTGACTATGGGGGTCGTGTTCTATTTCCTACTGAATTACGAGACCATGATGTAGAGTCATTAGATATCAACCTATTAGATCAAAATACAAAAGAGCTGCTCATTGATATATGTCAACAAGACACCTTCTCTAGACCTCCAATTGATGAGAGAGAAATTCTTTGGGAAAAACGTCATTATCTTCATGATATTCCTGAAGCTTTACCAAAGGTTTTATTAGCAGCTCACAGTTGGGATTGGGCATGTCTTCCAGATCTTCATGCATCTTTAAGAGTCTGGAGCCCGTTGCCACCTGTTCAAGCTCTTCAATTACTCCTTCCTTGTTTTCCGGATATCAAGGTTCGAGAAATGGCTGTTGGTTGGATTCGAGAGCTCAGTAATGATGAGCTTATTGATTATCTTCCACAGTTACTTCAAGCTTTAAAACATGAAACATATGAAGCTTCACCTTTAGCTAAATTTTTGATTGAAAGAGCTTTATTGTCACCTAGAGTTGCTCATCATGTTTATTGGCTTTTAACTCAAGCACTCCCTGGTCAAAGTCCTCAGGTATACTCAACGATATTTTATTTAAAAAAATCATACATCAGTTTGAAAAATGTGATAATAACAATTTTTTAATTTTATCTTGTAGAATTCAGCAGAATCATCGCCGGAAGATGACAAAAGTATGAGTTTTGCTCGTTACCAAAGAAGACTTCAATTGATGCTACGTGCTCTGTTAGCAGTCATTGGAGAAGCATTGAGAAATAGTTTTCTTACTCAACAATTATTAGTGAAAAACCTTAATGAAGTAGCCGAGAATATTAAAGTCACGAAGGAATCATTAAGACTGGAAGCATTGAAGGTGGGATTACAAAACATTCATTGCCAATTGGCAGAAGATGAAGGAACGTGTCTTCCACTTTCTCCCAGTAGACAAGCATTTGGAATTAATATTCAAACATGCTCTTATTTTCCTTCATTTACTCTGCCTCTGAAGATTAGTTTTATTGGTTGTGATAATGTTATAAGTCCAGCGATTTTCAAGGTCGGTGATGATCTTCAACAAGATATGTTAACAATTCAGATGGTAAGAATTATGGATAAATTATGGTTAAAAGAAGGATTAGACTTAAAAATGGTGACTTTTGCTTGTGTACCAACGGGAAATAAACGAGGTATGATCGAAATGGTAACAGATGCTGAAACTTTACGGAAAATTCAAGTAGAATTTGGACTCACAGGATCTTTTAAAGATCGGCCTATTGCTGAATGGCTCGCTAAGCATAATCCATCAGAACTCGAGTATGAAAGAGCAGTTGAAAACTTTACAGCATCATGTGCTGGATATAGTGTAGCGACTTATATTTTGGGAATTTGTGATAGACACAACGATAATATAATGCTGAAAACGTCTGGGCATTTGTTTCATATTGATTTTGGCAAGTTCTTAGGCGATGCTCAAATGTTTGGAAACTTCAAAAGGTACGATAATGAACTTTAATTCTTAGAATAAATTAAATTTATTTTTTCTTTATTATTTTAATTATATCCATTTCATTTAAACCTTAAAGAATTTTAATTTATTTACTTAGAAAAATTACAAAGGTATATTTCTATTCATGAATTACTTTTTTAGTGATTAAAAAAACCATTAGTGAGATTAAAAAGAACACTAGTAAAACAAAGCATAATATCTAATATATATTTAATAAATTTATTAGAAAAATAAGTAGAATTATAACATTCATGATAAATATTTATAAATGGAGCATTTACGTAATCACTCCCCTACTGGCTTCTAAATTATTTTTTAAAACTTACTAGTATTAGTTAGATTCAAAGTTATCATTATTTTATCAATATTATCTATATTATTTAGATCAATATTACTTTTTTGAAAGCTTGAACGAAAAACCATTTATGAAAAAAGTATTGTTTTAACGAACCTTAGATAAGTCTCTACTAATTTTGAATTTTCCCAATTTAAACGAACTGATAAACCTATTCTGTGATGTTATTTTATCATATCGAATAAGTAATAAAACAATGCTCAACATTGATCTATTTACTTTATCAAATAATATTTAATTATAAAGAAAAAAATGCTAGAAAGCTTGTTATGTATATCTTGACATGTAGAAAATATTAATTATTTATTTTATATATTTCTCAATTATCTATTATTCACGAGTCATTTTAATATATTGGATTTAAATAACAGACTTATATGATAACAAAAATATTATATTTTTTCAGAGACCGAACACCATTTGTATTAACATCAGACATGGCATATGTTATTAATGGAGGTGATAAGCCATCTGCAAAATTCCATAACTTTGTTGATTTATGCTGTCAAGCCTTTAATATTGTCCGGAAGCATGGAAATCTCATTTTACATTTGTTTGGTTTGGTAATTATGAAATAATCTTATTTCAGTATAATATTACTTTATCTGAAACTCTTAAATTAGCTCAGTTCAGAGAATTTTTTGTTATTATTAACAATTTTTCTCAAGTTTAATTGTTATCACATGTGACTGTTTTGAAAAAATATCAAACCACAACGGAAGAACACATCCTGTATTCTTATCGAAAGGTCCACTACTATCTTCATAAACAACGGAGTAGAGTTTTAATTAGTCTTTTTTTCCGGGGTTGAGAATCTCACGGCTAGTAGCAATAGTGGATCAGTTAAAGAGTGGTGGCCAGTAACAAATTAGAATAAAACGAATATAGTTATTTTTTAAGACCATTTATTTATTTATTGTTTCCTCTATTTTTGATTTTCGCAATTTTTTAAAGTACCGCGAAGAAGCTACGGTTAAAAATGGAGCATTTACTTCGAGTAAAAATGCAAGAAATGTCGGAAAAAAATTATCACATATTTGAACAAAAACTTAGTGATATTGAAATTAAGGAGTCATTAAATAGATTAAAAATGAATCACTATACTAATGTACAGATGACTAGTTCGGGTATCCCTGGAGTGACAATGGATGCTGTAAGTTACGTTCAAAAAGCTCTTCTCCCTGAACAAACAAATCCTGAGGCTGCTGCTACTTTTGCAAGGATGATTGAAAGTTCTTTGAAAAGTTGGTTCACACAGTTTAACTTTTTCCTTCACAATTTGGCGCAATTGAGATTTACTGGTGATCATAATGACGGAGAACTTCTTTCATTTATTCCACGCACTTATACGTGAGTTTTTAATTAATTATCATTATTTATATTAGATTATTATATTTAAATTGTTATCATTACTGAAATATTTGTGTTCTTTACAGGATGCAGCAAGAAGGACAATTAACAAGTGTCCTAGTCTATGGATACCAAAAACGTTACGATCCAGAAAAGTATTATATGTATATTTTGAAAATCCAAAGAAAGGGCCAAGCTGATCCAACTTATCTCTTTCGATCGTATAAAGAATTCTGTGAATTTTATCAGAAGCTTTGTATACATTTCCCTCTTGCCAAAGTTGCCAGGTATAATCTTATAGTTATTCTCATTTACCATATAACATTTTTACTTTATCAATAAGTAATTTCGGTGAACTGTTTCAAAGTAACAATATTCGTTAAATAATTTTATATTTCAATGTCACTTTCTCTAAAACTTCTTACTACTCCGGGTTTCAAAAAATCGTCATCATTATCACCATTCGTAAATGCTGGTTGAGGTAATGGAGCTCTACCCTTTTTCTTTCGTATTCCTGGTTTCTTCATTGTATCAGTTGAGTGTTCCGAGGAATGATTTATCTTCAACAAATCGATTGAATTTCTTGGCAAATGATTATTCGTCTGATGAGTTACTTCCAATGTATTATTTTGTCTATCATGACTGGTATTGTTTAACTCTTTACCAAAATCATGGGAATGAGTTCTATTATCAACTTGTCTTGATAATAATGATGCCATAGGGTTTTGTGGTGATCGAAGAACTGGTACTGAAGGTGGAGACACTGGAATAGCTTTTGGCCTATATATATTTCCATTATCAGATTCACTTTTATTTGTTAGAGATGATGAATTCATTTCATCAAACTCAAATTGAGAAAATTTACGATAAGAACCCGGCAGCTCTGATGAATTTATTGATTGCTTGATCCTTAACTGTTTTCGAAACCACTTTAAACCCATTTTATAAACTTTTATCAACTTAATTATTTTTATATATCAATAAATCAGTAGTAACTAACTCGTAAGGTCTAAAAGAAATGATTTTGAATTATTTCCAATTCACAGTCAATTGTCTTTAATTGTTCACTATCGTCTTCTCCAACGTTTCTATAAAATTTAATACATTTAATGACTATCTGTTCTCTTATCGATAATAAATTTATTAAAGCCTTATAATCTTTTAATATGGTGACTGAGTCATACAAGTATCATCATGAATTATCAGTTTATAATTCTCTATCTAGTTTACGAGGCGATTTCTACAGATTAGGGTCATAATGGATATGCTGGAATGAATATAATATATTACCTTGAACAAATGATTTTATACCATTATTTATTTTATATTTTTATTTTATATTAAATATACTATTCGTTCTAATAATTGAAAAAAAATTCGACTAACATAAGTAAAAGGGTAATAATATTTTTTTTTATGTTTGTTTTAGTTTACCCAGTGGTATAAGTGTAGGGAGATCAAATATCAAACAAGTAGCCGATAAAAGGAGAGCAGATATCGAAAAATTTTTGCTGAGTTTATTTGATATGGCTCCAGAAATATCACAAAGTGATCTCGTTTATACATTTTTCCATCCTTTACTTAGAGATCAAAAAAATACTGATATTCATCTGCGTAAAGTTAAAGGTATTGTTAGATTTGGAAAATATGAACGACTTTATATAAATTTTTGGAATGACTAAATTCTTTGAATGCATTAGTAAAATAACCAACGGTGTTAAAGCTTTTTTTATTTAAATCGTATTTTTTCAGTTGGAAACTGGTGGGCAGAGAAACGAGTAAGAGAAAATGTTCAATGTGGGCAAATAAAATTATCACTTCACTACACTCGAGGAACACTTTCAGTAATGATACATCATGCTCGAGGACTACCAAAAGTTGCTAATGCTCAAGAACCCAATACATATGTCAAAGTGTACCTAAAACCTGATCCCACAAAAGCTACTAAACGGAAAACTAAAGTAGTTAAGAAAAACTGTCACCCCTCGTTCATGGAGATGTTGGAATATCGAATGCCTTTAGAAGTAATTAAAGAACGAACGTTAGAAGCTACGATCTGGAATCATGATACTCTTCAGGAAAATGAATTTCTGGGTGGTATATGCTTGCCACTTGGTAATGTAGATTTAAAGAATGAAACTATTGAGTGGTTTCCATTAGGAAGTATTCGATAATCAATTTCCCACGCGCACAGTTCGGAATAAAATTTTTTAATAATAACACTATAAAGACAATTACCACTTTCTGATTGATAAATTTTCCACGCATATCAACAATTGTTTTTATTTTTCTTTTACTGATAGAGAGGTATTTTTTGTACATTAATCATGGCAGGATAACTGAATTTTTACCATTTACAGGAAATATATTTTCAAATGAATTTATTAAGAAAAAACTAATAATGATAGAATCAAATAGAAATTTCAGAGGATGCGGGAAATTTATGAATTAGTGTAATTTATAGCTTAGATAATTTTAATAAATGAATTTTCACGATAGATCCAGCAGTTTTTTATATAATTCTGAATAACATTTACACTGTTTTTTATAATATAGTCTATGTAAATTAACTAAAAAATAATTGTGAGCCAAAGGAGAACTTGAATAGATGAAAGTGGTTACATTTTAAGAACTAGGAAGTAAATAGTTAATGAATATTTTTACAATTAAGTTTTTCGATCTTTTATTTTTACAATAAAAATTGTGCACTTTATCAACTCTTGTAATTATCATAATAATGATTAGAACTATTATTATTATTATTGTTTATAAAATGAAGAATCTGTGCTAATAAATAGATTGGAATTTGTCGTGTAAATTTGTGATGAAATGGTTTACGCGTTTTATTCTATGTCAATTACGAATAATTTAAATGTATATAAGTATAATATTCATATTCTTATTATTATTATTATTATTATTATTATTATTATTATTATTATTATTATTATTATTATTATTATTATTATTATTATCCGCATCCTAAAAATAGTATACGATATTTTGAAGAATTTTATACATTTTTAAAAAGATCAGTTTTTTTTGTCAACAGTTATCATATAGTGCATTTTTATTAAATTATGTAAACTATGGATTATACCAAGATAAATGTGATTTTTTGAGTGTGAAGATATTGAATATCTGATAATTAAATTGAAATATAATAAAATATTTTATAAATAAGAAACTCTATCATTTATTTCAATTTTTTAATCTTAACATTTTATAAAAATTAATTAATTAATTAATTAATAATGTATTATAACAAAGTTCATTTTTACAAAGAATTTACACTTTACTACAATTAAAATTTATTAATGAAAATATTATTGAAAATTAATGAACTATAAATTGTCCGATTTAATTTATTTTTTATCAATCAAAAAGTCTGGGTGAATATAAGTAATCATTCAAATTTATCAATGTTTTGACGTCGCCAGAAGCTTGAGTTCATTAACACAAATTGTTTTTAAGGTAAACTTAGTCAGTCTTGCAAAAAAAAAAAATTACTTCTTGTTTTAATGATAAATTTCTTATCATATTCATAAAACATCTTGTCTTTTTCCATCAACAGAGCGGGATATATATTATATGTGCTATGTCAATCATGAACTTTGGAGTCTTGTTATTATTCGTTCAAGGTTGTTTTAGTGTTAAAAAAATTGAAATATAAAATATAAAAATCGTTCGTGAGCTTTCAGTCGTGTTAAAGCTATAGTCGTAGTATGTCGTCAATCACTATATTGGACGGTGGATTTTCCACACAACTTTCGACACATGTGGGTGATAAAATTGATGGCCATCCATTGTGGACAGCTCGATTTCTTGCTAGTGATCCAAAAGCAATTTTCCAAACACATCTAGACTTCCTTCGTGCTGGAGCAGATATTATTGAAACAAATACCTATCAAGCATCAATCGATGGATTTGTTCAATACCTTGGACTTGACAAGTTTGAAAGTCTTGAACTAATCTCTAAAGCTGTGGATTTAGCGAAAGAAGCAACAAAAGTTTACCTTGCAGAAATAAAAGATAAGACGGGAATTCCAAATAAAAATCCTCTCATTGCTGGTTCTTGTGGTCCTTATGGAGCTTCACTTCATGATGGTTCAGAATACACGGGTGAATACGCTTCAAGTATCTCTAAAGAATTTTTAAAAGCCTGGCACAGACCAAGAATTGAAGTTCTTATCAATGCTGGAGTAGATATACTGGCATTAGAGACTATTCCATGTGAGATAGAAGCTGAAGCTCTTGTCGAACTCATTAAAGAATATCCAAATATAAAAGCTTGGCTTTCATTTTCTTGTAAAACTGATGGGATGAGCATTGTTGACGGCAGTAACTTCCAAAGTGTTGCGCTCAAGTGTTACAAAAATTCTACACCTGGACAATTAATTGCTGTCGGTGTGAATTGTCTAGCCCCTACTGCTGTGACTTCATTGATACAAAATTTTAATAAAATGGGAGAAATTTCAGTGCCTCTCATAGTGTATCCTAACAGCGGAGAAGTTTATACGGTCGCTGAAGGATGGAAACAAAGAGGATCTGAACCACCATTGGAGAACTTCATTGATGAATGGCTAAATTATGGAGTCAAATTCATTGGAGGTTGCTGTAGAACTTATGCTCATGATGTTCGAAAAATTCTCTTTGAAGTGAGGAATTGGGAAAAAAAGAAATCGGACGGAATTCCTTGTTGTTGTGGTGAATGAGCGTTCACAATCTTCTTCTTATTTTATTTGCAGTATTTATAATTTATGCGATTAATCAATCAAATACTGTAACTATTTTTACATTTATTTGTTAAATTATAAAAAACATACAGTTATTTTCGATAGACAAGAATAGTATATTATGAAAGGTTTTAATTTTTATTTAAAAACTATTCAAATTTCGATTATATAGTTTTGATTTCAACAGGAATTTGAATTTTAGTTTATGCTTTTACATAATGTTACGATTGCCACTTCCAATTTTAAACACTTTTAATTATAAAAAATTAGCTTGTTTACATTTTCAAACGATGTAAAATTTCTTCCTACAGGGGGCAACAAAATCAAATTTATGTTCCAAACGATACATGTTAAATTCTTCACGTTCGCATTCATATACGCAGTAAAAATATTGCGTCATAAAATACTATGTAACGGCGTATTGCGAATATGATAACAAATTACATCTATACATATGTGTGCGTACATATATAATAACAGTTATTAATACATTTTAACAAACAAACGAAATCAACTGAAGTTTACAAAACGATAAATTTAATACTTAAAAACATTTCGCTTGATCATTTGTTGTTAAATCTATAAATTCGTATCATGACTAAAGTTAGTGTATTGGACGGCAGTTTTTCAACTCAAGTATCTAAGCACGTTGGTAAAAGTGCTGATGGTGATCCTCTGTGGACAGCACGATTCCTGGTAACCAATCCGGATGCAGTTCGTGACACTCATTTAGATTTTCTGCGAGCAGGAAGTGACATTATTGAAACAAATACATATCAAGCATCAGTTGATGGATTTTGCAAATATCTTAATGTGACAAAAGCTGAAAGTCTTGAATTAATTCAAAATGCTGTGAACTTGGCAAAACAAGCTGTAGAAATATATAAAAAAGAAAACAAAGATAATGATGATGTTGTAAACATTAATCCACAAATTGCCGGTTCTTGCGGACCGTACGGAGCTGTTCTTCATGACGCATCTGAATATACAGGTTCATATGGTAAAAGTGTATCAAAAGAATTTCTTAAAGACTGGCATAGAGTTCGAATGGAAACTTTAATCAAAGCTGGAGTTGACCTTCTGGCTATTGAAACAATCCCATGTGCTGAAGAAGCTGAAACTTTAGTTGAGCTGCTGAAAGAATTTCCAAATACCAAAGCTTGGCTTTCTTTTTCATGTTCCACTGATGGATCTACAATTGTAGATGGAACTGACTTTGCAGAAATCGCTAAAAAATGTTACAATAAAACTTCACCAGGACAACTTGTAGCTGTAGGAGTCAATTGCCTTTCTCCACAAATTGTATCTTCATATTTATCAAAGATTAATCCAAACAAATCAGAAAAACTTCCTCTAGTGGTGTATCCCAATAGTGGAGAAGTCTACTCTCCTGATCAAGGCTGGAAAGATGGGAAACATTTCGATGTTGAAAAATGTATTCATGAATGGTTGGGTTTAGGAGTTCAATACATCGGAGGTTGCTGCAGAACAAGTGATGAAGAAATTGCAAAAATACGTTCTCAAGTTGATTCATGGAAATCTCAAGAAAAGGAAACTACTGTTTGATATGTTCATTATCAATAAGTTTTATATATTATATCATCAAGCATGTGACATTTCTAAATTTATATTCAAACGTTTGTTTTAGTTATTTAATTATATTCAGATTGAAAAATTTCAATTTTTTTAAGAGTTTCTAAAACAAGAATTCAATTTAGTAAAAGTTTGTACGTAATTTTAAGATTAAATAAGTATCTATTTTAATAAAAAAAATTTTTTTTAAAATAATCCATTTATATTAAAAAGTTCTTACCTTATAAGTATTCGTGTTTTTCTCAGTACAAAGAATATTTTATTATCTTAATAAAAATGTAATAAAGACTTTTGATAGCCTTTGAAAATGATTCAGAGGTCAACGATGTAAGGTATTAAAGTACAATTTTGATAAATAGTTTTATTAAATAGCGTTTACAAAGACTGAATCAGCAAATATTCTTAACAACATACAAAATTTCATCGCCTATTTGATAGACATTTGTACCTTCTGTTAATTCAATCACATTACAGTCTAATTTTACGTTGAATACTGCATTAGAAGGTATAAGTACTTTACCTCTAAGAATATCCTCTGTCGTTGGAATTGTTCTGGTTCCCAAAATTGGATCTTCATATCGATAAAGTGAAACAAGTGATGAGTCTAAAAAAATAATGATACATTATATTTATAAAAAATACTGAAAGTTAATGATCTTGAATATTTATTATTCCAATAAAAAAAAACCTTTTATCCTTTTATTATCTTTAGCTATCTTCCCTGCAACATCAGCGGCTGTAGTTCCATTACTAAGTTTTATGTTAACACTAAAAAGTCCACTGCATTTTTGTGGATTTATCGCTCTAATAAACACCCCAGGTGTAGATGAAAAATTCATGTAAGGTGAACCAGGACAACATTCTTCTTTCGTTTTTTCTGATGCTTCATCCGTGTATTTAATTTCTATTTCATCTAAATCTAGAGTACTTTTTAAATAATCTTTACTACCAGTTAGTACATTCACCTCATCAAAATCAAGCGTTAAATTGAGTGCGGAAATTCCCAAAGTTTCTACTTTCTCCTTCAAAACTTGTACAAAAGGCATAACTTTTTTCATATATTTCTTCAATTCATTTTTTCCTGATAATTCTGAAGCTATTACTTTATTCTCTGGTAAAGACTGTCCATTTTTATCCCAAAAATCTTTCATAGTTTTTATCACAATAGTCTGCCAAGGAGGATAAGTTTTGGCCACCCAAATGATACCGTGATCAGGTTTTTCTGGAGGAGGAGTATCAACTTTACCTTTACCAGTCTTTCTTGTAGTACAATAATTTTTTAACAAAATTCTAAATGAATGAGCAGCATCCATGAGATATTGGGATGATTTAATAAGAATATGATCAATGGGTCCAACTGCTGGCCAGCGAATTTTAAGAACACTTTCTTTGCCAATGATAGTTCTTACATGCTCAGCAACATGAGGACAAATTGGAGATATTAAAATAGTTTGGAGGTCGATATATTGCATTATTAAGCCCCAATTAATGCCGTCAAGAGCACTGAGTTGAATATATTTATCTCTGGCTGCTTGAAGTTCAAAAAACCCAGTCCTGAGAGCTTCTTTGTATAACATATTTGCATAATGATCTCCAGTCTCTTGAATTTTTAAGTTCATCTCACTTTGAAATACTTTGTCATTAAAGGTTACAGGTTCTCCTTTTCTATACGTATTTTCAGATGCTAAAACTTCACGAACCCATTCAATAAATGTGTAAAGTCGTAAAATACCAGCATCTGCCATTGTTTCAACGAAATTAGCATCTTCCACTGAATCACCGGAGTCAGCAAGGCATAAGCGCATTCCGTCAGCAGAAAACTTCCCCACAGCTTCCGCGAGAGTTAAAAAGTTGCCTTCAGACTTAGACATTTTTGCAGAGTTCAACATTAAATGGCCGTTAGCTCGAATGCCTTTAGGCCACTTATCTGGTTCATTAGGCCACATGGCCACATGATTGTAAATGTAAAAAGTTAAATGATTTTGAATCAAATCTTTTCCAGAGACTCTTAAATCTACTGGATACCAGTATTGAAATTCTGTACGCATCACTTCTAGAGCTTCTTTTTTTATTGATGTTTTTGGAAACTTTGCATTCTTGAAGAAAATATAATCCCAAACTTCTGATGTCATTTGCTCAGCTTTTATTCCAAACACATTCGGTTTATCACCTTTAAAAGTTCCTCCTTGTAGTAAATGAGCTATGGTATAATACGCATTATAAATTGTAGAATCAGATAGAGATTCAATCAGCCAACTTTCATCCCATGGAAGCTTTGTTCCTAATCCATATGTTCTCGAGCATGCATATTCATGAAGCCAATCTAAACAAGCGTAAAAATTTTTCTTCACTTCGTCATGAAAAGTTTCAATTTTCTCTAAAGCTTTCCTTGCTTCTGCTTTCCAAGTTTCATCACCATAATCTAGATACCATTGATTACACAAAGCTACAACACACTCATCGTTTGATCTAGATATAATAGTTTTTTCTGGTTCATAGTAAATAACAGCAGTCTTTTCATCAACCAACTTCTTTTGAATAAGTTTTTTTACATCTTGTATTTTTTTCCCTTTGTGTTCTCCTACTAATAGAACTCCATCATAAAATCCTTTTAAGTAAACCATTTCTTTAGCTTCTAAAAGTTTTGCCTTATCATTTTGAGATTGGATTTTTAATTTCTCATAAACTGTTATAGCTGAGAGTTTTCCAAATTCAGGAATCTCTAAAATCGAAATTGGTTCATACGGTAAAACCATCTCATCCTTAATATTGTACTTTTCTCTGAGTGCTTGTTTCTTTTTTAAGTCTACTAGAGCAGCATAATCATCAGGAGAATCACTAGGAACTGAAGTAACAATTCCTGTGCCTTTATCTTCTTTAATAGTCAACATGGGAAGGGTGTAAATTATTTTATTACTAGTCAAAGGTGCACTTAAAGGTAATCCAAGTAGATCTTGACCAGTTAGCTCAACAATAATATCAAGTTTGCCTTCATCTTTCATAAATCCTTGATAAGCCATATTCCTTGCTGCTCTTTTAGTTGAGATGAAGATTTCTCCATTTGCCAAAGTGTAAGCAATATAATGAATATCTGGATGAACCCAACAATTTGTTTGACCATACATTGTTTCTGGACGGAGTGTTGCAGCCACTAAGAAAACCTGCTTTCCTTTAGCAGCTTTTAATTTTTCTGGAAAAGGTTCCAATAACTTCATTTTTACAAGAGTATATTCTTGAGGTCCAACTCCTTCTCCTGATGACCTATCATGGTCCATGCAAGGTTGATTATCTTTAGGTGAGAAAATAGTGTATCGTTTTCCATATTTTATTTTATTTCTTGCCTTTAAATGTTGAAATTGCCATCTAACAAACGAATCAAAGAAAGGATTAGCATCAGTTGTGATAAATGTACGACGCCAATCAACATGAAGTCCAATTGATTTCAAGTCTTCAACAGCAAGTGGTGGGAAATAATCCAACCAGTACGATGAGTCAGTAAAGTTCTTTATCTCATCATCATTCATACCAAGACTTTGCATAATTTGCCATTGATATTTAGCAGCACCTGTCTTTGCTACTGCTTTACTTTTTTTTCCTTTACTTTTGTCTTTCATAACTATGTCATCAACGACTTCTTCGATAGTTTCTTCTTCTTGAGGAAACTTTGGAGGATATCCAAAGACTTCCATTTCTCTTTTCAATTTATCCGCACATGCTTTTATAGGCATACCAGTACAGTGGAAGCCAAAAGGAAAAAGTACTTTTTTTCCTAGAAGTCGGTTGTATCTGACAGCAAACTGAAAACATTTATAAAGATAACTTTTAGTACTAAAATACTACCAATTGTAGATAACAAACAATTGTTTAATATTCGAACCTCGCATTTTGATAAAGAAAATGTATGTCCTAGATGTAAACGACCATTCATATAAGGAAATGGGAACGTTGCTAAAAATTTCTCATCAGGAGAATTCTTAGGTTTTTTTGGAGCATCCTCTTCATAGACTTTTTCAGCTTCCCATTTTGCTTGAACATCTTTTTCAATTTTCTGAAGATATTCTACTTTAAAAGTACCTTTTCTCTCGGCTGCCTAGATAAACATAATTAAACAAGAAAATTGAGCATAAACATTCTTTAGTATGCAGATAATGAAAGCAGATGGTACCTAGTAGGTTAGAAACTCTTTATGAGTAATTATTCAAGTTCTTTATAGGTATTCAAAAGAAATATATTATAATACAATGAAAATAAGTAGAAATAAATATAATTTTTCATACCATTGAGCTTTTTTTTGATGTAGCTGCGAAAAATTCCTATTTAAGTGATTGAAAATACACGTGAACATCCGGCTTCCAACTTGATTCAAATCACTACCACCAATAAAATTTACCCGCACACATACATATTAGATTTCATGTAGTACGCAAACGTCAGAGCATTTTTCATCATCATTCCCGCCTTATCATTTTTTATAAAATTGCATTATTTTTACCGGTCATATTTATACAAGAGAAAACTGATTTATTAACAACATGTAACAAATTTTTTTCTCTGCTATAATAAATTATTTTTATAATGAAGTATTTATCCAGAGAACTTTTTAAACATTTAATAATGAAACGTTATTTATTCAATAGTAATTAGAATAATTACATTATTTTTGGAAAAATATTTGTTTAATTCTAAAAAAGTTTATAATTCTTTGAAGAATGATGTGTTCGTATTCTTAGAATATCTTGAAAGTTATCACAATTTTAAGATTTTATAATATTATACAATTGCTAAACCATTTATGTGTACTTTAGGAAATATTAGAGCATTTCAGTAACTGAAAAAATCTTCTAATGGTTATATTTTTTCAAAGTAAATGGTGACATTATTCTGAATATATAAATAATTATTAGTTTCGAGGACTATTATCAGAATGCTAACGGTCTTCCTACGGTCAACTACTCCAGTAAACTATCCATCGAACCGCGAATCCTCACAGTACTCTTCAGAATCAATCAGTATAAAACAATTTTGAATAATAATAATTACTTGCACAATATAGATCTCAAAGCGTGTTTGTTCCAATTTTGTGACAACATAATACGAGTAAATACAGTTGTATTTTAAAAATTACTCAAATGATTGACAACTAGATTTTAATAATAGTTATTTTCCTTCAATGTCCTAAGTGTCCTTTAAGATAAACCGATCATTTTGCTTATTTCTTACTGACACTGAAAAAATTAGAACGAAAGGTAAATGTATTTGAATTCGGAGTGGAACAAACATGTGAATCATTATTTGAACGTAAGAAAGAAGAAAAATCAACTGTATGGAAGTTTTATTCTGTCATTATTCTTTTTATATTTTGTCAACGGCCTAAATACTCCTGAAGAATTTTTATTCTTAACTTTGGTACTGGTTTTCGTACGCATTACCGTTAGATTGTATATTCATTAATTCATTTAATGCACATAAATATGAAATTCTGAAAATAACAAATAGCTTCACTGAAAGTTGGTTTTCTATTCTGTAAATCTGGTCCAAACGTGATCGGAATTGGAGATCTAGTGCACATATTCTTGAAAAAAATCATAGCCCTTCACTTAAAACTCGTTTCTTAGCACTTGTTCAATCTAAAAGATAAATTTTCATTGTGTAATGATTCAATTACAATAATTTAGTATGAGTAGTTGACCCCAAGACCTGGGGATCGTAAATGAGTCTGATATTTATTTTTATTTGTAGTAACAAGAAGTCCAGTATGGTAGTGTAGCCAGAAGGATCTCGATGAGTTTCCAGTAGTGGGGAAGCTGAATCGCTCGCTAAAGTAACCAGTTTATTGCATGCAGTCCTTTCATTTACAACTGGCGTATGTTCCTTCATTACAAGAAATGTGTTGTGATGCCGGTGGTCACCTAAATATTATAAAAAATTTTAATTAAAAAATTTCTCTTGACGTTAGTTCACTCATATTCATCTACAATTAAATTGCTACTAAGACTGTTAACATTCATTTTATAATGTTTGATAAAATCAAACTTGTTTTAAAGTGTACCAAGTGGAGTTATTTGTTATTTTAAAATAATTAATAATTAATCGTGTAACTGTAAATACTTAATTTAAATAAAGAAAATAATTATTTTTGGATATCAATATGATTAAAAAAATAATTAATGCGATAAAACTAGTCCTAGTTATTCTTCTGGTCTTCTCATTAAATGTTAAGAGTTTAGAATCCAGTGAAGATTATTTAAAAAATGTGATGGTTGAACTTCAAGGATTAAAATCCTCGCCATCATTTGTGCAAGTTTATCCTAATGTTCATGATACACACTATCTAGCTGGTAAAAGATTATCTGGATCCAATTCTATTTCATCAATACCAAATGCTGTACCAGCAGTAATTTACCACGAAAATGTTCCAAAAATTCAAACTATTAGATTTACTCCGAAAAAGGTTGAGCCAGTAGATATGATGGAAAGTGCCTCGAGTAATCAGTACTATCAGCAAGTGAGTTGTTAAAATGTTCTAAAAATACATAAAACATTGTTAGAGATAAGAATTAACGTATTTATCATAAAAAATATATATAAAAAGCTCATTTTAGAGTGTTTACAAATAAGAAAAATAATATTTTATTTTACTTACAATGGTGATAAATTATTTTTTAGGTTCCACGTCCAATAATTGTCCCAGAACCATCAAAGTTAGACTCTCCATTGGGTTACACGAAAAATGAATTAGCTGCGATGTATAAACAAGCTTTGGAATCTGGAAGTGCTATTAATTTATCTGTATTAAAAAATACTCTGGATTCTGGACAAATTCCATCAATTGTTGATAATCATCTTCAGTTTCCAACCAATCAACAGGCTGCCTATGCATACTACTTTTACCCTCTGAAAACATTCATAAATAATCTTCAGGATAATTATGGTTATAAAACGATTGTAAGTTTATGAAATTATTTTTATATAAATATGTTTCAAATATATTTACATTGAAATAATGATAATTTTAAATAATGATTATTATGTTTTTCAGAGTGATTATTACCCGCATCATTCATCTTCAGTTTTAGATTCGCAGAAGCAAATAGTAATAAATCCACTGTTTATGGCAATAAGTAGTTTCGTTGGTATGGCTCTGCTTTTCATGTTTGGTGTAATAGTTCTACCTAGAATCTTTGGAGAATTTAGATCTCGACTGGTCCATGATGAGCTAATGGATTTAACTAAAACTGTGACAGAGGCTATTGATAATTATAGTCCAACAGTAAGACCAAAGTTAGAACATGAAGTGGTGGGAATCAGAACTAGACCAGGACATCGGTCGAGGAGAAAAAAACCTCATCGTAGTAGCTATGTTGTGAATACTTCAATGGGAGGAAGTCTATGAGTTTTTATTGAATAGTTCATGTGTCATGTTCTCTTTAAATAGAACTTAATAAATTCTGTAAAGTATAGCTTCTAGTATTGAAACAATCACAACTAATATGGAACAAACATATAATCAATTATAATAAATGTCAAGGTGGATAATTATTAATTATTACGAATATTAGGAATAATTAATAATTAGATTTTTTTTATTATAATAATTAAACTGACTTTTTCAGAATTTAAAAAAAAAGTACAGTTTAATTAATACAACTTTTCATGAATTTTGCGTAAAAATTAACTTGTAAATTAATTTTTATGTGAACTTGATAAAGTTAAATTATAATATTGAGTTGGTAAATAAGTCTTTATATATTTTTGTTATAATTTATTTTCTTTATTTATTTATTTATTTATTTCTTCTAACAATTATAAGAAGCTTTTGGGCATTTTCATAATAAAAATGTATAAAAAAAGACTAACAGTTACCTATTAAAGTCGATAAAATAAATAAAAGAATAGCAATACAACAATAAAAAAATGATACATAAAAATCTGTACATAAGAACATTACAAAGACTTTTTTACCAAATTAATTCCTTTATGTTTTCATAAAAATTGTTGAAAACTATTATTCAACAGAGATGCTGTACACATTGTATGAAAATTATATTACATGGCATTAAAGTGCGGAAGACTTAAACTAAAGTATTAATAATAATAATTTTCCCAACAAACGGGTTATTAATTTATTGTATATTCAATATTTATTCTTCTTAATTACTTAAAAACGTTACTTTACAAAACTCTCCAGCGTTCACTCACACGCGACAACAATATCATGAAATAATGTAATCAACTCTTTTCCATTCCACTATCAAGTCATTTTAATCCTTGATAAGAAAGAGAAAACAAGCAACAATAGTTATTGTTTTTAATTAATTGTATAATTCATTTTCTGTTCTTTTCTCTTTCTTTTTTCTTACATGAACATTTTTCTCTGTTGTTATCACTATCATTTATATTTCTTTTTATTATCTGGCACATAATGCCACACGATTCTTCATTTGATAAGTACGAGTCTACGTTTTGTATTAAAAAAGAAAAATTCGTATTTCAAAAATTATGAAACAACTTCTCGAGCTGTTCGAGATGCCTGACTTATTTTACTGGTCGCTAAGATGAGGTAGAGTTTCATCATTACATTGGATATTTTGTTTTCAGTCATAAAAAAGAAAATGTACGTACAAATGAAGAATTGTAATCTAACAATATAACGACAGTCGCGTGAAGCAGTTGTATTATGGTTTTTCATTTATTTCCATTAATTATTTCTTGTTATTTTTGATCATACACTTAATACTGCTAAACAAAATTTGACAGGTTCTATATTTTTCAATCGAAAGACAGTTTAGATATAATTCTTCCGACTATCCTCTCTCACAATGAATTGAGAATTTTAAATATTCTCTGGGGCTCATAAATCTGCGGCTAATAAAATATTCACAAGCTTAAATACTGATTATTGTACATTCGTTTAGAGCCTTTCGATTATTTGTCGTGTTTATGTATTAATAAGAACCACAGAAGGATATTTGACATTCCCAAATTTCCGGGAAAATTTTTCTACGATTCATAAAATTATGAACAATAAAGATATTTACAATTTTGGTCAAAAATAACCGAACAATTTGAATTTATTAAAAATTATTTTTTTTTCATATTTTATTTTTAAAAAATGGTTTTTGGTATTTTAATTTAAAAAATTTTTTTAAGTAAAAAATTAATTTTCATAGAAATCTTAGTTATAAAATTTTATATATAATTTGATTTTTATAATAATTTACAAAATATAGTTGTATATTTTTATGTGATAATATAAAATAATTAGTAAAAAATAGTTATCTTTAAATTATTAATCATCTTGACCCCCTTGTTTGTGTATGACTTTTAATTTGATTAATAATTAATTTACAATATAAAAATTTTAGAAAATTTATTCACTTAATTATATGATACCTTTCTTAGATTGTTTATAATCCAAGCCATTCGGATAATTTTGACCACAACTGTGAAATGGCAACACATAAAAACGTCTAAACCGTTTAATAATTGTATAAAAGGCTGTACGCACTTAACGAGGTAATTATCCAGGCATGCATTACATTTTAGCGTGAACATATTCTTGCTTTTATGCTACATATCATTGCGATTGGTTGACACAAAAGACAAAAATGAAATAAAAAAAACTGATGCACCTTCTTTTTATCAATAATTATTTTAATCTAGTGGCATAATAGCGTAACGGTATAAATATAGACACCAGTTTGAGATTATCTATTTTTGTGTTTCGTATTCAAGACAAGATTTAAACATTTTACTAATTATATTAATTATTGTATGATAGATATAAAATCATGGGGGAGGACACGAGAATTGTTGCGTGAAGACACGCATGAACTAATTTAATGGAATGAAAAAATAATTTTTCCAGCTAAATCTATTTTATCTAACAAATTATTTTACATAGATTACGCGAATTAAATTATTAAAAATATATTTTTTATGAAAATATTTATGGAAAAAAACAATATTTTTAATAATTACTTAAAAAGATCGTATGTTTGTTTTTCTCCTAAAAAATCATAATTCAGCACGTGTGCTGGAAAATTGACTAGAAAATTAAATAGCAAACAAAGGAAATAGATGACGTATATATACTATAATAAGAATGAAAAGTGTTAGCGCAAAATCTAAGAATTTAATTATAAATACAATCACGTGTCCATGATTTATTATAAATTTAAACTTGTTTCCTTTGGTCAGAAAAAATGTGACCATTTCCTAATGATTAGGTAGAGAAAATAAAGTCCTCTTCTTTGTGCTTAGATCGAGCTTTCGAAAAATGCTCACGGGAGGAGACTCTGTAAAAAATGGCTGTGTGACTTAAACCCGACAATAAAGCGAATCCACTTCACACTATCAGTCTTTCCCCATTATTTTTACTTTTCTTAAAATTTTCTGATGAAAAAAAATTACATTAATGAGTGATTCATCGCACGCACGCGTGTTTCATACTCTCATGTGACCACACATATGTATAATTTTTAAATATTTATGTATTGTATAACGCAGCCACAAGATTCATCTTTAAATGTATATTTTTGTATGTATACTATTTACAATTTATAATGAAATGTTTAACTATGGCGAGATTCATATTAACGGTTGATTGATAACCGAGTCAATAATATTTACGGCACATGAATAATACGATCAGAGGCTCTACTTATAAAAATTTGCGCTACAATATTGCCAAAGCATTTTTTATAATTATTCCCATCCCTCATTTAACTTCTCATATATAAATTTTACAAACACACCAACATTCATTCATTATTTCCACACCATTCACTGTAGCGAGCAAGAGAACACTGCAACTTAAATTTAGCTGATATTTTTCATTTTTGTTAATCATATCCATTAGAATGATGTCATTCTCATTATTTACCAATAAAAAAAGTTTTAATATTTTCCTGCAATTCATTTTACACGCGTGTGTTACAGGATACAGTTCGTAGCCAATTTATTCTACGTGCAATTGTATATAAACTGATGCGATAACCGCAACACTCGACTTGCATGTATACATGAGTAAAGCCAATGTTTCTTTGGCTATTTCAATTGATACACTCAGTTTTTTAACTTTGACAAAATTCATTCTAGGTAAATCCAACAATGACTTACTCAATAAAAATGTAGTTGTCAGTCTTCCGAGACATGAATTAATGATGCCGTTGAATTTTTATTAAGACTCTGGTTCATCATCAGTGAGGTTGTGTAAATCTGCATAATTTATTATAGCCCTATGAAGAAACTCATACTGCGCCTGTAAAGAAGAAATAATTTTTTTATTTAATTAACTAGATAATTAACGGCTTAGGAAAAATTTCAATTCATTAAAATTAAAAAAAAAAACTCACAAAACTGCTAATCATTCCATGTCTTTGGGACCTGAGTTTTTTCGTCGTTGTGAAAATATCAACTCTTTTTTCAGTTCTCAATTGTTGAACAAGAATACTAAGAGCAACAAACATTGAACTTCTATCAGAACCAAAGCTGCAATGCACAACAATGGGAACCGTCGATTCTACATCATTAGAAAGCGTCTGATCAACAAGCTCAATGAGTCCTCGCGTCACTTCCGGTACTTCACCCTCCACCGTGGGCCAACCATGATATTGATACTGTGTTACAACTGCAGTTTCATCAGTTTTTGTGTTTTCGACACACAGCTCTCGACGTGTGTAATAAGGACAGCTTTCGCTTTGAATATATCTCACTCTAATGTGTTCGTAAGCCACTTCATCTTCCGGCCAATATCGTGGACATTTACGAGGTCCTTCAGATAGCTACAAAATTAATTAATCATTGATATATACAATAAAGCTATGGATTAGTATTGAAAGGTGTTGAAGTAATAATTAAACTTACATCTGAAAGCATAACAATAGTAGAAATACACTGCTCAGAAATCATTCGCCAAAAATCTGCGATCGTTGTATCTAGAGGATCTTGCGTAATGATAAATGACTCAGAATTATCATATCCTTCAATGAACGACGCGTTAATATACGTTGAATGTTCTCTTCCTGGAATAGGAGTGAGAATAACACGGTTACGATCATACGGTATTATCGATTCACTTCTATTCTTAATCCGATTTTCTTCGCCACCTCCTACGGAAAATGATTTACGTTCTTCTAAAACGGAACTTATCTTTTGTGAATTTAATACAAGTCCCTGAAAATAAAATTTTATTCAAAATTTGATAAAAGTTTAATAAATTATTGAGAGTAAAAAATAATAATAAAATAACTCACGTCATATTCTTCTTCCATTCGGAATTTTTCTTTTCCATTATCTCTTTGTCTCAATTTCTCTACTTGAGTCTTGAGTTGATATATTGGAATCTCCGTATCTCCATACGTTGCCATTTCCATTAACGACCGATAAATGAATATGTATTGCTTCAAAGACTGTACTAAGAAATTACGCTGATGTCGAAGATCACAAACAGTATTGAAGATAGACACTTGCCCCTCTTCCGCAAGTTGCTGAAGAAGAGAATCTAGAGCAACAAGTGTACCACTTCTTCCTACTCCTGCACTACAATGAACAAGAATGGGACCTTTTTCAAGAGAGTATGCTTCATTCACTCGCTTTATAAACCGTAAAATAGCGTGAGGATGTTCTGGAGCCATAAAATCTTTCCAAACTAAGAAATGATATTGAATAATTGTCCTAGTATCTCTTTCTCCTATTTTCGTCATTTTCAATTCTCTTATAATATAGTCAGAAAATGCTCTTTGTCTTACATGATCAACTGTAATATCTCCAAAAATTTTTGACTCATCTTTATCAGGCCAATATTTTGCACATTTTGTCTTAGAATATTCTTCAAGATTCGTTAACATCAACACTAGCTCTAAATGTTGCTCCCAAATCATTCTCCAGTAATCACAAACTGTATTATCCATCGGACCTTGAGCACAAATAAACTTTTTTCGTTCCTTGTATCCCAGTACAAAGTTTGCATTGATATAATCTGAGCCAGCAATCCCATCCATCTGTGAGAGACGTACACGTGTCTGATCGTAGCACTTGATATCAGGGTAACGATTTTTGTAAAGATTCTCCCGAGCTTCAGATGCTCGTGTTGTCCTGTCAGCAAACCTGTCCGGTAAAAGCTCAAACTCATGTTGAAAACCGTAGTCAGAATCACGATGGCGTTCTACATAAGCTTGAAGCAAATCATTCTTAGCGATCGGTGGCATATCCGGCGGACTATCTGCAACAAGTTGGCGTCTTCTTCTTATAGTCCTACAGAGATGCCTACCAAAAAGGGGCATCCATTAGAAAACCTGTCGATGAGTATTCTTTTTTCTTTTGGCTTATTGACTTCGTTAAACAAGCTCGAGACTCTCGATTACTCACCTCGTGCTGTTCCTTAAGATGATGTGTTCCTCACCATTTTGTTCTGCACGTTTTGTATATCTATGAAGAATACATAGTGCAATTAACAGTATTAAAATGATGAGAATTAAAGCCACTGAGATTTGAAGTATCATTCCTAATGTTCCCACTTGTTCTGTTGCTATTGCTCGAGGTTCAAAACCACCAAATAAAGTATTTAAATAACCACTATAAGCTGGTAATGCCTGCCTTTCTTGATTTCCGTAGACTATTCCATAGACAAAAATAATATTGTTGATCATATTTATTAATTATAAAATTTAAAAAATATATTTCTAATAGAATCTCGAACTGTTCTTCATATTTAAAAAATTTCGCAAAAGATTATCACATCATCAAAATCGACTATTTCGCTACAGATAGAGAGTAAGAAAGTTCGAGGTTCTACTGTATAGCAGAAATAATTTTGCAATCATCTAAAAATAAAAAAAAAATGACTCATCATAGAATCAAATAAACACGCGGGTTAAAATGTCATATTTTGATAAAAACACTAAATTTTGTCATACCGTCACGAAAATTTAAGATTGATTCTTAATTTTAAGGTTATAACAGTGACGTTCTTCCTCTCGAAAAGATAAACAACACTCATTTGCGTTTGCACACAAATAAATTGTTGTCTTTCTACGCAGAATAAATACATACCTTTCGAGAATCAGAACGGTGAGCACTCTGTTTGTCGGTGAAGATATGACGAAAAGTAGATTAGTAACGAAATAATAATAGTTGTAGTGAATTAAAAAATTTAAAAAATTTTTGCAAATTATTTTGGTAAATATAACGATATAGATCATCGTAATACTAATAAAAAATACTATATGTACCCACCCATGACTTCGATGAATGCCGTATAATTTGAATTTTCATCAAGGAATCCATCAGCAGGAGGATATTGTCCAGACTTTGGAGGGCTCTCGATAATCATAGTGTCACTCATAGAATTATCTCGTTTACGTCTAGTAGCTCGAGTCGTGGTTAAACTTTCCAATTGACTAAAGCTCGTTATTTCTACGCTAGGATTGGTGCTTGTTGGCTGAGCACTAGGCGGTGTAGTTACAGATACAGTTGTTTGCATTGTAGAAGTGGGCGTACTGGTAGTATTTATAGTAGTTGGCACATCAGGCATAAGGTGAAGCGTTGGTGAAGGTTTAGGACGTAAACCAATACATTGATCACAAGCAGAACTACCATTAAAATTTGTATAACCATCACCAAGAAAAACTTCAGATAACAAGTGATCACTATCAAAAAGCTCTGCTAAATAAGCCCCACCAGCTGGTGATGCGTGAGCATAATGATAAGAATGAACATCTAGTTCATCCGGTGAGGGAAGATCTCCTGAAGTTTTATGCGGTGCTAGTTTTACCAAAAATACTCTGTAGCAACAAATTGGGCCATTTCTCTCAGATATTCGTGGCAGGTAGAGCTTGAAAAGATGTCTTCCCTCGTGCTCAATTTTCCGCCAATTCCGCATATTTAAACTCTCTCTATCTGGAACCGTACCAGGCATTGTGCAATTTCCAACTACTTCTTTACCTGGTGCTTTAACTCTAGTGACACCATAAATTTTGACGGTATAATTGGTATTTGGTGGAAGTCGTTTAAATTCAAAGCTTCTATCTTTTTCTTTACTATTATGACTCAGAGGTCCAAATTTATCAACATAAATTTTTGCACGATCATTACGATACCTAGAAATGCCTGAAAGTTCCAACTGATAATGCATTATCACACCGTTGTGTACAATAGGAGGTTCCCAGGAAACTGATACGAAATTAGTTCTACTAATTTCATCATAATTACATGAAACAGTAAAGTTTTGCGGTGGACCACTAATTCCATCCATAGTTGTACCATTAACTACATCACTCCAATTACCGCACTGTTCTGTAAAATAACTGCATGCGGCGATTTTGAATTGATAGGTCGTAGCCGGTTTAAGATCAGTAAAGACATATTCTTTATATCCAGTTTGAGGATGATGCACAGTTTCTTTTTTTTCGTTCCCGAGGATGACCATCAGTTTATAAAAATGCACATGATCTTTGAGATGTGGTGGAGGTAGAGTCCAGCCTAGGGTTATTGAACCGCCAGTTATACCTTTAACTATGCTGGTTGGCACAAAGATAGGATCTTCTTCAAGAGTTGTTATCAGTCGTGGATCAATGTGGACTTGGGATTTACCAATTTTATTCGTCGCAACTAAGCCTATTTGATAAGCAGTTGACTTTTCTAAACCTTTCAAAACATAATCTGTATTACTTCCGTTGATCACTTCACTATGATACTGCCAATCACTTCCGTTTTTTCTGAATTTAATTTCATAAACATCAATAGGCATATTGCCATTATTTACAGTCCAATTCAAATAAATTTTATCAGCGCCTACAGCTTTCATAAAATCGATGTTTACTTGAGGAACATCCACGACAAACAAATTTCTTAAACCACTCACTAGCCTGTTATAATCGTATGCTAAGCACGAATACGTTCCGTTATCATTTCTATAGACCCGAGAAAAATTTAATGTCAAAATATAGTAAGTTTCATTCACTTTTGAGACTTGTGATCGTTCTTTTAAATCCTCCGCACTTTCAAAATTATTTCCTTTTACCCAACTAAAATTACTTAGAGGAAATCCATGAATATGGCATGATAAAATAGCAGGCGATGTTGTATTCGCCCAAACATCCTTTGTTGGCTCTACTCTTCCCGGTTCTGTAAATAAAATTAAAATTAATTGAATAATTTAACCTATTAAACCAAAAAAAAAAAATATGAGTTCATTCGTATTGTTTTTGAACTGCAGTAACTCTATCTTAAAATCACATTCAATGTGATGAAATCGTACATATAAATAACTTTTGTGTTAAGTCAAAGTTGTATTGAGCACGTGAAATTATTTTTATTGATATTTAATATTAACTTTAGATACTTTATTTATTAAAAAAAATTTTAAACTCACCTATTACCCTAATATTAATCTTTTTTTCAAGATATTCCCCTCCATTAGTTTTAGCTTTACACGTATAATTTCCCATGTCATCCCTGCTGACTTGTTTTAAATCCAGTCTTACTTTATATTCTGATTCAACAACAGTTGTGACATTTTTGTCATTTCGAGTCCACAGAATTTGGCCAGGCTCACTGAGCCTACATATAAAAGAAGGTGTACTACCAGCTTCTATTTCATCAATTTGTTGAGAGGAATCAATCTCCAGAGTAGCACGAGGTAGAAAATATTGTGTACTTGATGTGTCTGTTGTTTCTGTAGCTGTAAAGAATACAAATAGCAGTTTCTATCACTGAATCACCAAGACCAACATCAACTTCATTATAAATCATCTTATCTTGTTGCTGCGATGTGCATGGGCTTAATTATTTTTACATCGATAAAAAACAAGACTAGATTGATTTCATACAATGAATAAATGTAAAAGAAATAGAACAAAAAAATTTCTATCACACTACAAACAAATAAATGCTCCAAAAGAACAAACGTTTTCTTGATGATAACTACATTGTGATCAAAAATTATTACATTGAACTTTATGGATACCGAATTATTTAAAAAAAAAAGAAAAACTTACTAGTATTATTCAACTCCTCAGTGGAGATAGTTTTGATGATGGAGTAGACAAATAAAAGCACTAGAGTACTCGCCATCGGCAAACGACTCCGTAACATGGCGTCTTCGTTGGGATCTCGTTTATGACAGCCGGGCGTGTACAATATGCCCTTCGTCCTTTTCCTCCTTTCTTCTTCCGCTAAACTCCACTTCACTTGTTAGCTCTTGACTACACGTCAGGCTCACCTCGCCGAGAGTCTTTCAGCCTCGTCTGGGTAACATGTCCCACCTTCCTTGACACCTTCCTCGAGCGTCTCTTCTACCCCTGTCTATACATCGTGTAAAACTTGAAACACTATTGGGCGCGAAGTTGAACCCACCCTTCCTTTATCACTTATTGAGTTCAAATTACGCAGGTGAATTACGTTATTTTCGCTGGGGATTTCTAAATTGAGAATACTATTGCTTTGTAGTTTCACTGGTCTTTAACCGGTGTTAAATAACGTTGTATATATGTACGACGCACGATCAGTACTATATCCTCGGAAAGCTGTGCACAATCTGCCGGTGTGTGTCCGTTGCTCATGAATTATTTCCATCTCTTTTTAGAGTTCTATCTCTTTTCACCATTTTGCTGATTACAGCGCTATCTATTTTCCTGCGGATTAATTTGGAACTGCTATGTAAACTAAGTTGTTAATCAAGCAATTTACTTTACTGACAAGCGATGATGTAAAAAAAAAGTAAAGGTGTCATTTGATGAATAACCGTTTTGATTGGTTTTTTATACGAATTTGCTAAGTGAAGGAACCTGAAAAAAGAACAAAAGTATGTTACGGACTAGGTATATGAAACGAATTGTGTGTGGGTGGACAATAAATCGGCCTTGCAAACCATCTTCAAGCTCATGATCCTTCAAAAAAGGAATAATAAAAAGGAGCAATCGGGTTTTAACATCCGATTGAGACTCGCGAAGCGTCGTTGTCGGGGCCATATTGATTTTTTGGAAAATAAAATATGAAGAGCTGCGGAGTGGTGGTCTAAGGTGTGGTTGGTATTGGTTAGTGACCATAGGAATGCTTTACTGCGCCCGCGAGTAGTCTAGTTAACGAATCTGATGATTGAAGAAGGGAAAAACGATGTGTTGATTAAAAATGTGGTAGCGCAGCTAAATATTTCAAATAGTTATCGGTATCATCGAGTGGAAACCAATTGGAAGAATGTTTTAAGTGTTGATAGTGAATGTTAGGTTAGCTCCATGTTTGCTGGTGTAATTGATTTGTCAAATGATCCTCGTGTCGTCAAGTTTAGACACCATTTCTTCGAGTGACACACTCCCGGATCACGCCTAAGCATGTCAACGATGATACACTTGTAGAACAACTTAGAGAGAACCATAAAGCATCGTTTATTCCCTTGAAAAATAAAACAGAATAATGCCTGCATGATTTTTAAATTATACATCCAGTTGAAATGATGAGTAGTTGGACTGAAAGAATGCATCGGCGGGCTGCGACCCTTGGCAACGTTGTCACCAGCTGTGGACATCCTTCGTCGGTACCTCCATATCCTAGAAGACTCGAAAAGTAAAAGTCTACATTTCCTAGCATCTTATATCTTTTGATGACAATTATTTTTATGATATATTGTTTTAATTGTTTCAATTGTTCACACGAGTATAATTTGTTGTGATCTACTCCAAAATAAATTTTTTCACTTAACATTTCTTGATTGCATTTTCCTTTAATTTTATTGAAGGATTTATGGAATTGTTTTATTTATCTAATTAAAAATTTGTTACAGAGTTAAATTTGGTATACCACTCGATGAAGTATGTAAAAATGATATTCCTGGTCCGTTGTTAGTAAGTTTCACTTAAAAATATTCCTTTTTGTTGATTGATTTTTGATCTTTCAAAAAAATCTGAAAAATATTATTAATAAATCATAAAAATATTTATTAATAATTAATAACTTCTTTCCTTTATTGTGAGATATTCATTGTGTATTGTATAATTCAGGTTCTCATTTTGAAGCTGAACAAAGAAGCACCCCTAAGAAAAGATGTGTTCAGAGCACCAGGGCATCAGGGTAACATGAAGAAACTTATCCATTTCTTACAAACAGGACGATTAGTCAATATGGACAATTTTAGCGTTTATACAATAGCTAGTGTGTTGAAAAAATTTTTGAGAAAAATACCTGGTGGAGTTTTCGGGCGGGAAGGAGAACAACAATTGTTTACAGTTATTCAACTTGATAGTATGGAACAACAGAGGGACCAGATTCATAAGTAAATTTTATTTTTATCGTTGAGAATTTATTAATAAATTCAAGACCGAGCACTTATTGCTAAAATAAAATTTATCATTTTTGTATACAATAACGTCAAATGATCTATTTTCAACAATGTTATTTATTTTTAATTTTAATATTTTCAATTTAAAAAATATATAAATTGTATTATTTCATTTACTAGCTAATAAGTTTCAATAAGATCGTATTTTCTCACACGCCTGAATCAATTATTTCTAATTAAAGAATATAATAGTCAGGTAATAAAGGAGATAGTTGAAAATAGATTGTTTCATATGAATAGATTAGTGAAAATAATTACTTATTATAATAATAAATGTGATTTACAATCATAATAAGATTATTTGTTATTGTTTTTTGTAGATTAATAACATCATTACCAGTATATACACAACGTCTACTTGTACTTCTCTTTGGAACCTTCAGGGTAGTAGCTGTAAACAGTGAAAGAGCTCATACAGGAATGTCTAGTGAAGCTCTTGGAGTATCAGTCGCACCTTCATTTTTTCAAAGCTGCGTAAGTGATGGTAAAACTGCAAAAATGGAAGATGTACTCAGATTCAAGGTAATTTCTAATTCTTTATTTAAATAGTTTTCAAAAATTTCACCTAGTGCTAGTCTTAGTCAAGGCATCGAATCACTCTTTTACGCATTTAAATATTGAGTTTTTATAAAGAATAATTAGATAATATTTATTAACTAGGAAGATAGATATTGAAATAGTTCCCCTTAGAAAAATTTAAGGAATAAAATATCTATGTACATCTTTTGTAAATATACCCTTAATAACACTGAAATAAAAACTTAATTAATAAGAAGTGCATGAGCTTGATAATTTCATGGGCTTTACTGTGATCATTTAAGATCATCTTTTCATTTGTTAAATTTGCTTTCTTATCACCAGGCGGAGGTTTCAGTAAGTTTGAATTATTCAAAATTCTACACATTGAATTGTATAAAAAAAAAATTGTTAATGCATAAGTAGTAAATAAGTTCGTAACTAAATAAATAATGCATGTGGCTTGAATAAAATAGCTTTTAGTAAACTTAATAATGTCAACATTTCATCTGAATTAAAATGTATTATAACATTGCAAGTACTATGAATTGGTTTCAAATAATTGACTAATCTTTTAATTGTTATTCAATTCAGGTAGCTACACGCGTAATGAAATTTATGATTGACAATTTTGGAGTTTCAAATCTTTTTGGTCGTGAGAATTACGAATTTTATGCCAGAATAACTGGGAGAATATTGAAAGTAGAAGAAGACTGGATATTCAGTTTCAGATATCCTCCCGACAGCGTAGTATCAAGTAAGTTTATCTTTTATTTTAACTGTATTTTGTCTTGAATTAAAAGTATCTAATTGTTTTAATAAACTAATTATTAATTTTAATCATGATCATTTGCTAATCTTTAGGACAATTGTCTCTTGAAGCGGAAAAAACGTGGATGCAATATGAATGCGAACGATGGGGATTGAAACTTAACTTGGAATGTTAGTGTTTTATTTATTAAACATTGACTATTGATTATTAATGTATAAATAGTGGTCATTGTATTCAATTATTTTTTTTTTCTTTAGCTATGTCACATCAAGAAGAATCCCAATCAACACCAGCTTTAATCCACATGCCAGAGTCTTTAGATCTTACGTCATCATTAGGAATGATTCCAGAGAATACTTTACTTGAGAGTTATACTCGGCTATCCGTTAGTTTAGAAGAAAATGGACTATTTCATGTAAGTAATTCTCTGAAAATATACTTTTTAACCACTTTAAAAAGTAATTGAATAACTTAATTTTGAAAAAAGGGTAATTGATTAACTTATTCAACAAATTATTTCAATTAACACTAAGTCAGTCTGTAGTTAAATGTTAAATTGAAAAATGATTCGTGGAAGTTTTCATCAGACAAAAAACTATTATGAGATTTAATTCATTTAGGCATCAAGCCGATCATCAAGCAATGGTAGTCATCAATCTCGCCATGCAGCAATGACGTTAGATGAATTGCGAGCTGTGAATAGATATGCTGAGAGTACGAAAAGCCTTACTTATTTGCCACAGGTAGGCATTGGAGAAGCTTAACAAGAGCCTTATCGATCAATAGCACTTTCGACAAACAAAAGACATCATTGTTATAAAGAAGACTTACAATCGCTACTTATATTAATTAATTAATATACAATCAGAAGAATTGAATATCATCATGAGAATTGCGAGAAATTGATAACATTGCATTTATTATTGATAATTGTTATTTGAGCCATTCTATCGTAAAACAGTATTGATATCAAAGACCTACGATAGGATTACATAAACAAAGACTGCATTTTTGTCAATTAAATACTCTTGACATTGTGTTATATTACAATCATTGATGTTGATGTCGGTATTAATAATTTTTTACTATTTAATTGTATTATTTATTTATAATAAGCACTTCATTTGTATTCAGATGCATGATCAAAACATATATTTAACACTTTTATAATATTTTTCCAATTAGAAAGTAAATTATTGATTAATTTAATCTTTGTTTAGTTTCCTGTTTCATTATTTTTGTTATTAATGTACTCATATTAGTAATGTAGATTTTTAACATGCGTTTCACCATCACGTGTACATAATAAATTTATTTTTCTGCACTCATATACACGTAATTAATTACTAATTATAAATGTAAACATCCTGAATGATCTCAATGTATTCTGTTAAGATAATTCTACCGTTTTCTCTCGGTTCAGGTGCATGAAAGGCAAACTGCTCGTATGCGTACGAGGTCTGAATGGTTTTTAACGCCTGTTGGAGAAAGACTTATTGGCACTGATAGTGATCCCACAGCCATACATATTCTAAGAGGATCTAATCGATCTTCTTCCGGTAACATTGGTAAGTATTTAGTCAACCCTAACAAAACTTTTGTTTCTTTGTTGACTAATCAATTATTGCTTCATTAAATTAACACAGTCTAATTAACAAAATGAATGTCAAAACTAATATAACTCGACGTGAAGTTCTTGATACTGATGAAAGTGTTAATTTATTCTATTTCTTTATTAGCAACTGGTTTGAGTGCAAGCGCAGAGTCAGTGAAACGTCCAAGTTTACGGAGAACTGCTTCGAGAGAGAAATCTCGACTTCATCGAAGTTCCTCACGACGTAATAAAGAGAATGGAACGAAGACTCGAGCATCAGTTGATGCTTGTAAATCACGATCTGTAGAGATAATGAAAATGAAAAGAGTTTCGCTTGAACAACCAGCAGAGAAGATTATGAAAAATAAGAGTGATGAATTGCTTAATGATGAAATACACTCAAGAGAATGTTTAACTGAGAAAACGACTGATATTTCAATTGGACCTCAAGACTGTACAGAAATGGATGTTCAAACATTTCATGTTACATTAACATATAAACCAAGAATATGAAACAAACATTAAAGCAGTTTTTGTTTTTAATAATAATAAGCTGCTGGAATATGTTTTAAGCGAAATTATTAAACTTATTTTATGAACGAAGAACGTCATACGTAAAAAAAATACGTACACGTATCTGCTTTAATGCCCTCCAAAAATTGAATGTGTTATTAAATTGGAAACTTGTGAAAATTTTTTATACTTGAATGCTTGATTAGTTTATTGAACGATTTTAGTATCTGTCAATCGATACACTTTTTGTGTGTTAAAAAAAATTTTAATTGTATGCGTGGTTAGTAATGTTTAGTTAAATAATCTTCGACGTTCGCGTGATTAGACTACCTATTGATACATCTTTATAACTCGAAAAAGATGCATGGATAGGATGTAAATCTTTCATACAGGGTGTGGAATAGGCAGACATCATGCTCATTCCATTTTTCGAATATTTATATGTTACTAGACAAAAAATCATAATACTTTTTCGAAAACAAGGTAATACAATGAATAAGTTTTCCACAAATTTTGAACTAATCTTTGCCACATACAAATTTGATGTTTTTATTTCACTACTGAATGATGTTAATGATGTGTACTGATAAAGGTACTTTTAATACTGGCATCTAATCATTTAAAACAAGATTTTTTAATTTTATCAACTGTACCATTCCAACTGCATTTATTAATTTGATCTTATACTGTCATTAATTATCTACATGATTTGACAAACTTCTGAAATAAAAAAAAAAAAAAACTCGTTTCTAATTTAAAAATAATGACAGTATAATTTTCATAATTATTTACTACATTTTTTCGCTTTGTATATAAAGTTTTTTATATACATATATTACAAGAAGCGAGTGGAAACGTTATTTATGCTCTTCGAAAAAAATACTATTCGATTAGCGGATGCATAAGAGATAGTTGACATCATTGATACAATAATATATTTATAAAATTGTTTTATCCTAGAATTAAGTATTAGGAGAATGTTTTAATCATTTTCACTGTCACAACTGATTAATTTTTGCCGTTTATTTGCACAGAGAGTATAATGAAAATCTTAGTAATTTTTATATTTCCTTTTTTATAATTTATTATTTGCTTTAACAAACTTATTAATATATTATTATCATAAATTTCAGTATTGGCATAGAAATTGTAAAAATTTATTATTTATGTACAATTACTCAACGATATTTGTCAAAGTTATTTGTTTTAGTATTTTTGAATAGTATTAAAAGAAACGTTATTATCAGTTATATTTTCGAAAATATGTATCGATTATCCAACCTGCACCAAAGAGCAGCTGTTTTAGTTTATTAATTAGGATTTAATTAGCACGTCGCTTTGCATATTGACAAATTTACAAATATTTTATAGACTTTTCATTTATCATTATTATTTTTCACGAAAACTTTTATTTGTTTTTTCACGAGTCACTGTGATTTAAGCTTCATCATGTAATATTTTAATACTATAAGATTTATAATATAAAGTGAGTCCAATAAGTTCGATAAAATTATGTTCAAAGTGTTCTAATATATTAAATGAAAAGAACATAAATGCCAAATATCAGAGTAGAGATATTTACAATGAATATTATCGTGACATTCGACACTGAAGACTGGTTTTAGGACCATATAGTGATTAGAATGCTTGATAGTAATATTTTTTTCTTTTAATTGATTATTCAGTATAATAATTATATAAATGTGTTTCTCTACTGTTTCGCATATATTGTACAAGACAATATTTTTTATGTTGATCTGTGGTCCAAAATAAATTGCCAAAGCTGTAAGACTGTCAGCAAAGAGATCAGATAATTGATTGCAAAATTTAAATATTGTCTTCAAATTTTTTTTATTGTTATTAATTCCTTATTTTATAATTATTGAATGTATATAACAAAATTATGTAGTTAATTGAACCACACCAATGATAAGAAATCGGATGATTAGTTTTTAAGTCACGAAATAAAAGAAAAAGAATTGTGTTAAAAGATCACGCTCACATATATAACATATCGCCGCATTTTTTTATTTCTAGGACATTTTTTAAGATTTTTTGATAAAAAGAAAATTATGTACCTAGTTTTGAGAACATACCACCGCACAACAATCCATGAATTAAACAGTTTACGCTCAATTGTTTATAATGAAACAATAATTATTAATAATGACATCAAGTAAAAATAAAATGGAAATATACGATATTATTTTTAAGTATAATAGTTCGGACAAAAAGATTTTATATCAAGAAAAATATGCGATTGTGCCAAAGTTCGATCATGTCTATGGTTTCCTTTTTCAACAGAATGATCTTCGATGATGAACTTCGATAATATTCAAATAGAAAATCACCCATTTCACAGCTTTCCATGAATTCATACATTTTTATATATTTCAAATGCAAAAAAAAACGATAATATCATTATTTCTGCGGACAAAGAGAAAAAAATAGCTATAAGCATTTGAAATAAAAATCACTTAATTCTGATTGCTGTTTAAATGTGATTAAGAATATGAATCAACTAGAGGCGTAATTTATTTGTAACTATAATCGTGATGTCAGTATGTTCGATGTTCAAAAAGAAAAGATCAAACCCATTTTTACGAATCATTGTCGAAATGTTTTATCATTATACTGATTGCATATTTCGCATATTATTTATAATTGAATTAATTGAATACATTTTATAATTTTATTTCTATTTATCTCTAATACACACGTCTTATTTACATATAAACAAATGCTCCAAAATATCTTCCAGCTTCAATAATTACAATGACTTCCACCGACATAATATTAACATTAATTTTGAACTAACATTGATATACCCTCCTTATTGTAATAAGTGAATTATTTAAATTAATTATTGAAATACAGTAAATTTTTACGTAATATGAGCATTAGATAAACTGTTATACATTGCGATTAAATTAATATATTTCGATGTATTTTAAATAACATATTATATATGAAAATAAAAGACTTATCTACATTACTTGGACATGAGTATAATTGTTACTTTATTCGTTAATTAGTTGAAGTTGGCTTTAATTTTTTTAATTGAAATCTGGAGATATATTATTATGTATATTTTTATACTGTAATTAATAAAAATGAGTTCGTTGTTAGTTGAAATTAGTATGTTAATAAGTTTTCTTTTATCTTTCAAGTCTACTTATAAGTCAATTAAATTTTAAATTAGAATCTTTCGTGCTATTATTATTTTTTCTGTACTGCGCATGCGCATGTAATTCGCCATTTTGTCGTGCGGCAAACAAAAATGCTACTTTCACTCCCTCACCATCCGCATCTCTCAGTTCGTGCCGAGCATGGCAATGTGTTTTAACGCTTTCCTCCGTCGGGAGTGAAGAAGCTCGATTGTTTTTTTTTTGTTGACAATTTTCATGTGCCACGGGACAGTTATGGTTGTTAACAGATATCAAAATGAATGAAAGTGTATGTTAATAAAGGTGTTTATATAAAAATAGTGAATAATGTCTCGAAATAATGGAAAATTTAACTTTGTGACTAAGTGTCGTTCCCTCCTTAGGTTTTCATGACGTTTGAAATACTTGATTTTATGAAAGGAGGGAAGAATAAAGATTTACAATAAATAAAGAAGAAAAGTAAATGCGAATTTCGCAGAAATGTACATAAAACACGTAAATATTTTACGATTTTAGAATGGCTCTAGGGAAATTGAGGGGCGCCCTCGCTGCCTGCATCTTGTGCACTCTCGTAGTATCTTCTACTTATGGTAAGTGTTTTCTTTCATCTTTATAATTATCTTTATCGTTTAATTTACGATTAAATATTAGATAATCGCATAGTGACATCCAATAAATTAATTAGATTTTTTCTAGGGTCTATAAAAATGATAAAAGTACGCAATGTTGATCTATTTATCTTATCTATTTTGCTTTGCTTCCGTTGTTTACATTATCCTGTTTGAATTTCTATTCATGATTTAGAATGATTTTCAAGCTGTACAATAATTTCATTCAATAGAAAACTACATAAAAACGTATAGAAAACATTCCCAATAGATTTAAGGTTAGATTTGCGAGAGAAAATACGTTTTTAGGTTAATGTAATGAAGGAAAAAATTGAGATAAAAAAGGGGAAAAATTCGAAAAATGTAACACAGGAAACTTGTGTGAATGTAAGCTTGAGAATGAATAGAAAAAAGAAATAAAAGCGTCTGGATCACTTTAATCACTTCCTCGCTGGCACCCCCGCCCAAAAGGAGTCCCCATGGCGAGGTGGAATGGCATAAAAGGAGATGGTGAAGAAGAAGAAGAATAAGAAAAAAGTGTGCCAGAGGTGTGCATATGCTCTGTTGGAAGCGTTGTTGCCGCACAAGGGAGAGAAACCTTCGACTGGGGATGAACAAGAGGCCAAAAACGAAAGCGAAATAAGCAAAGGTTGCCAAAGGAAATGGAATACAAAACACAATGCTCTCAAACTCGCCTATATTCATCGTCAAAGAGAAGAAGAAAGAGAAGTGAGAGAGATATATAGAATCCTTGCACAGCGTTTCTCTACAACAGAGAGTGAACAGAGAACTCTGAGGGATCCGAACCTCAGGAATGTAGACCCTCCCTCTAGTTGTGTCTCCCTTCTACCTTCTTCTTCTCTTTCTATCTTCCTTCATAAGTCCTACCTAGCTCTTTTCCTTCCCTGGGGCTGTCTCCCGTCCTTCTTGCCAGTCTCCTAACAAGCCACAATATAAATAATGCTTTCAGGTGTATGCGTTCACCAGAATCAAAGACGAGAGAATGCAAAGTCGTTTCTTCTTTTCAACTTCTCTGTCTTCAGTCCATCTCCTCTCTCTTCCGTTTCAATTGTAACTTCTCATAGATTACTTCAATTTATTCTTTCATCTTTCCAAGTGATGCAAAATTTTTGTATTGAACCGAACAATTTTTTCCAGTCTTTCTTACATAAACATCAAAAGTTCGACTAATAGTCATGTCGTGGACAAAGTCCTTTGAACTACTCTAGACGCAAATTATGAGGGGAAAAAAAATGTGAATGTACTTGTAAGAGACTTCTAAAACATCAATACATTGGACACTTTTTTTCTTCATTTTTTTCTGATTTTTGATTTGATAAAATATTTCAAGTAATCATTTTATATTCAAATTATACCAGTGATTTATAGTCATTTTTGTCACACAAAACTATTATGTGTATATTTTTTTCAAAACATCTTAACTGTTCTCTCAATCAAAACGAATTTGACGAAACATCCAGTTACAAATAAATTCAAGAATTAGTTTATGGTTTGTGTCCAACTCCATAAAACATATAACATATTATTTAAATGATAATGAATCTGTCGTAAAGATTGTCCTATTGGCAATTTCAAGCACTTCTTATAAAAAGTATTTTAGATGATTTATTTATGAGTTATAATCATTTAAATTTATCAGAAAACTTGACAAAAATCACTTTATTTACATTTTCATCTAATGTTTATGCTTATTATTTGATTCTCTACGGAGAAAAAAAAAAATTTCAAAAACACATAAAAATTCTTGAGTGAATAAAATTGAATTAATAAAAATATTTTATTACTTTTATACAAAATTTTCAATAAAATATCGTTTCTGTATACTCTATAGTATGTTTTTCATCTTGAAAATAAATTTTTCTTTGTGTCTATTTTTTTGACATTTCATTCTTGTGTCTTAGTAAAGGATGTATAGAAATGAAAAGCCAAAGATCTGAAAACACTTCGTAATCCCACAGGTATTATTATCATTTCCATCGATATACTCTTTTCTACTTCTCAATCTCTCTCATCTTTATTTGTTTTTTTTTTTTCTATTTTTTATTTTTTATCATCCTTTTGTAATACATAGGAAATTGCGGAAGCGTGTGTTAATTTAACCGTAAATCACACGTGGGCTGATCGTTTGAAGATATCACAAAAGGACTGAAGAACTAGCGTACCAGACATCTCGTTTCTTTCTCTCTCAATCTCCCTTTACCTTTTCTTCTTATCTTCGCTTCCAGGAGAATGCATAATGTGGACCCTTGTGTATTTTAGAGGCTACGAATCTACTCCAAACTCATCTGCGACTTTGAACAAAAAAGAAGAGAAAAGATACTTATAACATTACTCGTTAAAAATTACTGAACAAAAACTAATGTAGTTAAAGTATTTAATGCTGCTATTAATAATGACATTAAATTATTGAATTGAATAAATTATCATTAAAAAGTGTATTCAATGAATGGATATGTTTTAACTCAATATGTAGAACTGTAAAAAAAAAAAAATTAATTAATTTCAATTTGAAAAAAAAAAGTTGACGAGCATAATAAAGAATTCATGCTTTTAAAATTGTTAAAACTCTTTAAAAAGATTCTACCGTGTTTTTATCTTTGAATTTCATTTCAAGAAAAGGATAATGTTAATTCATTAATTGTATTCTTTTCATATAAAATAATTTTTTCTTAGTTATATTTTAGAAATAAAAAAAGTCGGATAACTTTTTAAAGTTAGAATGTATAAAAAAAAAAAAGAAATTCCAGTATTTTTTTTGTGCAAAAGAAAAGAAAAAATAATTTCGCATTGCTTTTCAAGCAAACAAAAGAAATAGTTCTATTTTTGATTAATACTGTATAGCACATAGAGCAAACACATACACTGACTAAAAGTTCACTTGGTTGTTGGATTTGAATTGAAGCAAACACCCACGTCTACCTGCGTGCTGAAAGACGATAAACCTTGGGTTTTACTTTTCTCTTGCTCTCATTGAAATTGTCGTAGCATGTTGGTGTTAAGAGCCACCCCGTGTATTAGTGGTAGTAAGTAGAATAGTTGGTAGTCGATGCTGCTGGGGTCAGCCCTCTCTCGTGCTGTTCATCACCCTGCCTACTACCTTATTCGTAGCCTTCGCCACCTGCTTTGCATTCCCTCCTCCATCATTATCCTCGACAGCCATTAATTTAAAATTGAATCACGTCTAGACGTCGACGGATCAGCTGAACATAAAAAAAGGAAAAATAAAAATATTAAATCAATTTCCCAGGAAGTTAGAGTTGTATTTTTCGGTATAGCCTATCGTCATTTCAGTGTCAAGGATGCGAGAGAATCTCTTCCGGAGGCCCGTGAGTGGAAGGTGAATGTGAGAAGAAAAGAGATGAGCAATCAAAAAGAGGATGAGAGAGAAAATATAAGAAGACTAACGGCCGCTAACAAGGCACGGTAGAGGCAGTAAGAGGGGCGTGCTAACTGCCATCTCCTCCTTCCTCCTCTTTCTCTTCATCTTCGCTCTATACTCCAGGATACAAACCAGCAAGGACTTTAGGTTCACGGACTGCCAACGAGGAACGATCTCGCGTGCCTGCTGCTGCTCTCCACCACTCTTCAAGTCTTTTACATTGGCGTAGGGGTCATATACATGAACATATACATACATACACATCTCCATATATTTGAATACTTTTTCTGCGAATAAATATTAAAAACAATCTGCTTTCAAATATTTTAATTGAATTTTTTTACACATTTTAACGTATTTCTGCATATTTATTACCACATTCTTGGTATTTTCAAATACTAAACCAAAATAACATTTTTATTAGCTTCAATGGAGATCAACAAGCTTATTCTCTGATTTAAGACTTAGACAGTTTGCTCTTATTTAGCAAATTGATGGTTTCTAGATGGGTGCAAAGTATTAGCATTGAACATTTGATGAAAATGATTGTTTCTAGACGGATGCAAAGTATTAGCATTGAACATTTAATGAAAATGATGATAGGTTAACATAATTTTTTTTCGGTGTCTATATATAAATGTAATGCTACAGCATTTTTTTTGTAGTCTACATATTTTTTACAGCTCTTCAAGATAAACATTTTTGCTAAGCTTGCCTCTTTATAATAATTTTTTTCTAAGCTTTTTTTTGGTGAGAAAGTGAAGAACGTGCTTTCCTGCTGCTCTGGCTTGCGAGTGCCCACTCGTGCAAATGTTGAGGCCTCTCTCTTTAATTTTTATTTTTTATTTTGCTTAGTCTCTCATTTTTTTCTTCATTCCACTGCTCGTTTAATCTCACGCCTCGTCACCTGTACCTCTCCCTTTGCCCTCGTCCGTCTTCAATAATCCAACGAGTTCCGTACTAACGTGAGAATTTTTTGTTTTCATTCAGAATTATTGTTCGATCGAAAGAGTAGGTGTTGAAGAAAATAAAATGAAAGGAAAAGCCTTATAGTATATTGATGTGAATAGAGAAGTAGTGCCATAGGTTTGATCCGGGTCCTTTTTCTTCAATTGCAAGAAGGAAAAGAAATACAAGAGAGAACTTGGTAAAATCGTTTTGAACAGACTCTTCTTTCAGTTACTTTCTTTCTTCTTCTCTTGTCTACTCTTCTCATCTTCAGAATGCCGCAAAGGGAATAATAATGCGTTAAAGTGCATAATGAGGCGCAGAAACTCTGTTGGCTTGTTGTGAAGCTTCAAAGCATCACGAAAAAAAGTAAAAAGGACGTCACTCCACTGCCACTGAAGACTTCAAGTGTCATTTATGAATCTTTATAATGTTCTCAAGTCTTTAGTTCATGGTTCTTAGAAAAAATTTCCTAAAAAAAAACATTTTTAGTCAATAATTAACTAGCAATTATACCCAAAGTAATGCAAATGACTTTCTCCATGTTTCATATCATAAATTACTCATCTTAAAATTCTATATCAGTTAGATGATAAATCTATTCTTTATGATGATGTATTTAAACTCTTTCTAAGATAGAACTTTTTTTGTTATTGTTTCAGGCTCTCCAACTCTTCTGTTTGCAACTCACAGGGATATCCGAGTGGCTAATATTTCTCGAGGCAATAAAGTTTTAACAATAGTTAAAGACCTTTCTCAGGGAGCAGCGTTGGATTTTTTCTGGGAAAAAAGGCTAGTCTGTTGGTCTGACAGTGGCTTAGAAATGATTCAATGCGTTAAAACCAATGGTACTCATGCTGGAGAACGAATAACTATTGTTAATTCTAGTTTAATATCACCGGATGGGCTTGCGTGTGATTGGTTCACTGGGAAACTTTATTGGACTGATGGAGAGAAAAACAGGATTGAAGTGACGAGTATTGATGGTGAACAACATCGAAAAGTACTCTTCTGGACAGATATTTACGAGCCACGAGCTATAGCCTTGGTACCTATGAGAAGTATAATGTTTTGGACTGACTGGGGAGACGTCCCAAAGATTGAGAGAGCTGCTATGAACGGTGATCCCAAGACTAGAGAAATCATTGTATCTGACGACATCTTCTGGCCTAATGGATTGACTGTAGATTATGAAAACGAGTTAATTTATTGGGCAGATGGTAGACTAAGATTTATAGCTGTGATGGATTATCGAGGAAAGAATAGAAGAAAAATAGTTAAAGAAGGCCTAGATTACCCTTTTGCCATTTCATTTTTTGAGCAAAAACTATATTGGACTGATTGGAAGACTTGGTGTATTCATTCACATGATGTTCGATCAACAACAAGCCAATCTCATCCTCGAGAATTATTTCATGGTGAATATGTACCTGGAGATATCGAAGTATGGGACCCTAGAAGACAACCTTTCACGGATAATCCATGTAGACATAATAATGGAAATTGTTCTCACCTGTGTTTACTCAATCCTGATCCACCTGGATATTCTTGTGCTTGTCCAACAGGAGTTAAGTTAATCAACAATTATACTTGTGCAAAAAGACCTGAAGAAGTGTTACTGATAGTTCAACAAACAGAAATCTGTAGATTATCGTTAGACTCTCCAGATTATACCAATGTTGTTTTACCTTTAACAGGTGTCAAACATGCAATAGCCATTGATTTTGATCCTGTTGATGAGATGTTTTATTGGACTGATGAAAAAGCACGAGCCATTCGACGTGCATATTTAGATGGATCGGGTCAAGAAGATATTGTCATCACAGAAGTTACAAATCCTGAAGGTATTGCTATCGATTGGATCGCAAGGAATATGTACTGGACAGATACAGGGACTGATAGAATTCAAGTAGCACGATTAAATGGAACATGTCGAAAGGTTCTAATAAATGAAGATCTTTTAGATCCAAGAGCTATTGCTCTAGCTCCAGAGCTTGGTTGGATGTTTTGGACCGATTGGAACGAAAGAAGACCCAAAATCGAACGAAGTAATCTTGATGGCAGTGAAAGAACTTTGCTTATCACTAAAGACATCACTTGGCCCAATGGAATCGCTTTGGATCTCGAAAGGAAAAAGGTTTACTGGTGTGACGCAAAGACGGATAAGATTGAAGTTTGTAATATGGATGGATCAGACAGAAGAGAAGTTATCACGGATAATCTTCCACATCTTTTTGGATTAAGTCTCTTGGGAGACTTTTTATACTGGACAGATTGGCAAAGGAGAAGTATTGACCGAGCGCATAAACTCACTGGAGCTGATAGAGAAGTAATCGTGGATCAAATTCCAAATGTCATGGGAGTAAAAGCTGTTCACTTGGGGAGAATTCAAGGGACTAATCCTTGTGCTAATAATAACGGAGGATGTAGTCATCTTTGTTTGAATAGACCAAAAAATAATTATGTTTGTGCGTGTCAGATTGGATATGAGTTGAAGAAGGATCAAAAAACTTGCGTCATTCCTGATGCTTTTCTCTTATTTTCGAGGAAAGATAATATTGGAAGAATTAGTATTGAAAATGCCAACAATGATAATATTATTCCGGTGACAGGAGTAAAAGATGCTAGGTGAGTTTTACTATTCCAAATATTTTTCTTTATTATTTATGACTATTTAGCCTTTTAAATTTAAATGAAATTTTTTATCTTTAGTGCTTTAGATTTCGACATGACCCAGAATAGAATTTATTGGACGGACGTAAAGCTAAAAACAATAACAAGGGCTTTCATAAATGGTTCAGAAGTCGAGAAGGTCGTCGACTTGGGTTTAGAAACACCTGAGGGTTTAGCAATCGACTGGATCGCTCACAACTTATATTGGAGTGATACCGGCACTCGAAGAATCGAAGTAGTGCGATTGGAGGATGGTAGTAGAAAAGTTTTAATCTGGCAAGATCTTATGGAGCCTCGATGCTTGGCATTAGATCCAGTGCAAGGCCATATGTATTGGAGTGAATGGGGAAACTCTGGAAGTATTGAAAGAGCAGACTTGGATGGCACTTCGAGACAAGTAATCTTATCGAACATCGGTCGTACTCATGGCTTGACGATTGATCACGCCTCACGGCAACTGTACTGGGCGGATCTCTACACGCCTGCCATCGACAGCTACAATCTTAAGACGTCTAAACGTAAGGCAGTCATTACTCAGGACATTGTTTACCCCTTTGGAATTACTCAGTATCTAGACTATATTTATTGGACAGACTGGAATACTGGAGATATTGAGAGAGCCAACAAAACAACCGGTGCAAATCGAACAAAAATTCATGATAAACTAGAATCTGTTACTGACATCCTGGTCTTTCATGCATCAAGACAGGCTGGAACAAATACATGTGCAATTAATAACGGTGATTGCAGTCATATTTGCATCGCCCTACCTGATCCTGCTGCTAATCAGTCACATTCTCACAAGTGTACGTGCCCAACACATTACAGTTTAGCATCTAATAATAAGACATGCATTGCTCCACGTAATTTTATGGTTTATAGTATGAGAAATGTCATGGGAAGAATTCTTCCCGAAGGCGATGATTGTCCAGACATTGTGTTGCGCGTTCAAGGATTGAAAAATGTACGATCGATTGAATTTGATCCAATAACTCAACATATTTACTGGATAGACGGACGTTCTATGTCAATACGAAAAGCTCTTGAGAATAAGACGCACGCTTCAGTGATAATTCCCGGAGGGACAGGCTCTCATCCCTTTGATCTTGCTCTTGATCCTTTGGGTAGACTGCTCTTTTGGTCGTGCTCAGAAAATGATGCAATAAACGTGACAAGACTCGACAATGGTTCTGTTCTCGGAGTGGTTGTCAAGGGTGACGGAGAAAAACCGAGGAATATTGCTGTGCATCCAGAGAAACGTCTACTCTTTTGGACTGATATCGGAGGGAAAATGAAAATAGTGCAAAGTGGAATGGATGGCAAAGACCGTATAATTGTTGCTACAGATTTAAATCAACCAACCAGTCTAACCGTTGATACTGTCTCGAATCTTATTTTTTGGGCTCATGGTCGACAAATTGAAGTTGCTGAACTCGGCGGAAAATCACGAAGAGTCTTAATCTCTGTTGAAGATCCAGGATCAATTGCATATCTTTCAATCTTAGATAGTTATCTGTATTGGTTCAATCGTGCATCTCAACTTGTTGAACATGTTAATAAGACTTCTGGAGCAGGAAGAAAAACATTGATGAATCGATCACTCACCGATCTTGTAGCTGTAAAAACACCAGATGATCAAGTGATGGAATCACATCCCTGCAGTCCTTTTCAAGATTATGGTGGTTGTTCTCACTTTTGCATTGGTTCCGGAACTACTGCCAAGTGTTCTTGTCCTCAATACCTAGTACTTTCCGATGATAAAAGAACCTGCAGCGCTGCTCCTGCTTGTGGAGCTGATCATTTTACTTGTGCAGATTCCAGCTCAGCACTTACCAAAGACTGTATACCTGTCATTTGGAAATGCGATGGACGAGCAGATTGTCCTGATGGCAGTGATGAACTTGGATGTCCTATATGTGATCGAGATCAGTATCGATGCCAAAGTGGACAGTGTATAGATCTTTCTTGGGTCTGTGATGGCACAGTACAATGTCAAGATGGTGGTGATGAAGCTCACTGTTGTCAACCTGGTCAATTTCGATGTACACTAACATCAGTTTGTATTGCGGGAAATACGTTATGCGATGGTTGGGAGAATTGTGCAGATGGCAGTGATGAATCAGCTGCAGTCTGTTCACCATTAAATCGACGTCAAGACATTGGGCCGTTAGCAGAAGGAGGCAAGAGTGCTTATATTATTGCGATTCTTGCGGTTATGGGTGTCATTAGCATTACTGTACTGGTATTCTATTATTGCCGGAAAAGACTTTCAAGCAGTGAAGAATTGCCAGATATTCTACATGACTCAGCGGGAGACCCGCTTTCACCGAAGCCTGGGAGGTCCGGTAAACCAATGCTTGTGCAAAAAAATGGAGTTAAAGATCTCAAAGCTGGTTTAAAAACTGTAAGAATGTCCACATTAACTGGAAGTAGCATTGGCTCCAGCTACGATCGCAGTCATATCACAGGTACATTTTTATTTAATATTCTCATTCGTTCATTATTCATACCGAGAAAAAAAAAATTCTGATGAATCAACTAATTGTTATTTTTAAGGTGCGTCAAGTTCCACTCGTGGGAGTTCAGCTGGTGGTTATCCCCAAGAGACTTTAAATCCCCCACCAAGTCCTGCAACAACAGCTAACTCTACAAGATGTTCAAGCAGTAATGCTTCAAGATATCGTCCTTATAGACATTATCGTACTATAAATCAACCACCTCCGCCAACACCGTGTAGTACGGATGTCTGTGATGAGTCAGATTGCAATTATCCTGCTCGGTATAGGTATGAAAGTGAGCCCTTTCCTCCACCTCCAACACCTCGATCAGTATATCACAGTGATGCAGGAATCAGTTGTCCACCATCTCCTAGTTCTAGATCTTCAACATATTTTAGTCCACTTCCACCTCCTCCTTCACCTGTACCATAAAACATATATCAAAAAAATTTGGTGCTTCCTCAAAATGGTACTTTAGAGCAATTAAAGTATTTTAAGATTTTTATAAAAGAAAAAATTAATCAACAATTTAACAAAAAACGAGCTTTATATCAAATAAGTTCAGTATCACTATATCAATCATTTGATATTAAAATGATATAGTTATTTGTTCTTACAAAATTTAAAAATAGATTTAAATTTTTTTGAAAAAAGTAGATCTTACATTTGGATAATGATGAAGGTGCTAATTATTTGTAGATAATGCACGCGCGGGCATTTATTGGTTAGCCACATAGTAGTATAAAGTGCAAATAATTGTTTTAATTACACAAATTGTTATTTTATTCATGTACAGAAATAATTCAATCCTCAGTGCCTAAAAAAACCGTGGTTAGTATTTTTTTTAAAAAGAATATTCCCATGGTAAAATGTAAATAGTGTATGTGTGTATATAAAAATTAATTTTTAACTAAAGTAAAAGAGTTAGAATGAATGGAGAATGAATAGATATTATTAGTATGAGTGTGAAGGACACAAGTTCACTTGAGGTACCGTCCGAGGGTCTCAACATATATACTTGAACAAGATTAGACATATTCGTTATAAGATACCGAGGAGTTTTTATATGAAATTGCTGTCTGTTTGAAGAAATCACCTAAAGTAAACTCTCGAAAAGCTCGCCAAACTACTTGATCATTTAAGATTTTATAAAAAATTATAAAATATCCTTCACATTCATATCTCATGAATAGATACTATTCCATTGTATAGATAAATGTATGCATCAGATAAGTTATAATATTGAAAATGATAACGCAGATTTCACACATTGGCTATTATGTCTGCATGCAAAAGCCATTTTATTATTTTTATCTATACTGTTAATTGTGATGAAAATTATATCGTATTATATATAACGTTAATATTTTTATCATTAGAAAAGAAAAGTTTAGTTTTTATGTTCTTTACCTGATGTGGCACGTGACCAAAGGCTGCTTCGAGTAAAATTATTATTAAATAAAATTATACAGTGGTAATCAAAACTATCTAGACTTTTGTTATTTTTTGTTTAGAAAATAATTTGTAAAATTTTTGAGATTTAAAATTAAAAGTACTATTTTTATTATATAAGTTTCGATAAATAATTTTATAAATTTATAAAAAAATTAAGAAATTTAGTGTTTAGATATTTTTGATTTGAACTGTAATTTTTGTAATTTAATTCAAAATTTAACTAATTATTATTATTAATAAGAATAATAATAATAATAAATTCTAATTGAATATAACATCTTTATAATGTAACGAAGGGTTGAAACGTACAAACGCACATGAAATTTTTCCATAAATAAATTTCTACCTATTACTGTTGTTTTATATACCAGAGCTTCTTTTTTATTATAATATTCATTCTATTACGATTGTGCCATAATCGTTAGGATTGAAAACACAAAAAATGTATTACATTTCTAACAATACGTACAAATAGTAAGAAAGATAAAGAAAAAATTCAATCTGGCACTGCCAATAATATAACTTTATAAAATGCCTTGAAGAATAGTTTTTCAAGCAAATCGCTGATGTCGTTTAGCGTCCAAGACTGAATGAAAAAATTACTATGATTAGCGTTTCACTTTTTGCCATACACAAGTGTCAATATTTCACATTGTGTAGTGTAAAATATTTGTACAAAAACATTTTAAAAATAAATTTTTGTTGATGTATTTTAAACATGTTGTAATAATTTTTTACACAACCCTGCTTCATTTTTCATTATTCAATTTTGATAAAATTTTTAAAATATAACTACTTCCATTTGCTCGAGGAATTTCTGTACTTCCCTGAAGGGCTTTCTTTCTCTTCTAAAGCAGACAATTCTTCATCTAACAGAAGTTCAAAATTTCCCATAGCTTCAAGCGTTGGACACTTGTTCCATCTAACACTGTAACAAAAAAAGAAGCATAATTAATTTCTTGAATTGTTGAATTGTCGAGAGTAAAGCCTTTTTATTCTCACTCAGGTACTCCATCCGGAGGAACGACAATAGAGACAATATTGTCAATGAGTTTGTACTTTAATATTCTATCATTCACAGTCGTTGATGTGAGAGAAGGTGAAGCATTCACCTAAAAATCATAAGATAATTATCACTCTTTACATAACCGGAATATTCACAGCATTCTACATATTTTATAACTCCATCATTATAATATGAGCTTCATTTATGATAGTCTCTACTAATGATTAATCTAGAGTTTAACGCTGTTGGATATCTAAAGTCTTACCTCTATGAGCCATGGCTTGAGTTTATTATCAATAATTATATCATATCCATAACATTCAAAACAATGTCTATCGTTAGCCATAACTGGTGCAACAGCTTTAAGCGAATGAACAATGCACCAAGAGATGTTAGCAAAAAGTTTTTCAGTTACAGCTTTGCCTCTAGTACTTTCTAAATAAAGTCGGAGATTTTGAACACTGAGTTTGCCTCCATGAAGACTATTATACTCATCCTGAAACGTTAATTAAACTTTCAATACCTAGAAGGTGTAAAAAGGTAATGTAACAAAAGGTACTTGCTCCATGTTTTTGGACTGAAACATTGGTAAGATGAACGTACATATTGTCTAGTTCTTGGATACTTGTGTCGTACTTCACTGTGCAAAATCTACAAAAACCTAGCTTAAAGAGATATGCTTTTAAAGGTCGAAATGATGTTATCAATACATATAAACGCAAGTCAAATTTTTTTCCACCAATCAATAGTGGATTGTCGATGTATCTATCAATTTTGAAGAATATTAACAGTGAAAGATTTTAAACTGATTAAGTAATTTAACAAATTATCTAATATTTTAACTTACCTTGATATGACATAAGATTCTTTTGATAAATTTGGATTAAATGGATTCTTAGCTTCTCGAGACCACTTTTTCAATTTACTCAATTTGTTGATTAAAAATATACCTGCCCCCTGCGACTTCCCACATGGTTTCATAATCCAGGTGCTTTGCGGAGATTTCCTGTACTCCTCAACAAACATATTATAATCCGCCGGTAAAACAAAAGTGACAGGTATGAAATCAAGATGTAAATATTTTCCTGGACCATCCCCTCTCTCAGCTAGTGGGCTCCCTTCTCTTTCTAAATCTTTTCGGTATCTCTTTATATTTTTTACCAGTAAATCTTTACGTGTTAATTCGTAATGATTAGGAAAATGGTTGATAGTCCTTGAAACAAAAAAAATTATCTTTAATTAAATACTTAGGAATATTGGAAGCAATTAATACTTATTTTCTTTCACTTTGGCTCATAGATTATATATTTGAGAAGTCAATATCGTAGTATATCTACATCTAACTCTGCTATGTATATTGATAGATTTGCTTACGTTATGCTCTTTACACATGATTAACTTACTGATTATCTCCCATCCGGTATCCTGTTTCAACACTGAAAATATTTCTACAAGATTGAGTCACTGCCCTAGACAATGAGTTAATTTTATTATAGGATAAATGAAGAATATCTATCCAGATAGGAAATTTTAGATAACTTTACGCTAAAATTCCGAAATATTATAGGTATCATAATTTTCTATCTGGATTAATTATCAATAAATAAATAAATATCAAATATTATAATAAATGAAATTATTTCATTGTAAAATTTTCATAAGATCAAAATACACAATCTCCGAAGATTGTTTATCATATATTATTACTTATGAATGAGAATACTGTTTTTAGTTAGGTTCTTTGGAGATAGAGCACTTTAAATAACATAAATTAAAACTTGGATATTTACCAATAAAAATTCCAGTCATCTTCAGGACCCACTTGAGTCCAACCACGTTTTTCAAAATTATAAACTATAACAGATTTATCCATATCTGTACAAAATGTTACCTTCATTTTGTCTGTTCCAATAGTTGGTACTCTGAAATACATGAAACATGATTATAAATAGATTCTTGTGGCCTGTCAATTTATTACATCAAGCTATTAATTGTAATTTTTACTAAAAATAGATTTGTAATCACGTGATGTACATCTCAATGTAATATTTTCTTGTATTTTTTCTAAATATAAGTAGTTTAAAATGCATATTTTATCTTGACAATTTTTTGACTCACACATGTCACTATTGATGGCTTGTCACCATGTGCAGTCTACCCCTACGCCGTACACGGCAGACGTATTGAGTGCAGTAATAAAATTTTATTGCATTTTTAAAGAAGGGTAAATTTCTGAGAATCACGACTGGATTAAAAAACTCGGGGTTAGGAAATAGTAAACCATGTGTTCACCAAATAATTTTTTAAATATATTTTAGAGAGTATGAATAAATAAAATATAACAATGTAGCTGGAAAATAATAAAATATAATGTATCATTAATTTACCTGCCATAAATTGTCGATAAATTGTTGTTTCCTGATTTTTTATTATCTGTACTTGTCGTACTCGCCATTGTTCGAATGATGAGATTTTATTGATGTTTGATCGATAAATAAATTAACTATGGCAACCCAAAGATGAAACTAAAATCATTGGATGATTTTTTAAAACTAATTTAAACATTTATTTCCATGTAAACACCTTAAAATTAAATTTTTGAATAAATTCCATGTATTCTTGATTTTGATTGTAATAAAATTTTAAAGAAAATTTTATCTCACAAACATGTAGCTGTATTATTTTACACACTGGAATTGGGAATAATTTATTTATTTATCTTTACATTGAACATTAATAAATGTTCATTGAATATATTCAAACCCTAACAATAACGTATAGTCTAAATAAAAATCTGTTCATGTGACCAGAAGGTTTAAGACCCTCGGTCATAATTTTGTCTTCAATATTCAAGTACTTTAGAGAGGAATCCTTATTTCTTTATATCTTTGAATTTTTTCATTTTTTTTATCGGTTTTCGTTTGTTTACATGTGCGTACTCAAGAAAGTTTATTTCTAAGAAGCTTTGTACACATAGTGCGTAGCATCCAATCTGCGTGCGTTAGAACAAGAATCAAAACAAAGGAGACAAGCCAGTTTCGATACGAATTTCTTCCGGAGAGGACGTAAATACGATACAAGTTATTTGTGTTAAAAAAAACCAAGTTCAATATTTAGCATATATTTTGCTAAAATTAAATTAACTGCGTATATTCATCCACATCGATTGAAATTTCTACTTATCAGGTAATTTCGTTGTTAATAAACTATGATAAAAGTGATATTTCTGTTATAATTTAATCAATTTTTCTTTTTTATAAAGCGTTACACCATTAAAATAAATTTGATTGATTTATTTTCTTCTTGGATTTCAATAATTTAATTGATAGATTAATTAACGTTAAAATAGCGTATTCAAGAGTTTGTGAATTATTGAATGATTCGCCGGTAATTGAGTTGATCATTGAAGTTATTAGTGATACTAAGTGTTTAATAAATTAATAGTGTTCTAAAAGAAATTAAAGTTGGTGTTATTTTTTAAAGTAAATTGAATATTTATAATTTCAGAAGTAAAAATGTCAGAGGAGGGTTGCATCTGTCTCAGACCCAAACGATTTGTTTTGTGCGCAAATTGCGGAACTTATGTAAAAGGCCGAATTCGCTACATTTGTCCAAAACATCCAAATGTAAGTTTTAATTTTTAAAGAGATATTTATTAAATATTGATGAATCTTCTACTTTATTAAATACTATTATTTTTGTTATAGGTAGTTTTTAGCCATGATTTTCAGGACTGTCCAAAGTGTCACAGGCTGGACCTGTTCACGGAATTTGATATGAATAAAAAAAGAATCGATAGAAACGCTGGTGTTACTTCACATTAGCTTTATTTTCAATTTATTCTTTAAATAAGTATTTTTCATATAACAACATATGATATTAAATGTTAAGTATATTAAATACCAAACCATCCTGGAATTCCTGGTTTATTATTTTTATTTAAATATTTTTTATAATTTTCTTTCATTTCGTCAATACTACGTTTCTCATCTCTTTCCTGTTTATCTATCTCGTCAGTTTTAAATAATTCAGGAAAAACGAATTTTTCATTTTTATCCTAGAAAGTAAGATGCAGATATTCATTATATATACTTATTCTAAGTAATGCCTGTTATTCTGGCAATAAGATATTTTATAATTCTAAATGAGTTAATAAATTTTCAATATAAATTATGTTTGATATTTCTACAAACGTTTTACTTACTAATACAACATAAGCAACTTTGTAATCATCCTCTTTGATAATATAGCCACCATTTTGGGCTCGTTTGAATTTTCCTAGTGCAATTCTTGTTCTGACATCTTTGACATTTATTTTATAGATTTTTTCTAAATAATTTCTTACATCATACTTGGTCATTTCAAGGGAGACGTGAAATTCAACGATGTTTTCCGGTAGTTTATATTGAGGTGGCACTATTTTCATCCAAAAATTTGGTAAAAATATCCTTAATTGAGGGTTTCCTTTCCGATAAATCGGATACCTGAAATATTTTTAATTATAAATTAAAAAAAAAAATTAAATTACATTCAAAATGTTTATGTTAATTTATATTGTTTATCATACACTGTGTTATTAGAATTTAGACTTCTCTTTTTACTAATTTGTGGATCTTTACCAATATTTATTAGCATATAATTTCGCAAAAAAAGAATAAAAGGTCATGTATTAGGTATGATAATTATGTATTCGTCAGCATTGACGATTAATTAGCATCTGCAGTTATTAAAAACAATAGATTTTTACATGGTCAAAATATCAAGAATAAATGTTATATTTTATATGGGTAATTATTATGATTGTCAAATATTTTAAAGACAAAGGAAAGAGCGAAAAAAGTGATAGCTTACCATCGTGTTGACATTTTGTTTCAATTTTTAATGTCAATAATTTCGGCGTTTTTATTTATTGAAAATTTTTAACCTAAAATGTTACTGCATTCAATTTTCCAAACACCGATGAAATTTTTTCTCTCTTTTATTCTTCTGCCTCTCTCATTCTAAATAGTTTAGTTCAGTTGTTCGACGACAAGCGCTGTAAGCGTCAACAGTAGCGCCACCTTGACTAAACAAAAATTAGGTTGGCAATCTATGGCAACACAAGTGTTACCACCACACCTCTAGTGGCAAGCCGTGATTTGGGGAATCACCGGAACCGGAGGTTGGACAGCCTGATTCAACGGCTAAAAAGTTTGCCGCTACAGATGGAGGAGACCTGTAGAAAACGTTTTATTAGTGCTAAAGTTTATTTATATTCAACTTAATTATTATTATCAATAAATTATTTTATATTAAATTAACCTGAAACACTTTACATATGACCCAGGTTTAAAAAATTCATGATTGGGAACCGTTTTTTGTAAATAATAAAATGTCTCCGTTGTCTGTGAGTAGATCATCATCACCTAAACTAAATTTATTGAAAGGTAAGCTCTTTTATTTTACTCCTTATTTTATTAATTTATTTTGACACTACACGACATAAATGCTGTCCAATTTTTTGAAGGTTATACATACGATTTCTTATACTCTTTTACACCAAATTTTTTAGCTCCAAATAATATGGCCAATGATATTCAAGAGAAACGATTAACATAATACCGGGAAAAATGTAAGATGTTAAAGCATCAGTTACTTGCTGCGGAAAAAGAGATCGAATTACATACAAAATCTGTGGAAAGGTCCGAATGACTCTTTTTTGCACTGCATCGAGAGTTAGAAAACAGACGGAAAAAAAGTTGAAAATATATGAAAAAGGTAAATGAACATTTATTTCAGAATACAAACTGATCAAATGTATAAAATAACTAATAAATATACATAATATATAATTATACTTTGTTCTAGAAGGTGCCTCCACCAGCCCTACGACCTCTTAAGCCTCTGCTCCTTCCCTTTCTATGTCAATTCCACCTTTCATTCATACTTACGTTGCTCGTCGTCTTCTCCAAAAAAGTCAAAGCCCCTTGTAATGCACTACTCTCCACACCACCAACTGGAAAACCACTAACACGACCTGCACCTACACTTCATGAACATTCCTTGTTGGACACATTTACACTCTGAAGACCTGGTGGACCTGGTGTTGCACCACTACCTGGCTACACCTGTGACGTCAAGTTGGAGGAATTCAGATTTTATAGACTTGAAGAAATTTATTTATTTTGCAAAAAAAAATTATATTGCAAATAATTAAATAGTATATAAAAAGTTAGTGTAGCAGAAAAAAATAAATTAAACCAATTGATGTTAACTATCTATATTTAGAATACTTTCAAATCATTTAGCCTAGCTAGCAGATAATAAACAGAAAATATTTAATTGAAAAAAGTACTATTACATTTTTTACATGTATAATAAAATGTTTTTATTTCACAACAGTGAGTTGTGGTTCCTGAGAGATACTTTAAACATGCATTTATTTGATTATTTCCCATGAGCAAATAAATAGAAGAGTTTCCCAAGGGAATTTATGAAGCAAATGATGATAATAATAAAAGAATAAGATAAAATAAAATAATAAAGAGTACAATCAATCATAAAATTAATGATAAAAGATGGGAATAATTGAAGGAAAGGCAAGGCAGGTTAATGACAGAAAACACAATGATTTACCATGATGGAACTTTTATTCTACAGATAATCTACTACCAATACTTTCAGTCTGTGACAACATAAGTAATGATAAAGAACAATTTTTAACTGTTTCTGATTAGTTAGTTTTGGTATAAGTTCATCGTCCCCAACTTACAAATATGAAATCCATTTTTTTAGTTTGCTCCACAACTGGCTTCACAATAATGTTTTGCTGGGTTATATATCAAGAGGACTCGCACAACCAAGAAATGACACAATGTAAGTGAATTATGGACAGATGGACAAATGTTGGACAATCAGCTGTAATCTCCTCCAGTAGTAGTAATTCGTTTATTTTAATTACATAGTATGCTGTGGGGGGAGGGGGTTAATATAAATATGGTTTTGTCCCGGTCGGAAATGGAACCTGCTACCCATGGTGCGTCAGGCTGATGTCTTACCCAGTAGACCACCGTGTCGGTATTTGTATTTCTTCTGTTTTCTCCGTCTAATATTTAAATAATTAATAAGGAAGTTTGTCATGTTAGCACAGACAAAGTGTGCTCAGACCTATTTTTTTTAAGTATCTAATCTGTAGATGTTTTTCTACTCTTTTCAACTCTTTTCAAAGTATGTTGCGAACATTGTATATAATTTAATGCACCTTGTCTGATGGAAAGAGGAGATTGTTACGGTATCTCTGAATAATGGAATATATTATTCGCTCTAAACACATTATTCTTGTTAAACTGATATACATACTGGCACCTTTCGAAGCTGATGCTAGAGGTAGCACAGGTGCAATTGGTTCAACAGAGTGGACTGCGTCCAATATATCTTGTTCTGGCGAACAAAGTTTATTTGACAAAAGATTCTTCAAATTTTCTCATTACTTCAGATTTATTTTGTTCATATTTATAATAAAAAAGTATTATCTTCAAGGATTTGAGAATATCATCAAAATATTTGAAGAAAGGATTAAAAAAGCTGTAAATCTAAATTCTAAAATGTTCTATTGAGAAAAAAAGAGATGACTAAACAGTAGTGAAACACTTTATATAAATCTTTATACACTTAACAATAAAAAGGTATAGAAGATTATTTGAATTCGTCTTTAGTAAAGTATTTGAATCACTACAAATATAAGTACGAATCCATAAATAGAAGATCTGATGCTACAACTGCAATAAATCAAGATTCAGGTATACTCAAATTTTAAAGAAAATTTCATAACAAAACATAACATTAAGATTCATGACTAGTTAACTAATTCTGTATTATTTTCCTAGATCCAAAAATTTGATGTGTTAATTTGGACTTGAATAGTCTGGTCATGCGTAGCACAATTTGAAATACGCGAGAGCAATGATGAGAATATGCTACACAGGATTCATTGTCTTTCTACCTTCGACTCTACAAAATAATTTGTGTATTTGGAGCACGATCATATTTAATATCTATTATTAAAAACATAGATAAATTATTCATGTGATTTATGATTATACCAAATGCATTATCTAACTTATTTAGATGGTGCTTCTCTAAGCTCTAATTATCAGTTTTAGGCCTGGGTTTAATATATGAATAAACCACGATCTAGGTTCCGTTTGTCGCGAAATCGTAACCCACGACCGCTAGCGTGTCAGTCTTAAATACTGGCACGCTAACCTCTCTACCGCTGTGGTGGTTATAATTAAAGGTACATAGATACTCAATTGTGTTTGTAAATATGATAAGAAGGACAATATACATTGTACTATTCTTTCTGCAAAGAATGTCTATCGATTTATTTTAACGATTCATCACAAGTTTATAAATATCCTAACTAAATAAGTTAAATTTAGTCCGAAGTAACTTTTTTCTAACTTAATTTATAAGTTATTAAAATAAACCCAGAAGTTCTTCCGGGCTGTATATATTTTATTTTAAGTGCAACTGCACTCGTGCTCAAATTATGTATGTACTGGCAATCGCGATTAGTGCTGACAAGCGGCCTAGAAACAAGATTGTAACAAAAAAAAAAACTAATGATAGAAACATCAAAGTCCAAATGAGTATGTCTGAATCATGTTAAAGCAGTGAAAGAAACACAAATGAAAATTATACAAAGAGATAACATGAACCTTTTTTGTAAGGATAATAATTATGCTTTTCAGTTTAAAAGTTATTAAAGATGTAAATTACTTTGCTCGATTTTAGCAAACCTTCATGTGATTGAACTCTTAGATATGATGACCTTTTATTTGACGTCGATTGAATATTTTTCAAAATGAAGAAAAATTTCATCTAGAAGAAATAGAGAAAATGTTCTTGACAAGAATTTTATTTATGATTCTAAAATACTGGAGGTTAATGTACAGTAAAAGCTACTGGTTTGACAAATTTTTTGAAGTAATTTCCATTTAATTGGAAGAATGAATTGAAAGTTTTAATTAATGAAATACTACTTTTTTTTTCTAATTAAATTCTAATGACATCCCAGATGATTATGTACATAAATTTATGAGGATAGTAAGAAATGAAGTAACAGATCTGACATTCGATTTGATGATGAATGGCAAAAAATGGATAATTATACAGTAAAGAAGTAATGGCCATGTAATGTCAATAATATATTTACAAATTTTCAACATCTCATTCTTTTTGATAACAGGTTTTTTTACTACTATGTATTGCATGATTTTTTCATTAATATGACGTCAATAGTAAAGATGATTAATATCATAAATTCTTATATCCGATAAATAGATAAGTACAAAAATTTATTACCAAGATTTAGGGTTTCTTTCTACTCATTTAGCGTTCGAGGTCACCTTATTAAGCTTTCATTCTTGTCAGAAAAGTTGACGGTTAAGAATCGAGTAACAAATACGAAAAGATTATTGTACATCTATGATGAAATAAAAATTAATGTTGATTGATCAATATCTTCACAAAAAATAAAAGTAATTGTTTATGTTTCAGCTGAAGCTGTGAAATTATTCAGAATATTTTCCTAGACATTTGAAGTCTTACTAATGATGAGAGATACGTCGAAATGTAAATACAGCATTAATAAATAAAATATAATTGCAAAATACTCCCAAAATATTCAGGTAATTATGTAATAAAATTCATCATAAATTATACTCAAAGAATAATCTAAAAAATCATTAATGAAATAAAGTCGTTAAAAGTGTAACGTTGATAGTAAACATAATTACTTGATTTTGATTGTCACCAATTTACTAAGACAATTGTCCTATTTTTAATTTCAGAATGAACCAAACTTATCGAAATAAAGATTCAAAAATAGACTATAAACAGACATGTTTTCATGACGCAACTGTCCGCAAATGAACTGCGTACAACAAAACGATTATGTAGATTTAGCTCTATTCTATATACTACTTAGGTAGACAAAGACGTGAATAGAATTAAGTCGAGGTGACCATGTGTATTAACACGTGGAACCAACTCATCAGGTCAAGTATTAATGGACATTTTTATCAAGTCAATAACACTATAAGGTATACAAATTCATGATTATTTCATAATGCATAACCGCATATCAGTATGGTTACTATATTTCCTGATATTTTTTACATGTTGTTCTTTCATTTCATCATAGACCCCCATATGGTGTTGATAAAGATACTGTTTCAATAGAATATCAACAGAAAAAAGTCCATTTTTCTACTCTTTATTCTCTATAAAACACGTCAAACTCGACCTCGAAAAACTGTAAATTGACTAGGAAATTGACATTCTTAGGTGATTTCAAACCCCAGTTAACAAAATGGAAGAAATTTTTTCATGAATTTTTCTTTTTTGTTTTTAACTTGATAATTTTTATTTGAATTCCACTCATACATGATAGTCAATTTTATCTTTTTTATTATATCCTTCGCTCATTCATATATGAAACCTAGATGAAGTCTATACTCTAATGTCTTTCTTCATCTTCTTCCTCGAACTCGCCAAGGGTTTTCTCACTTTGACAAACTCTCACTTGAGGTCTTGGGTGCACATGTACCGAGTTGAGTACAGCTGTACTCAAGAACGGTCGCTTGGGTGCTAGAATATCGACTCAACATAGCCTTTCTCCTCTACACTATACCCATCTTCCTCCTCATCATCTAGATACTTCATTGTCTTACTCTCTTTGGACTCCCCACTTTCAGTATGAAACGGTGGATACATAAAAGTCGAAACTCGCACTGACGTTCAAGCGACTTCAGATAGTTTAGTCAAAGCTCTTTGTTGTGCATGCGCAAATAATTCAGGGATGTAGAGAAATCATTTATGTTCCATTCGTCAAACTATTTTCCACATATCAATTCATAATAAGCAGATAATTGTTTATGATATACTTTATTCCTCCTATGATATCATTTAAATACTTCCTAAAAATATTGCACAGATAGAGTAAATGATGACATTGGTGTAAGAAATTGTTGTCATGCACATTTCTTCTCAATGAATGCATCTGTTGCCGATGCATGGTTGCATTCAGTTCTCCTGTCAACAGAGGAGTAATTTAAATATTTATTCCAGTATGAAAAATTACCTAAACATTATCAGCAGCTATTGAAAGCAATTCTAATTAATTTTTTCTTGCAGGCAGTGAAAGGAGATAACCATGAGGATGAATAACACGATTGGTGAAGTAATTAAATGCAGTTTTCTAATGTTAGAGGAAGGGTGATACGCTCCTGGGACTCCTTCACTGTTCGTCCACATGTACACGAGGCTTGTCGAGGAGAAGAGCAGCTGATTTTGACGCTAGCACTCTCTACCTCGGTTAGTAGCATAACGCGCGTGCTTGTGACAGTACGCAGACGTGTGTGAGCTTGGGAAAAAATTATTCATTGATAGAAGATTAATCAGGAGGTGATGTTTAACATATTGAGTTAACATTAATAGTTGATTAGTTAAGAAAAGATAGTGTGTTTTGATGATAGAAGTGGTCAAAGTCTCGCTTTGTCATCATTCAGATTGTCCCCACCCTTTAGTTCGCAGCAACGCACAAAAGGATCAGTCGCTTGGATCTGTGAGTCCTTTGTGCTTTGGATGTCCTCCAGGTTGAATGTATAAAACTGTCAAGTTTGCTGTTGTGAGGGCATTTGATTCTGGCCAGTGTGCTTGTTAGTAGTGACTGCCATTCGGTGTCAGACGTTGAAGACAATAGGGCCAGTTTTGATACAGTTTTTAAGCATACGAAAAATTACGAATAATAGTGACCACTTGGGTTATGACTCGTGATCTTGGGATTTACTCATTCTTCGTGCTGTGAGTATCATTCATTTTTATGAATCATTAAACATCTTTATTCACTGGAAATGTTGTTGACTTGGGATAGCATAGACATTGGCATATTTTCCACACCTTTTTTTCTTCGTATTATGTAAATTCATCAACTTAATGCACACCAAGTTCACATTCAGTTAATTTATGAAAATTACATTTTATAATTATTCTGTTGTTTTAATGAAAAATATCAACATTAACTTGAAATATTATTGTTGATGTGAGCTATTTGTATTCATGTAATGTAAGTTCTCTATAAATTCAATGGTTGGACAATGTGATAAAGAGTTTTAATAGTGTTTTGGCATTAAATGTTTGATGATATACAATACAATAAATGGAGAACGTAAAGAAATTCATTGATAAATATCTTTATCCTTGACCTATCCATTGAGATATCTTCCTAGATAGACAGAACATGACTCCTCTTGCCTATTAATTTCTTTATGCTGTGCATTACTCACTTCTCCATCTATTCTTTGTCTGTTCCAACTCACTATCGCCTTGAAGAAAAAAAAAACAATTCAATAATTTTATTTAATTTTTTGCCATTTTATCATTTGCCATGTCATGCTTATCAAACGACAATTGAATCCTTAGTCATTAAATTTCCGGAGGATGAAAATGTTAAGTTTCTAATATACATATTTTCTTCCGGGCGTATTTAATACAATCTAAGTACGCTTGCGCAACGATGCACTTCAAAAATATATCTATAGATCTTCTATATCCATACATACCTCCCTCAGTGGAATGGATTATTTCTAGCCACGTGAAATCTCAAGTTGATTATATTTGTTTCCTTAAAAAGTAGTCTTAACATTATCAATATTTAAGTTACATTAATAACATTTTATTTGTTATTATTTCTCAGCTGTCATGTTCGTATTCAAATTATTCAGTTTATTGATTTTAATCACGTTCATAAATTTTTCTTTATATTAAATGTTTATGAAAATGATTGCCATGTGAAGTGAATAAAAATGATAGACGAATGCAGAAATACTGGGAGATAGGTCACGGACCTCAATGCTAGTGCAGTTGAGTCAGAGTCATTAAGTTTGCTGTTAGTCACTTTCCAGTTTTTACAGATAAAAATCATTTGTTTTTATTTGTTAACAATAGTGATCATTATTTATTTCTAAATATTTGCAGAGAAACTTAAATTTTTTATTATTTCTTAATATTGATTACTTTAGAATAACTTATACTCCAAATTTATATTTAGATTTAGAGGCATAAAATTTTATGTAAAACTTTTTATTTCAATTCACTGAAAACTTTATGTTTTTTTCTTTTTATTAATAACATTATTATTTTATCAATATATTGATCGAAAATTTTTTTTATAAGAAATCAGTTTATTTGGTAAACTTTTTTATTATTTACTCTTAGTTAATATAATCAAACGTTTATTAAGCATGAATAAATGTATTTTTATATATTATTTTCTGGGATTAAACAATATCCTGATCATTAGCAAGCTCGATACTGATAAAGCTAAACCTATCTGGTAATTATTAGCAAGTATTCATTCAATTGTTTTATTTAAACAAGATATTTATACCAAAATGAATCATTTTATTCGTTAAAATAAATTCTGTCACTGTAATTTCATGTGATTTAATTATTGGAGTATTGGAGCAAAAAATTGGAATTTTTCTGCTAAATATCTAAAAACAATTTCAAATATATTTCTCTTCTAAATAAATACTATTATACCTAGTATAGAGAGTAATGATAATAATAATTGAACCAACATGTGTGATTGGAATAATTTATTAAACTAATCAGATTTTCATTGAAGATTAATTAAAATTATTGGCAACCAATGCAGTCCATTTACTAGACTATTATAAGCTTCAAGTTCTTATAACCGATAGCCGTGAGAATTCGATCAGGATCAAGTGTAAGGTCAAATGCCATTTTAGTCCTGAGAAGAAATAAATTTAAATGCTCACACGACCTGTACGGTTCTTCCTACTGATATATATCTTATCAGCAAATTAAATTACAGCATGTGGTATGATAAAAATAATACACTAATCATTTTATAGTTTTGATTAAAACAATATGAATATTTATACATCGACTGTTTTCATATACAGAAAGAAGGAAAGAAGAAAAATTATCCTGTAAAAAGTATCAAATTTTATCTCAACAACAAGATAATTTTTCCCAAGTTCGTGAAGGGTACCACGGTTATCCTTTTTTACAGGATAATTTTTACCTTTTTCTTCTCTCCGTGTAGACATCGGCTATAAAATTATCATTGAATAAATACAATAAAATTTCATCTTACTATAAAAGTTATATCAAATTAGAGTACAACGCACCGAATAAATATTAACATCATTCCATTTATTGAGCACTTCAAAAAAAAAATTTTTTTAATTTTCTGCTGATCATAATTTGAGTAGATTTTCCGTTAACATGAGCTACCGATTATTGAAGAATTTCCTGTCTATGCAGCAATACAATTACGGTCAATCACATGGATACAACTTTACATTTACAAGTGAATGCTTAGCGCAAGAAATGCCCTAGAAATATGCGCAGTAGATAATTTTGTATCGCATAAAAAACCATTTACTGCTTCTTTCATATAATTATATGAAATATAACTTCAGTAGCAAAAAAACACTGCGAAGCTGATGTTCAGCTGATGTGTAATTTGGTTTATTAAGTAAATAAGTTTTTCTCTATTGCTTAATCATTTTTTAATTATTTTATTCCTACTAATAAATTCTGTCATCTCTGTATATCTAGTTGATGATGATAATATATGGAGTGATAATCACTTATTGTCATAAAACTCAGTTATCTTAGACCCAAAAACAGTTTGCGATCAGTTGTAATAAGGGATAGAAGTGAAATAAAAAATTAACAGAAAATAAATTACAAAAAAAAAATTTTATCAGTAAGAAAGTTTAATAGAAATTAAATATTTTTCAATTATAAAATTTATGTAGTTATTTCACCAAGTTTCCAATAATTGTAATTTGATTTTTTTATTGTTTAAATTAATTAAATTATTTTTTATCAACTTTATTAATGTCAATTAGAAGATTTTTTTTTGTTTAAAAATATCATTAAAATAATTTCTCACAGACAACTCTCGAGCAATGAAAACTTTTTTACTTTAATTAATTGAATCACTCTTGAAAATTTGAAGTTTAAACGAATTATTTCATTTCTCGACTATTCTGAGAAAATTGAAATTGTTTTATTGTGAATAATAGTCTGAGTAATAAATTCATTTTAATGACTCTTTGCATTGTTGATGATTAAACTTAACAGAGAATTTTCCACGTTTCAGGAAGATACGAGGTTACTGCTGTGAATAATGGACGATATGAAAAATCTTGCACTTGGTGGAACTATTCAAAGATTCAATGGTGATGAACAGGTGCAGTTTATTCCTGAAGAAAGTAACCAGGTGACAATTAGATCACCACCACCATCGTCACTTCATTTAGAAAATCTAAATAATGCAATTTTAGGGTAAATATAATTATTTATATAATTATTGATTTATTCTTTATTACCATTTCCACCCACGATATCTTTCTTTATAAAAGTTATAATAGTTTTTCATGTGATTATAATCAAACAAAGAAAAAATTTGATTCATTTTCTACTTCATGTTTCCATGTTTAGAGGCTTTTTTGTTATTTAATGTTTATTGTTTTGGAATTAAAATTTTAAAATAATTAGAAACATTTATACTGATAAATGTCAGTGTTAAGGCAAATTGAACAGTTGTAAAGGTCAATAATAAATTATTCATAGCACTGAGTGAATATTTGATGCTAAGTAGAAGTAAAGAATAGAGTTGAACGTGTAAGTTTGATGAATCAAGTTTCCTTGATTTTTTATGTTAACATGATAATCATTAAAAATATTTTAAATATAGTTTAATTGATATTCATATGATGGAGTGTTTTGTTATCTCATTGATAATATTTATCTGCTATTCACGCTGATTGATCTTGAACATCTGTCAACATGTTTTTAGGGCTGTGATTCAGAAATAGTATTACGTTGATAATTTTTTCAATCTTTGATCAAAAGTCTTATTGATAAGTTTGCAATCTACAGAAATCAAATATGTTAAACAATGTTATTCACATAAGTATTTATCCATAATTATATTTTTTTAGTTATCATAAAAATGTATTGATGTTTTTCTATTGCACTATAAGATTTATTATTTGTAATCAAAAACATAAATTATTCATAAACTTTTTTGTTTTATTACATCATTAGCTTTTTTACAATTTTTTCTATTCAGAGCTTGAAACAATGAAAGTGCCAATAAAAACTAGATAAAGTATTGAATATAAAAGTTTTAATAAAACACTTTATCTCTATTTTCTGTGAATAATCTAAATGATTCATAGGAAAGAATAATTTGATATGGTCAAAGTCCAGAAAAAAAGATCTTTATACTGTCTGCCAAATTAGAATACAGAAAAAGAAATATTTGAAAGAAAAATCAATTTTCTTAGTCCTTGAAGATCTACATTCAAAATTGTTATCCTGTTTACGTCACTGACGTCCTTACTTATCCTTCATCGTTTTTATTATACTTCACTATATTTTCCAATCCATTTTCTATTTAAAAAAAATCAATTTTTACATTTTGTTTCAAGTTAATAAATGAAAATGGAAATTCATCTAAACTAATCACAACACATAATCTCTTCATTGATTCAATCTAATATTCAGCAGTATAAATAGTCTAATTTTTATAATTATCAAATAAAGAATTCAATGTGCTGTAATGTAATTAACTAATAAATAAGTTTGGAACTAGAGTCGCAATACTGCAGTTATTGATATCGATTTGTTGGCCTACAAAAGTAGTTGAACATAAAATTACACATGAGTAACGTTTTAAAGTTTCTATATTCAAATATTTGTAAAAAATGTTGACCGTGAAATGTTTTACGTTTCTTGGATTCCTTAGGTATATTTTCCAAGTAAAGTGCCAAGTGAAGTCAATTATTTTAGCATAAAAAATTTTTTTCATACTCCTTAGTTACTATTCCACTTCACTTTTATGTATTTTGGCCAACTGACAAATACCTACTTAATTTTCGTAGCAAAAATTTTCAATTATAATACTTTTCTATTGCTTCAACAGTCAAATTGAAATGAAAAGTCATGGTAAAAATATGTTATTTAAAAATAGCAAAAAAAGCTGAGACTTCAATAAACAACTTTGTCAGCTTTACTTTTTAAAACTTTACTGTATTATTTCACTATATTTATTTTTCATTTTATATTACTTCAAATTTTTCAATCATATTTTTAACAAAATAAATTTTTTTTCTGTCAAGTTTTTCAATTAAAAAATTACAGATAATAATAGAGTTGACTTTAAAAAATTTTTTTTAACAATAATAACCGATTTCGAGGTCAATTAAAAAAATTTTTTCTTACTATTAAACATAATAAAAATCGATGTCGATAATTTTGACAATATCTTAACAGTTTAATTTATTTAATGTTGATAAATTAATAAATAAACCTTCAATTAAGTAATCAACGTTAGATATTATAAACTATTATCAGCATTATATCATATTTGGTGTACTCATGACTTAAAAATACCTATACAATATTTTTCTTATATTACTTTAATGTTATATAAAAAATACAGCTTAAGTAGTATTTTATAAAATACTGATAAACTATTATATCGATAGTTTTATTTGGTAGAAAAATTACACTATATCTCATATCAATAGGCAATTTATAAATTGAATTAATTGAAAAAAATGTTTTCCTTCACAGAAGCTCACAGAATAATGTTCACTGCAGTTGCAATGGCACGTCAACGACAACAACTGCAAACGGTAGTGCTGGTTCCGGTTGTGCAAGCGGAGGTTTGGCGAGAAAAATTCAAAATCATACTGGTGCTAGCCCAGGTCAAGTTAATAAACGACCTGCGGTTGCACTCACACATTTACCCAAGAGACCTCCTGTCGACATCGAGTTCAAAGATTTGGCCTACAGTGTATCCGAGGGTAGACAGAGAGGTGAGATGAATGCTCATTTCAACGCACATCAATCGACGTCAATGATGTCTAATGTACTATACACAGTGCATAGAACCACTTCTCAGTATATTCAATTGAATGTTGACATCCACAATGAACTAAATACATGATTCTCGACGCTTATTCTCAATTAAATTCAACGCCACCTAATTAGATATTTGCTTGATAAATTCAACTAATATGCATTTGTAAATATAAATTACATATATGACATTTAATGTCACATTTTCTTAAGCACAAAATCGAGAATCAGTTTAATATGACGGTAGAATTGGTGGCTAGATATATTGGACCTAGGTGACTAGTGTGAATGACCTGCGCGCAAGGGAGTCAATAAAAATACCCTCAGATTTCTTATTTAACACGAAATTTCGTAGAAAATTGTAACATTTGCATGGCTGCTTTTTTAAGTTTTTTTTATTTAATTTATTATAAAAGAATAATAATAAATAAGTCATTTTGAGGTGAATAAACTCACTTCGTCGAAGGTCATTGGTCTAATATAAGACACTCTATTTATCATTTATATTCATTGATATTAATCACAATAATTTTTTTCACAGGGTATAAGACTATTTTAAAATGTGTTAACGGGAAGTTTAGATCGAGCGAATTAACTGCCATTATGGGTCCGTCTGGTGCTGGTAAAAGCACTTTGATGAACGTTTTAGCAGGATATAAGTAAGCTCATTAATTAATAATTTATTTAGAATTAAAATCTGTAGTGCTAGCATCAAAATTGAAACCACAATATTAAAAAATAAATGAAGCCAGCTTTTAAAAGATTCATTTCCATTAAAAAATTATTTTTAAACTAATTGCTTGAATTTTTAATGAATTAAAAATTACATTAAGTAAAATAAATATTCAGAAAAATTCATAATTATTTCATGGACTAATTTAAGCCTGTTCTATTTTCAGAACATCCAATTTAAATGGATCAATATTAATAAATGGAAAGGAAAGAAATCTCAGAAGATTTCGAAAAATGTCATGCTACATAATGCAAGATGACCGGCTTTTACCCCACTTGACAGTTCACGAGTCAATGATGATATCAGCGAATTTAAAGCTTGGCAAAGACATGGATGTTGCCGCTAAAAAAGTAGTTGTTGAAGAAATACTTGATACCCTAGGCCTAAGTGATGCAAGTAATACGCAAGCACAATGTCTAAGTGGCGGACAACGAAAAAGATTGTCAATTGCATTAGAATTGGTCAATAATCCACCAGTGATGTTCTTCGATGAACCTACGTCGGGCCTTGATAGCTCTTCTTGTTTCCAATGCTTGAGTTTGCTCAAGTCATTAAGTAGAGGAGGTCAGTTCGTCGATCGTTGCATGTTCTCAATTAATGAAACAATTTATATAAATCGTTCCAAGAATTAATTGGACAATATTCTTCTAGGAAGAACAATAATCTGCACGATACATCAACCAAGTGCTCGTCTTTTTGAAATGTTTGATAATCTTTATCTGTTAGCGGAAGGTCAATGTATTTATCAAGGAAATGTCGGTGGTCTCGTGCCATTCTTGGCTTCTATGGGTTTAGAATGCCCTAGTTATCACAATCCAGCTGATTATGGTATGATTTTTATTATCCTGTGGTTTTTATTGTCTATTCTTTATCTGCTATTTGAATCATTCCTTCCTTAATAGTATTATTATAATTATAATTTCATTCAGGAAATTACCCTTAATAAAACTTATGTTTCATTTTCAAACCAGTTTATAAATTAATAAATAGTTCAAGTCATTCATTCAATGAAGCTAAAAAAATTTTTCATTTTTATCATTAGTTGCAATATATATGGTCACAATTAAGTGAATGAAATTTAATATAAATGAATTTATAGATCTTGTAATTCTTTTTACAATTGCTTTTTATCAAAGGAAAAGGAATTGAATAACATATTTTATTGAACTCGAAGGTTATTATATTACTATTAACATATAAACTAGTGATCACCTTTCAAGCGTTAAACATTTTTAAAATACTTCTCTAACATATGATATTAATAAAAATCGAATGATTTAGTCATATTTTGAGAATTGATTTATTTTAAAGATTTATAGAGAATGTATAGTTTAATATGCTGATGCTTGTAGGAGTTTTTATGCATTATTAAAAAATTTCTTTTTATTACAGTTATGGAAGTAGCTTGTGGAGAACACGGTGAATGTGTAGAAAAATTAGTGATGGCTGTGAACAATGGAAAATGTAATAATTATAAACATAATCAAGCTGCAATTACTGCATCAGCACCAATGGTATCTAATGATATAGCAAAACAATCACCACCCAGAGAACAAACGAAGCCTGAGGGTGATACGTTAATTCCTAATGGAGTACCAAAAGGTGCTGGTGGTGCACTAGTTTTGAATATGCCTGTTTCTTGCACGACTTCTTTGTTAGATAGTGCAGAAAGTATAGAACAAAAAGTTGGCTTTCCTACAAACGGATGGACGCAATTTTGGATTTTACTTAAAAGAACGTTCTTATCACAAATGAGAGATATGGTAAATTTATTAAACTCTTTATTAACTTTAATTGTTAAAAAACTGAAATGCAAAGTTATTGTTTCAAGTGAACTTTGCTAACAGACATCATTTTTCTATATCGTAAAGAATGTTTTGTTATCTTATATAATTTACTTCATTTGTTAATTTACTCGTGTTTACATTCTGCAGACCTTGACGAGGGTAAGGCTAATTTCTCATATAATTGTTGGCTTACTCATCGGAGCTCTTTACTATGACATTGGAGATGAAGGTGGTGAAGCTTATAGCAATGCAGGATGTATCTTTTTCACTGTTATGTTTCTCATGTTTACTGCGATGATGCCAACGATACTCACATGTAAGTATATCATTACAATTGTCTTCAATTTTTTCAAGATAATTATCAGTCTTTTCACTTTTATTGCAAGTATAGTAATGAATTAAAATATCAATTTCTCGTATCAATTACAAGTAGTGCATTCAAAACTTTTTTTAAATTAATCTAATTCTTTTTTCAGTTCCAACAGAAATGTCTGTGTTCGTCAGAGAGCATTTAAATTACTGGTATTCATTGAAATCGTTTTACTTTGCCAGAACTGTAGCAGATTTGCCTTTCCAAACAGTGTTTTCAATAGTTTACGTTATGATAGTTTACTTTATGACATCGCAACCACTGGAAGCATATAGATTTTTAATGTATCTTAACATTTGCGTCTTAACTGCTCTTGTATCACAGTCCATTGGGCTTTTGATAGGCGCAGCAATGAGTGTTGAGGTTTGTATAATATATTGCATTATATTCAATTGTTATCACGAATGTTCTTTAAATTTTAGTAGACTCGTTTAAACTAATGCCAAAGGTATTAAAATGAAGTATGAACTATTCAACATGACATTTTTTATTCTCTTATCTCAGCTGTCGCATGCGCGGTTGACATAATCTTTTAAGAACCTCATAACAGATTTCGTAAGGTCTGTCATCAACGGATAAGCTACTTAGTGCAATACATAATATAAATATCGATCCGTGAATACAATAGTAGAAATAGTAATTGCTGACTTGATGAAAAAATTAAGTTAAAAATAGAAAAGTCGTTGAAAATTTTGGGTAATTCAAGGTAATAAAATTTGTATTTTTTTTCAGAGCGGAATGTTCATTGGTCCGGTGTCCTCAGTGCCGATAGTTCTCTTTTCCGGCTTCTTCATTAAATTTACAGCGATGCCAAACTACTTAAGTTGGTTGTCATATGTATCGTTTATTCGATATGGCTTCGAAGGAGCGATGATCACCGTATTTGGATACAATCGACCTCGTCTCAAGTGCTCGTTCGAATACTGCCACTTCAGGACTCCGACCAAGTTCCTCGAGGAGATGGCGATGCTCGATGCAGTCTACTGGATCGATGTCGTAGCTCTTATTGGCTTTCTCATTCTCCTGAGGATCTGCACGTATTTCGTATTAAGACTCAAACTTAGATCTCTTCGTTAACTGTGCAAGTAGTCGAAAAAAGACAATAAAAACCTTTATCAATGAAATTATTAATTACAATTAAGTTATTTTATCCAATTTTATTGAATAACACCACAATTGAATTGGAAAAAATAATATAAAATGGATCAAACGAAGATGATAAAATTTAGACAAAAATAAATTAGAATGTCAATGGAGCGTAAGCCAAACATTTTTCAACTGAAACAGAAAATCAATTGTTGAAACTGTTTAAGACTGAAATTAATGGAATGTTTAGATTGTTCAAAACTGTTGCAAAAAAAAACGTTCAATGTGAAATCTTATTCAATTAATGAAACAAACAAAAATCTCTGGATAATTTTACTTAACAGTTTCGAAAGAATTTTCAACAATTTTACTTTTAAGAGCTCTTAATAAGTTAGACAATTTTTTATTATATGTAAAATAATTATTTCATTCTACATACATTTTTACTACTCACTAAAACGATAAAACATAACAAAAACTAACGCCATTACAATATTTATAATTTTTTTAATTTTCTATTCATTTTTTTAAATGGAAGGGAATTATAATGAAAATCGAAAAAAAATTAGTATATTAGCGAATTGAATTCGCCAGAGGCCTTAGATGCCTATAAGACTTCCCTCCAACGATCATAATGCCGAATCGTTTATAATAGGAGCTGAATAAATAGCCTAAAGAAAATAATCGGTAGAATTTAATCAATGAAAATCATAAAAAAAAATAGAAAAATGAAAGAAATTTTGTCATTCGCTTGACATTTGCATATTAAAATAATATATAAGACACACTTGACGTCATAAAATCCTTAATCGTATTCATAGAAATGGAAAAAAAAACATATAGGACAAGATTTTTACTGTATAACCATAATAATTCCTACATAAATTCATCTCTTTACTCATATCGTAAATCATACCTTATAAATACTCGATTATTACGCGTTTTTAAATAAAAAAAACAAAAATTACTTTTATCGAAGAGCTCGCACTTGACCAATCACTGGCTGCCTGGATTTTGCTTCTCAATTGCAAAAATGCCACCGCATTTTTTCAGCGAGATCAACGAAACAAAAAAATAATAAAAAATTAAGAAAATTGCGTTTTTACTTATTACAAATGTGTATGATGTGAGAATGAGAATTGACAATGAATTTGTGATGTATAAATGCATTAAGTGTCAGTAAACTCTTTATTCATGATCTTAGATGCAGGCCTTAAGCAACTGAAACCTGCAGGATTTTATAGTAGCAATAAAAAGCGAAAATGTCATACAATTAATAACATAGATTACATATAAATGATAAATTCAGTATCCTTAATGCACATGTATCTAATTAATTTCACAGAATTAGTTTATTTGTTTTAATAATTGACGACTTATTCATTCCTTGCACTAATCCACAGTAAAAACTTTTGTGAAACTTATTTTTCATTAGTTTATCATATTGATATGTTTATATACATTTCCGTATACTATTTTCAACACATGCTTATTGTAAAAATTGTAAGTCTTGTTTTTAAAATAATGTTAGACAGAAAATGTGTATTAGTAGCACGATTTTTTAAAAGATATGTTTAATGTGTCACTTAATTTTATTATGTATTATAAATGACACAATTGTTTATCAAACGATTTTTATCATTGAAGTTCATATCAATTATTTGAAGAATATATTTGAAGGCCGATAAAATACCAAATTGAATTAATCATGGATTACTTACGTTAAAAAATACAAAAAAATTATATTTTTTATTTATAAATAAGTAACTGATTATTCAAAAATTAATCAATAAGTTTATAAAGTATATAAAAAAAGATCGTTTCGTCTTAATACTTATGTTATCATCTTGTGTGATGAATCCTATGAGAAATTTAATCATTTTATTGTGTATGTTTCGAAGGAATGTTTAAAATAATAAATTAATAAGATTGTCCATTGACTTTTTTCAGACAAAGAAGGAATGAATTTAATGTAACATTCCATGCCACAAGCTTTGATAAAATTGAAATAATAAAAAAAATTATTATATCATTGATTTTAAATACAAAAAAAGCATTGTTGAAATTTAACACAAATTTTTTTACTGTGTTACTACGCTTTCTTTGTTAAAGAACAAATATTCAATTAGATATGTTGTATTATTTAGATATATTTTTTAGTATTATTATAATATTGGTGCATGGAGAATCTTTATGTTATATTTGTATCAAATATATAAATACAATGTTTTGTGATAGGGAATACAGTATTTTTGGTTTACAATTATATGATTAAATTACGCTTTTTTATGTTACACGCGATTTATATGTGTATATAAAATAGTTATTGTTACCATAAATTTGTGTGGGTTTAACATTAAAATTTTTAATATTCCAATATAAAATTGGAAATAAATTTCAAGTGAGATAGAGTATAATAAATATTCATAAAAAAAATATTCAATTGTCAATACGATCATTACAATAAATTGCAACCCATTATGTCTATTAGAATCAAAGTCCGTATGTTGGATATATTTAATCAAACTAAAATGCTAATACTACCATAAACTATACTGTTTTGGTTTAAAAACAAGAGGATCCGAATAGATTTTTAATATTAATCTATCCTGTACTGATAAATCTTTTTTATTTTTCGTACTTGTATTCGTCATATCGTAGCTCCGTTTACTCTACATACCACCTTTCTAACTGAATGAAATTAAATTTATATTCATCAAATTAACATTCCCGCACAAATGTGCTGGAACTCCCAGCTGAAGCAATTGAATTGATGAAACTAATCCGAGAATACTAAGGTACTGATGGTATAGAAAACTCCAAAGAAACCAGACTCCGGTTTTGTCAAATTTCCGGTGATGTCATTTATTTATTTACAATGCACCGATGATAGTAGATCAGCAGTCGGCGGCCAACCACCAATTGGAACAGACACAAGTAGGGATGTACACCTTGTACATGTTCTTTGCCTTAGAACAGAGACCAATATGACCAACTAGTCTCTGTTCACTGTCGAAGAGCTACCAGGCAACTGTATATCAGTTGGTATAATCACCACAAAGAGAGATAGGTGAGTTGGGCTTTCGAAAAAAATTGTATTCAAAAACTTACCAAATTCATTCGATATAAAAAAGAAGTTTATGAGATAATTAAAGAAACAGTTATAATGAAAAAGATTGGAACTAATTTTGAAACGATATTTTTTATGTAATTTCATATGCATTTATCATTTTATCTACAAGCTCACATATTATGCACGTCTACAGGTACATATTAAACAATGTTCAATTATGCTACATGCATTTCTGTGATATTTTCATTCGTTTCATTTTTGATTATTCTCATATCTACAGTTCTAGAAATTTATTACGATCTTGCTATTCTTAGCACGCCACAGTTCATCTAAGTAAATATATAAATTAAAAACTTAGTTCCCATCATATAAATGAGTATGTTCAGGCTTATAATCTAAAAGAAAAAGGATATTTTTCTAATTTATTTATTTAATTGTTAATGTGATAAAAGAATAAAAATTATGCTTTCACATTTTTTCCAGGAAATAATATAATACTTTTTTGTAAGTTTAACATATTTTACATTGTGTAAATCAATTAATTGACTGGAGACACAGAATCTAATATATACAATAATGAAGTAGTGTTGTAGCATATTTCAAACTGATTCATTAATAGTGTCTTTACGTAAAAAAACTTAAAGTAAACATTATATTCTGTGTTCCTTAAGACTTATCAATCATTAAACTAAATCGTAAATATTTCTGAAATGATTTATTGAGTTTCATCTAAACACTGTGATGAGATTCGTGTGATCACATAATAAAATTACATTATTATACGTATACAGCCAAAAAACTATTACATCTATGTGTCTAGAAAATGCATGAAAATAACATTTCTGGAAGTATTATTTTTATTATAATAATATAACTATTGAATTAAGTTAATTTATTAGGACACATACGCGAGAGAGATATGCAGAGGAGAGGGAATATGGAGCAGTATCGATACATCCAATGACACGTCTCCTAGTTATAGTGACGACTAGTTTTTCATTTTTTGTTTAATATCATCTTTAAATGTTTAAGAGGACTCGCATATATGTATATATTGTCTTTACAGGGTCCATATTACAAACAGTGCCGATCTTTTTTATTCTCATTCGTCGTTTCGTTATTGTTCATTTTCGACAAATTCTTATTTTCGCATTTTTCAAACATAATTTGTGCATCTAGTCAAATATATTATTTAATAACTTTTAAATTCAACAAATTCGCAATTAAATCTTTAATATTTCTATCAAACTTATGAATAAAATCTATCAAAATACTTTTTAATTGAATAATAATATAGCAACTTTAATCATATTTGATATTTTTTCAGTTAAATTTCAATAGAATAAATCATTTTTTTATTATTACTATTATGATAAATGCTTTTCAACTCATTATTTCATTATTTTAATAACATTTGAAAAAATTTGAAAAATTATCCATGTCAATGAATTAAAAAAACAATATATATAATAATAAAAGTTACTTAATTTCAATGTTTGTCAACCATTACACGACTCTTAGGACTTTTACGAAGATTGATTCTTTTTTATCTTAGTCATTAATATTTACAAAATTGATCTTTCCACTTTTTCATGCTTAATAAGGCAAAAATTCTAAATTTATTGTTTAATATATTATTTAATATGTTATTTATTATTGCATTATTTATCCAAAATGTGTTATCTTGTTTATATTAATGTTGTAGGTCATATTCTGAAGTATTTCATAAAGATAAATGTTTGATCTATTATTCACACGGTGATCATAATGATGATTGTAAACTATTGACAAGTTCTTTATTAAATTGATGCAAACTTTTTTTTTCATTTTATCGTTTATTTTTCCAAAAATTCAGTTATCAAAATAAACCGGTCAAGTTAATTTTTGTATTTATTTAAACAATTCATAACAGTAAAAATATTTAATCGCAATTCAAGACACATATTTAATCTGTTTATTTAAATATTTTTATTAAAACTTGCAATTAAATTTGCATCAATTTAAATTAATTGAATGCGACAAGTATTTAAACTATTTTTTGTTTTTCGTTGTCGAAATGTATAAATTGTTTAAATTTTACAACAAAAGACCCATTAATTTGATTGTGTTAATTTTTTTTTTAACTTTTATGTATCTTTTTAATTCTATCCTTAGGTAGAAAAATTATACAGTTCCAGCAATAGAAAAAAAGTTTATTCGATGGACGCAATTAATCGCGATTTATATTTTACACATTTATTATCGTTTTTTTTTTTATTAATTTTAATTTTATTTATCTTTGTATATATTGTTTATTTCTCCTTTTTTTGTCTTGTTTGTTGAATCGATATACTTTTTCGTTGCTCAATGGCTTAGGTGAGCGGTGATTAATGCTACCTCTTTTGTCTTACGACAGTGAATAGTCCAGATGAGAGGTGATTTGAGTCTGTAGTGACTGATTACTAATTAGGACAACTTTAATTTCTCTAGATATGTTTGCCTGCAGCTTGTGGTACTTGATAAACTAGAGCCCGAGTTAGATAATCAACAAAAAATGAAAAAGAAAAAAAACAAAAACAAATCCTTAATAATAAAGGAAGTCATGATTAAAAATAATTCAAAAGAATGTTAATAATTATAAGCCTAAAGTATCGGCGAACGTAAATCACTGTCCCTTGGTAGCACGAATTGCATTACACATTGCAATCCAAGGGTGTCCATACATACTGCAAATTTCACAGACGTTCGACGAGCTACTTGACGATGGCTGGCTAGCTAATTGACCGGCAGTTTTATTTGGCGATGATGTGAGTTCATCTTTTTTATTTTTACTTGATGATGATGATGACGATGAAGATAGATGAAGAAAATCAATAGATGTTGGTAACGAAGCAGGTTCTCGTATTTTTCGCGGTGTAGGAAGAGTCGCGGAGTTATAGGAAGAGCTTAATGGTGGCACGATGGGGGGAGACCGCCCTGGGGACGGTGATTTGGATGTGACAATCGTGCGATTAATTGAAGACAAGGAGAGGGGCAGACACCGCAGAACGTTGAGTCAATCATTGACCAACCCTTGGTTGACGTTAATGAGCTGTTCTTTCAAAACACGGAATGATGGCCGAACTTCAGGAGAGTGAGCCCAACATTTTCTCATGATCTAAAAAAAATTAAAGATATTTAAGCAACCTTTATAGAGATTATTTATTAAATAAATATTTGTTAAATTTAATTATTAATAATTTTAATAAATAAGTAATTCGTAATCTCTTTAATGAAATACAATCTTAATCCAGGCTAGAGCCCACGAATTTTCGATTACATATTCACAAAAGGATAAAAAGGAATTTTTTCATTAATTTTACACTCTAAAAGCATACTTTATAATCTAATAATTAACTATTTATTTAATTGAATACCTCATAAACTTCCTTAACACATGCTTTGGGTCTTTCAAGAACGATTCCACGTTGTACTCTCTCTACTACTTCTGTATTCTTTAGACGGCCGTAAGGCATCTTGCCACAAGTGAAAACTTCCCACATAAGAACACCGTAAGCCCAGACATCAGATTTCGAACTGAACCGCGTATAGTGCAGAACTTCTGGAGGTGCCCACTTAATTGGAAACTTAGTTCCACCGCTGCTCGTGTACTGATCGTCTAAGACATACCTCGCCAGACCAAAATCCGCTACTTTCACAACATTCTCTGATCCAACAAGACAGTTACGAGCTGCTAAATCCCTATGGATATAATTACGCCTCTCAAGATATGCCATTCCTCTGCAGACCTACACAAAAATTATCAAGTATTATTTCATGTACAACTTCATATAATCCTTAAGCTATATTATTTTATTTTTTGTTAGGAAAAAATTTAATGCGCTAATTAATGTTTGAAATCAATGAGGAATCAATTCTAAATTATCGTCATGTTTTAATACTTTGAACAATCTTTTTTATTGGTCCATTAAAATAACACTTTAAAGGATCAATATAAATGTAGATTGGACTATAAAAAATGTCAAATAAACATGTTGGATACTTCAGTGATTCAAATTCAACAACGTAGAATAAAATAGCTGTACCTGTATACATATATCAAGAAGATATCCGACATTAGCGGATAAGCTGGATTCATTTCGACGGAGGTAGTTGAGAAGAGATCCATGTCGCATATACTCAGTAACAATGTATATTGGTCGATCCTTACTACACACCCCGTACAGTTGGACTAGATTTGTATGCTGTAGCTTGCTGTTGAAAGAAAATTGTATGAATAAATAACAACAAATATTCTTCTTGGCCCGTGGTACAATAATAAAATAATAAATAACTTACGTCATGACTTTTGCCTCTTCAATGAAATCATCCTCAGACATGGTACCTTCTTTCATCATTTTAACAGCAACATCGATGGAACCACGCCATTTTCCACGTCGAACTACGCCAAACTGTCCCGAGCCAAGTTCTTCCAGTAGATGAAGCTCGGTTGGATCAATTTCCCATTTATCTTAAATAAAATGTTTGACATTATTACAATTTTATTCATCTATCTGTTAATATATTTATTTTACTTTGTCATTTTTGAGTAAATAGTGACATGAATATTTAATTAAAGGAAATGTTTCAAGGCTTGAATTATTAGTTCTTTGATCTTATTTTTTTATATTAATTATAATTATATAATAATAAAGCTGATTATTATTACATACATATATAATTTAATTAATTATTATTTGATATAGATTAAATGGAAAGCTTAAATTTTAGACCAATCATCATTAATTAATAACTATTCTTGTTAATATAAATTACGTTGATTTGATGAACAGAATTCGTTAATCCAGTTGTGCATTACCAGTAATACTCAATATACATACGAATGTAATATGGAATTGTAGTTTTAAAATTATCATATTAGAGTCAGTCATGTATGTCATTAATATAATATTGCTGATTTTATTCTCATTGAAACTAATTTTTTAAAATATATATAGAATAAAAAATGATAAAATCTCAAATATTTCTCAAAAAAATCTTTGAATAGGTAAGTATGTAATTTTTTAATTGCTGTAATTGATCATGGTCAGTTATATAAATAGATAAATTTGTTTTTAATTTTAGGTTTTTTATATCTGATTATTTAATTTAAATTACAAGAATGATCAACTTTCATCAAAAAATACAATCATTTGAATTAACTAAATATTTCAATAACTAGTTTCATGGAAAATTTTAAAATTCTTTCAACATTAAATGAAATTCAATCTAAATGCAAACTGAAGAGTCTCATTATGACAACAAAGTATTTGGAAGGTTGGAAAAGCTTTGTAAAACAAAATTGATTAATTAAGTAGTAGTTAATTAACACTTACCATGACTCAAACCTGCGGTCGGTGGCACAGGACGATCACAAGGACTGGTCTTCAATCGACTAGCAAGTCCACCACTGTTGTGTCGATGATAATTAACTAAGTCTGGTATAGAGCCACAACAATGTTTTTCCGAAAGGTAAAATTCTCCACGACTATTCTGCTTTATGTGATAATGTTTAACATGTGAATGAGGGCTGCAAAAAAAAAGTTTATAGTAGAAATGGAGAATTGAAATACATAATGTTTCGACTGTTCGTCTATTCTTGCAGGTGTTGAGGTATATGTTTGTAAGTCAGTGGCAACTTCTCGTAAAAGCATGATAAATATTTCACAGCACTCACAGTGCATGGTTGTGGTAATAAACGCCACTAGTTCGTTGAAAACTAGCATGGAGCTGTTTCAAATAGATGCAGAAGAATGAAAAAAATAGAAGCATCTGGAATGTACTTACACTTTAGTGTAAAGCGAGAGGGTATACAAGCCCTTGGTAGATGAATTGCGAACGACGAAACAGCCCTCTTTGTCCTCTTGCTTGAGTAGAGATTCTGCACGTTGCCTCGACATATCGCCCACGTACCATCTGGATAAACCCCAGCAGAGATTAATCTTTGTTTTCTATATCAAAGAATTAATATCTGACGTAAAAGTGACGTGGCTCTTACCACTCGATAAAGGACTGGCAGTCAATAAAAAAAAATGAAGAAGTAGCAGGAAGATTGAGAAACAGAGAAGAAAAAAAGTAATAAAGAAAATGAAAAAACAGGATATCATTATAGAGTCAAGTTGTATATGAAAAAGTTTTATTTTTGAAAAAATTTGATGCATCAAAAATGCTAAATAAATTATAAGACACCTGTTACATTTAAAAAGTAGAAAAAATTTAGTTATCTTCACTTTTTTCGTTTTATGTAATGAAGATACTTTTTAATGAGAAAGTAGCTAGATACTTGGATAAGGACAGCAGAAAAAAAACGAAAACAACATTCAAAAAATGTTGAGAATAGTTGAGATGAAATTTATCTTTCGACTTTTTAAAAAAGTTTAGTGTTATATGAATGTATATTGTCAAGTTGTGATGATTTAGGAATAAAACAAGAGGTAAATTTGTCTCCAAGAAAGGTAAGGAAAAATTTAATAAACATAAATACCTAGAACAGAGGCAGTTTAAGAGAGACTGGATGTAAGATGGTTTTAAATACTACAAAAATAAATTGAGAAGAAAGTGAAAGATTTATATAGAGAGAAATAGAAAGAAGAGAATTAAAACTTGAAAAATCATATCAAAAAGATGGTTAAGGTGTTAATTATTTATTGAAGATATCACTTTGAAGTGGAAATGATTGATTATTGATAACACTGAACTCTTTTGTAAATTTTTTGACAGATAAAACAAGACGACTGAATGATGGAACTAGAGCTTTTCAATTAATTTTTACACAGAGAAATACACAACAATTGGATCAATTATCCAATCCTTTTTGAGAAAGAATACGATCTTTGTGAGATAAAGATTAAAAAATGAGAAAAATTAAAGATAAAGGAACAAGTTAAGATGAAAAGGAAGACACGAACAATAAATAGTACTTACTCATATTTCTGAAGACCCAAAAGCTCCTTCTCTTTCACGTAATTACTTGGAATATATCCGATGGAACTGAAATCATTTAGTTCGAGTGTTTAACAACTTTCACTTCAAACAGAAGTATAGTAATAAGGGAATAAATATTAATGAAAAGTTTCATAGAAATTTTGATTGTTAATAATCAGTTTTTCGAAGATTTAACCGAGTTTTCATTAAATTGATTTTTTAATCGATCAGTAGAGAATAGCATCAAGTCTACTACTAACTACTAACCACTAACCATTTGCTCTTAGTTCATTATTTTTTAATTGAAGTTTGTGATTCGATCATCAAAATATGATCAATAAAGTATTATAAACTGTGGTCGATTAATTTGTAAAACTTTTCGATAGAAACAAGATTGTCGATAATAAGTTGTGTAATTTGAAAACATTGTTTCTGGTCATGAATCACAATGAAAAATTGATTTTTATTGTGAACTCAATAAAAGCAAATATAATGTTTAAATGGCAAAACTTTTTGGACTTGATTGATATTAATTTGATAATATTTATATTGTTATTTGGTGTAAAATTGTTTAAAATTATGTTTTATCATCTAGTTAATGACAATAATAACTTTTATTTTTTTAACTAATATTTGGATTTTTGAAAAAGCTTTACTGATTTCATTGAATTGAAATTTTCTCGAAATGTAAAATTGCAAAGCCAATTATTTTTTTTTCTTTCTCTCATACTCAAAATTGAAAATACTCTCTATGAATGCTGAAGAAATGATAATTTCTTGAAAGTTTAGATGAGCTTTTATAAACTTTGAAAATGAAGATTTGAGAAATGTAAAATTAAAAATCTTTAAATTATTTTTCATACCCGTGCTCGTCCTTGACCTTCCACCAGTGTTCTTGAGAGTCATCAAGCACCTCGTACTCGGCGCCCTAAAAATTAACACTCATCATATAACTTTACTTTAACACCAAAGCTTATTTTTGTGTCTGTATTGTCTATTTCATGTCATGGAATTAATACAATACTTTACACCACTTTTATAAAATATCAAGCTATCTTTTACTTCATTTACCTTCTCCAGTGACAAGTCGCCTCCTTCAATAGCCCGGAATGGATAAAGTGCTACCACGACTTTTGTTCTTAGCATTATTTTCTCCTGAAAAATATAATATTTCAATATCAACATTTTTTTTAAATTTTATTTACAATGAAATAGGGAATAAAATAAAATGACATGTGGAAATCAGAATGAAAGGGAAAATAAGATATATGTTGTTAGGAAAATGTTATTACTTTGTTTCAAGGAATGTTTTTAGATCTAAGAAAAATCTTCCAAGAAGAAAGAGACGTAAATTTAGTAAAAATATCAAACTTTGCTAAAAGAAATTGACTTTCCTGAAATAGAGTATACTTTATTGCAAGAAAATGTGCAGATGGTATCGAATTTTAAATTAGCTTCTACTGAAATGGAATCAAAAAGTTATATAAATTTAATATTGACTGTGTCAATAACTGAAACAAATTTGAAACAAACTTATTTAACGCTGCGTGGTTATTTTATAATTGCTCTTTTGATTAAAATTTTTATCATCACGAAATAATATTATTATTATAATTAATAATAATCAGCATAATTATTAATCAAAAATATTATTATATTAAGAGAATAAAATGATAAATTTTTATTAACATTTGTTGGATTAAATTGTTCATTATCAAGACGTATGAAAATGATCTGTCTAGTTAAATACTTCACTTCTTCAAAGTGAAAATGATGAAGTAAAACTGAAGTTAAAAATGAAAAGTAGGTTAAATGAGAACAATGTAACTTTTTAATTCAAACTATAACACAATAATAACATTTATTCTGGTAAGTAAATAAAATAGTTGCTTTTATTTTAAACTTGAATTTTTTGGTTTATTTTAACGACAGCTTAATGTCCACAGTGATGATATTTTTTCCAAACTGTAGACATATTCTTCAGAAGCTTGAGTTTTTAAAAAATATCATTTTTTAAGTTTTTATCTCTTCAAATGTTTTTTACATTAAAAAAAATCTGCATTCAAGAATAAAGTGTCATGAATTATAGTTACATATGGTATGGTGAGTAAATGATTAATGTTAGAGATAGAAGAGCTTGTCAGTTATAGTTAAACTTCTTTTTTAATCAAGTTATAAATTAACATTTTGAAGCCACTTTTTCTCATTATATTTCAAAAATTAAATTTTCTCACTTTTTGAATGCTTTTTTTTTCAATCTACAGGCAAGGATTTTGATCATATTAAAACTATAAGTTTGAAATGTCCTATTATCTACTCAGGAATCTCTAAATTCATTAATAACTTTTTGATAAAATATATCATTAATAAATAAAACTGGTAAATCATACTAAAAATAAAAAATAAATTTCATTTATAAAATGCAGAATAGAGTGATAGATTTCATTGATATTTTCTTGAAAAAAATTACTATAAAATATTCTCAATACAATAGAGAAATGAAATTCATATAAACTTGAACTGATAACATTACATTTTTCTGATAAAAATGAAACGAAAAAATACCCAGTATTATTATTAATAACAAAATGATTCGAATATGAAGAAGAAAATGAATTCTAAACAAGAAAGTGGCAAGTAAAATGGTAAAAGAATGTTTACCTTTGCTTTGGAGGAAGGCGTTCCTGGCGTTCCACCTGGCATTATTGGAGTTGAAGGAGTTCCTGTAACAGTAAATAAAGTAAAAAATGAATACAGAACCATACAAAATTGGTTTTGGGAAAGCCTTTAGGCAGTCAATATATTCTTCATAGCAAATTGTATAAAATATATATATATATATAGACGATGATTCTACTTTCTATAATCTCATCGTAAGCTTCTTCACATTATATTTTACGTGGATAATAACAAGGGAAACTTTTGAGAGTGTTTCCTTATTCCTTTCAGCCCCAGGGGAGGCCTTGAGATGAAGAGAAAACAGAACAGGAAGTGGAAGAGTAAAGCTAGTGGCTACAAAACGGAAGCAACGGGGAGACGGTCTGTTAAAAAGCTCCGTCATTGTTGCTGTTGTAGCGGATCGTCTACAAGAAATAAATAGCGTTGTCGATAATCATAATAAAAAGGAAAAGGGGTGGAATATCGTGAAAAAAAGGGAAATAAGATAACGAGATCATTACATAGATTGTATTGGAAGTATTTAACACTAATATTCAATATTTTTTTATTTAATTTATCACAATGCAAGGTCATCTTTCAGTTGTAATAAAAAAATTTATTGATTTTTATCTTTTAGTTTGTTAAAACAAAACAAAATAATATATTGATCTAGGAAAGAAATGATTTCTAGATATTCCAGAAAATAAAAACAAATTTGTTTAGAAAAGAAATATATAAATAAAGGAATTGAAAGCTTAATTTATTTTTAAACTACAGTTTATATATAAAATTAAATCCACCTCCAACAACATAAATTAAACTTACTCAGCCCACGCTAAATAAACTTGAAGTGTTTCATTCTCATTACTCGCTCTTGAGATATCATTCTTATCACTGAAAGTTGCGGTGAAGTTCCATCCTTGTTGCACCTGCACGCAATAGCAGTTAACCAACTTCCGGGTTGGTTTTATCAAGTAGCAAAGGTAAATGTTGGGTCAGCCACATTCGGAAATACACATTGGGCGTGATGTAATATTATTACTAATATTATAGGAAGAAGAATAGTCGAGACGCGTGCGGGCGTATCCTGTACAGAACTACCGGCGTCGTCGTCGTCGAGCGTCGGTTTCAAGCGCGGGTGGTGGCGCACGAGAGAGCAAAGCGACGGCACGGTACGCTAGTGCGAGTCTCCACCCTGTCTAGACAAAATCAATGCAACCTCAACCTCCCGCTGCAGCTCTGCTCCTCTCTCGATTTTCTCCTGCTCTTTCTCCCATTCTGACTTGTTTGCTTGCTTCCCTCAGGCCTCCATCAGCATCGTCTCCATGGACCACTAAATACCTTTGAATCCTTCTCGATGTCATGTACTCTTTTACTATCCTCTACCTCTCTTTCACTTCCGGATCTCTTTCATTACGTCGTAGCTTCAATTACGTACCTTCATACATCAACCAAATGCTCCTCTATTTTCATATAAACACCAGTTAAACAATTACGAGTACAATTCATTATTTTCTTCCTTACTTGATAACTCAACCAATTCAAATCACTTGCAGATACTGCCAAAATTATCTACCCAGTTTTACGCTACCTCTCAAAACAACTCAATCAATTCTCCTAATGGCCTATTTTGTTCAACAATCGTCGTTATTAACATCTCTCTTTCTCTTTTTTTTTTCAATCCTAGATCAATTAAATTCAACTAACATTACAACTTTTCGTGATTTTTAGTCGTCCTCCAAAAACTTTTCAGCATTTCATTTACTTCAAGCTTGGTAGTTATAAGCTTATAAAGTAGAAGATCATTCCCTTCAATTTCGTCTCATTAAAAAATTTCTCCAATCTTTTTTAGGTCCTTAAGCTTTCACGAAATAAAAGTTAATTCGAGACTGATGTCTCGATTGGAAATGGAGAAAAAGTTTTGAGGAAATCAAACTATTGCAAACATTTTCAAACAATAAGTTTCCAATTCATTTAATTCGAAAACACATTTGTACTATATATTTTTAATCAGACAGTATATTGACTGTTGTTTTAATGCAAAACTTATAAATCTTTGAAAAGAAGTTGTTTATTATTCAATTTAATAAAAGTAAGCTATAATTCTAATAAATTAAATTTGATATGATGATCAAAATACTCAATTTTCATGCAATGAGTTTCGATATATTTTCTGAAATTGATGACATCATGATGAAAATATGGAAAACAGGATTTCCGTTCTTATTACCATAGAACCAGTTTTCGTTATAGAAATATCAGAGAATTATTACAAATATTGATTCATAATTTTCTCATCAAAAATCAACAAATTAATTATGAATGATAATATTACATCGTTCAATAGATAGAGTATATCCAAATATTTAGCAAAATTAGACCTGATAATATTACAAAAACAAACCAAACAAAACTGAACATTGTGCAACATGTTAGCTACATGAACTTCTAATAATTCAAATCCAAAAACTATTTCTGATGAACGATTGTACATCTGCTTGATAATAAAACTAAAACAGTGGGTTCAATTCAGATAAATTTCTAATAAAAGATAACTGTCCAATAGGAAATGGTCAAACTATTAAGACCTTTAAGGTGTAATTATAATAAAAATGAAATTAATAACTGGACAGTCGTATCTTGGTGAGTAATTTTCATGATGATGACTTCCAACATATGGAAATGATCTAGCCCAAGTTGAGCAATGACACATATATCTTGAATGTGATTGGAATTTCTCATGTTTAGAATATTTTTCTCAGTTCTTAGAAAAGTAGTAAATAAACTAATCCCATCAATAAGTTGAAATTAATTATAATAACTAACCATAGCCATCACCAAATCCTACCATAAAAATGCAGAGATAATTTTTTCCCTTCATATGAAAGAAGTAAAATATATTATTCAATGAATTCTCCACATATCTATTTCCTTGAACGCACGTACATCTACACCATATTGCATTCTATATATATTCATGTCCTTTCGGAATAGATCCTGCTTACTAGTCATGACATCAGAGGTAATAGACTGCGGACAAGGGACTATACATTGGCTTGCCAATGTCAGAGATAAGGAGACCAATTGGTTAGTCGGTCAGAGGCGATGTCTCTACCTTGGTTATCAGTAAATTCGCTGCGAATACTATATTTGTAGGATTACGGGTAATTGGTCACAATAGGTGCCAGCGAATGTATAGAGGTTGGACAAGGCCGACAGCGTGAGGCTGAACCGCAGCATACAACTAACTCGCTTGTTTAGCCCACTATATCGGTGCATCGATTCCAGAAATGACCAATCGAGTGAAAGCCATACCCTCTTTGCTCACCAACTCATTCTCCACAGTGTATCATTTAGGTATACACAGGTAATATTAATTACCACCAAAGTTGCAAGCGATAACTCAATATTTTAGCATGTTGAGTGCTTCGATACCCACTTCAATGCTAGCTTCTCATATTTGATTTATTATCTAATCAGGTTATAATTTTAATAACCACTACACACTTGATGCTAAATATTTTTTATCCTTCATTCTTGCTGACAGCTATTAAGGCTTGGGGATAATAAAAGGTCTACATTTAATGACTTTTACTTATAAAACCGGTAGGAAAACCTCAGGCTAAGTAAGATATTTACAAATCGTATTATTTTTTTAGCATTCATTGCTGATAGGAAAATAGTTTGACATATATAGGATATAAAAATATTGAAAAAAATTGGTAGTGCCAATGTGTACAAGCTATGCATGGAGGGAATTGGAACAAGGTAGTTCTCAAAGTAAAATAGTTTGCTGTTGAAAACTAAAAAAAGTTTTCAATTATTTTTTTTTTGCCTCATTGATATATTTCGGTGTTTTTTATTTGAAGAAAAAAAGTGGTTGAGAATTAAATGTGATTAAATTTAGGAATTTCAATTCTGAATAAATCGATAAGGTTTTTGGAAGATATATTTTGTCTCAACTTCTGGTAGTAAACAATTGAATTTACGGTTCATGTGAAATCAAACTGGTCCTGGTTTATTTTCAAATATTAGATTTCGAGAAGTATATTTATTTTTCTTCTTTATTTTTTTTTTAATTTTAATTTTCTAGAAAGATTCTATTTGTGACTTAAAGAACATAATTTATGGTAGGATTATTCTAGGATTGGAATAAAAAGCACTTGGTGGTGAAAAAAAATATACTACTATGAGAATAAATTTAAAGAATTATCATTTAAAAATAAAAGGATAAAATTAGTAATTAAAAATATTTGAAAAAAGAATGGAAAGTTGTTTAGTAAAAACGAAACAAAATTTATTTATAACAAAGCTTTTGGAATTTGTAAAAAATTAGCATAAAAGTCAAAAGCTCTTGGATCCAAGAGATTTCTGCTTACTTTAAAATGTTTTAGAAAAAATAACTGGAGCTATGTTGATTCTATTTAGGTTTTTAAAAATATTATGTCTAAAAAATGATATCTAAGCTAAGAATAAAATTGAATAAATTTCCAAGTAAAATACATTTAATTCATTTAAATCAACATTAATCTACAGTTTTTGGTGTAAAAAATAAAACTAAATTAAAATGTTCTAAAATAAATGTATATAAAAAATTAATTTGTAGAAAAGAATATTGAATAAAAGATAAAATGAGTAAAAATTAAGCAAATATTTTATATACAGATGTAAAAACCGTATAGTTAATTTTTCCTTTTCTTACCACAGCTAACTGTTCTAGTCTGATAAAACATTATTATTCTTTTTTATAGCTAGCGACAATAAAAATTATTTTCTCATAAATATTCAATTTTCTTTATTTTTTCTAAGCTTCTATTATTGAAGAAAACCAATAACAAAAAGATTAAACGTAATTTCAATATCCTATAATTATCATTATCGTCATCATCATTATAACCATCATCATCATCATCATCAGTAGCAATTACAGAAGATTCAATACAACGATTTAATTGCATTAAATGACGTTGATAATTGTAAAAAAAATAACTTTTTCATTATTTTAAAATGCATCCTCCTACGTATTCTTTTTTTCTCTCTATTACTTGAAGCAGGCAAATTGATT